TAGTATTGCCTCTAGGGCGCAGGAGGTATTCTAAGAAATCAGCTGGATGTGGTCCATGACAGTGTATGCATCTAGGAGGGCATTGATGAGGTTCCAGGGCTGTGCAGCGATTGGCATGGCCCTTTTCAGTATGCTCTGAGGAGCTATATAGCTGGCATCGAGAGGGGCGGGCACAGGATCTTGCATTATGCCATTTCCAGCATCGTGTGCATTAAATAACTGTTGTTTTCTTAGGGAGGTGACGAGCATTGGTGATAGTACCAAAAAGACGTAGTTGGATAGGTAGTGGTGTTTTCATGCCTTCTGGGAAGTTCACAAACCAGCTTAAGGAGGGAGTATCAGGGTTGACAGCGCTTGAAGTGGTCTCGCTAATAGATGTGGGCTTAAGCCCTGTAGTTTCGCTTATTTCTGAGGACAGAAGTGTAGGATTGACGGGGATTAGAGAGTATTGGCCATTCAAGATTTAGCCAATTTTCCTTGGCACATTGGTAACTCGATATGAGACCCATCGGGAGCTGCGTTCTATCTGGCAGTTAACAAAGAATGCAGAGATAATCTCTTTCTGGGCCTCAAGGGCTAGGAAGGCTTCCGGAGATGAGGGACATAGTGCAAAGCCAGTCTTTGTGGTTTGAACTTCTTTTAGTGCTGCACTGTTTGAGTTTAGTTGAGACCTTAGGCTAGAGTAGATAGTGTAGGCTTCCATTTTTCTAGCTGCATGATCAGCTGGGAGACGTACGAAGAGCCGATTGTCAGGAAGGGGTTGTTTAATCAGAGGCATAGGCTTTTTAGCAGGGGCTTTAGAGTGAGTGGTGGGAGTTGATTTGGCTGGGGCATGTTGGGTAATAGTCGCATAAGTTGACTGTTCAAGACCTGAGGGGGGGCGTGAGAGAGGGGGTAAGGGGAGGAAGGAATTTGGGGTGAGGGAAGAGGAAGAGGATAGGGCAGGGGGAATAGAGGTCGTCGAGATACCGCTAATGTAGGCGTTGAAATGTTGTTGGGCTATTGAGGCGAGGTCATCGCTTAGAGCGGTGAGGGCTCTCAGTAGGTGAGGGGCAAGGCCGGCGGTTTGGCTGCGGTGTTTGTCGAGGAGTGCAGCTATAGGGCTGAAGATCTTCTGTCCTTCAGAAGCTCTTGTCGTGGCTGCAAACGTGGATTCCAGGAGGGCTGTCTGTAGAGGGCCATCTGTACCAGAGCCTTTACGCGCCATGGTGTTGCCAGGCGCGTTGAGACGCGTCAACGGTCGCGCTCTTGGGAGCTAAGTAGTAGAGAGGGGTGAGGAATTTGAGCCTCTGACTGTTTGATATGAATAATTAAAAAGGAAGTCGCCTATCAACTCGAAATCGAGGGCGGTTGTGACCAATAAGTGTTGGATGTGCGGGTGCAGTCGAGATGTTGGAATAAAATCACGTGACTAGCAGGATATGTTGGATATTTGATACGCTAATCCCAATCAGGATGTCATTACTAATCATGATTCCTCGGAATAACGACATATCCGTGAGAACATGAGAGCCAAACTCAAGCCTACAGTTTGGAGTCAGGATGGTCATTTATCCCGTAAATCCGTGATACTTTGCCACTATGATGTGTATATAAAGAGGATCAAGATGTGTAGTTAGCTATGTTTTAGAAGACGTGCAAATCAGAGTCAATTATTCCTCACCCAAATTGTACAACTCCTATCAGAGCCTAACCCCGTTCGGACTAGTACCCAAAAGATTCCAATAGTTATGAGCCCGGGATCACTGTGAGCTACACTTGAAGCTATTCACAGATCAATCCTCAATTCGGAAATCTTGTACAGCCAGCCACGATACCAAACCAGTGAGCGTCCTCGATTGTGATACAGTTCAAAACGATCCAAGAGCAATACAAGATATTAGCAATGGATACCAGGAAGAACATTGTAATCCTAAAAACGACAGACGACTGGAGAAAATGGATCGAACAGCTTAGCACGGAGGCAATGAAGGAGAATGTATGGGAATACATTAACCCTGACCCAAACCGGATGGTACTTGAGCCCGCACCAGCCAAGCCTACGGAGCCAGTTGCGCCTGAGATAGACTTCAGCAAAACAAGTGAAGCGCAGCTGTTATTACAGAAATATCAGATTGAATCCAACACATACGAACGACAACTCAGTCGGTACGAGAAACACCAGAAACGTATGAAGCATATGCGTTCTTATATTCTCGACACTGTGTACATTGGACATAAGCCTATGATTCGAGAAATCAGCGAAGTTTCTGAAATAATACGAAAGCTTAAGAAAGAGCTTGCTCCAAAACCAAACCGAGAAAGAGCCTTGTTAATTGAGCAGCATCGAGAGCTCATAATGACGAAAAATTCCTTGAAACCAAAAGAGTTGATTCAGAAATGGCGAGATTTAATAATTGACATGAAATTCGCCAAATTCACTGAGATTCCGGACGACCGATTAACCAGGGACTTCATCAAAACAACTGAGAATGTTTTACCCAAGTTCTATGAGACATGGACCACCCGTATGATCGAATTCGATCTTGATTCTGGAGCTACCAATCTAATAGAAATACCAACAGTTGATGAGATTATTAGTCAATTCGAACAATGGGAAGAGGTGTATACCAAATCTAATCCACCTTCCAGACGGGATATTGCTATGGCGACATTTGGCGATAAATCCGACCAGACAGAGAAGGAAAAACAAGACACAACACCCAAACAAAAGACGAGAACCTGCATATGCGGTCAGGAACATCTATTTGAAGATTGCCCATATGTGAATTCGAAGAAACGTACCGTCAATTGGAAACCAGATGAAGCCATACAGAAAAAGTTCGAGCAACTAGAGCGACGTCATGGACATCCCAGAGCAAAAATGCTCCAAAGAATCAAGAAGAAACTGGAAAAAGAAGGCAGTAGTGGGACGAAAGTCTCATTTTTAACTGATGCTAAGAATGACAATGGGAATAAAGAATCAGCAAATTTATTGTATGATTCGGATGAGTATATTGGCATACTTCTCAACGCCAAGCAACCATCTCTAAATCCACCGATCAGTACAGCACTGTCAGCCTCAAGCAGAAATCTTGATATTAAGGAGATGACCTTACTCGACAGTGGAGCGACAGTTCATATCACCAATAAACGGGATAAGCTTATTAATATGCAGTCGAATGTTCGAACAATCATGGCCGGAAAAACAGAGATCCAAATGTATGGACCAGGACAGTACATCCTTCACCCAACAGATCCTATTAGCGATAAAGTTATATGCAAAGGAATACGGATCTTGGAAATGTGGTATGTGGAAGGGTTTCCTACAACAATTATCTCAATGAGCCAGCTTCGGAGCCACGGTATCAAATACGATGGAAAAACCGACAGATTGTGGAGCGAGCGAACAAACGAGGACCTTTGCCATGTCAAATGCACTGGCAAGCTATATCTGCTTGAATGGAACTCGAATAAGAATTCTAAGACATCCCTATCAAAGGAGTTAGCCTTAAGTTCGTTTGACAAAAGAATACTGAAGGATCCCGCACAGGTATGGCATAAGAGATTCGCCCACGTATCCAATAAATCGATTGAAAACATAGAGAAGGCCACTGAGGGAGCAAACATTACCGCACCGTTCCAAAAAAGGAACGAGGAAGGATTCGAGGAAAAATGCGAAGTCTGTGCAATCACCAAGATACGCAAGAAAATCAGCAGAGTTCCAATGACGCCACCGACAAGGCCATTCCAAAAGTTATTTGTGGATATTATTGTCATGAATCTTGCAATGAACAAGGATTCATATGCATTGCATGCTGTTGACCCATACACGAAGTTTCACATCCTAACGACAACTCGTACAAAGTCAGTCAACTTCAACCTTGAAAACATGATTGAAGAGATCGAACATACCTTCAAGACAAGGATTGAGGAGATCCAACTAGACGGAGAGTCATCGCTTAATGGAATCAGCTTCAGGGACTATTCTCAAAAGAGAAAAATCAGACTGATTGTCACCGTGCCAGATACACCAGAGCAAAACGGCCCAAGCGAGCGAGCTGGAGGAATTATCAGCATGAAATCTCGCAGCCTAATCCAGGAAGCCAACTTACCTCAAGGATTATGGCCAGAGGCTATGAAAGCTGCCGTTTGGATCCTAAACAGAACTCCGATAAAAGCCTTGGGCTATAAGACAGCATATGAGATGGCTCATGGGACGAAACCATACGTTGGGAATCTGTTTCTATTCGGATCTAAGGCATATGTCAGAGTGGACACTAAGAAAAGCGAGAAGATGGCTCTGCGCGCCCAGATAGGATTCTTGGTGGGATATGAAGCTCACAATATCTGGAAGGTATGGACTACTGGACCTAATGGATCGAAAGTCATACGCGCCAGAGACGTCATCTTCGACGAGACGAAGAAATATGACCCAGAACATCCATTTGTTAAAGAGATTGTCAGAGAAGGTGTGCAGAGATACGTTGACAACGTTGACATACCAAATCTTGAAGACATCGAGCAAAACGATATAATCGACTCAGTTGACGAAGATATGAATCTACAAAGCATGGTCAGCCCAGTTGTGTCAAATATTGAAAATACTGGAGGCACATTACCTCATGATTCCATGGATATTAGCAGGCCAGGTCAAGCACTGGATATACAACAAGATGTGCCACAAAACATGGAGATTGACGAACCAACCCAGCCGGATCAGGATACTATGGATATTGACCACGAAAATCCAGAAAATGAAGCCCAAGAAGCGACACAAATTGACAATCGTGAGAAATCCGTGGTGAAGAAGTTGAAAATCGACTCAGCTGGAGGGGTGGAGCATGAGGATAATATCAAGGAAGAAGTTGACGAGGATAAGAATATCCCCAGCGACAAACAGCTTCCTCAATCTTCAAGTCCCGTGACCATGGAAAGGCTTTCAGCCAATCATGATGCAGAAAAAGCAAATAACGTCAACAACGACTTACCTACCCCGCCTCAAGGAGCCTCTCAGCATTCAAGCGAAAAGAATGAGTCAACAGGAACTCAGGAACCCCTTAGTACCTCTCGAGCACAGGAGATTAACGCGGACCTCTCAGAAAGCAATATAGTGACAGGACCCAGGATTCGAGTACCGTCAAAAAGAGCCCTAAGTCCAGAATCAAGCTCTTTATCAAGGAAGAAGCACAAAAAACTCAGCCGCGCATTTTTAGCCAGGCAAAAGTTGCTACAAGATTCGACAACGGACAAAATCCTTTTAGCTGCACTAGAAAAGCTTGAAAAACCACTTACAGAACAGCTTCCACCAGAACCTAAGAATTGGACAGGCGTTTTACGACACAAATTCAAAAATCAGTTCATACAAGCTGCGAAAACCGAGTTTGAAGCTTTAAACAAGAAAGGCACGTTTGAGTTTGTTCCTAGACCTCAAAATAAGCATATTCTACCACTGACATGGGTTTTCAAATACAAATTTGACAAGTATGGCAAACTTTCAAAGTTCAAAGCAAGGATCTGTGTGCGCGGTGATCTACAACAGCCCAATGAGCTCGAGAAGCGAGCAGCCACACTGGCAGCCCGAAATTTTAGGCTGATGATGGCTCTAGCCGCTATATTCGACTTGGAGATTGTGCAATACGATGCCGTGAATGCCTTCATAAACAGTCTATTGGATGAGGAGGTTTATACATTGTGTCCAGATGGCTTCAAACAAAGTGGCAAGGTCATAAAATTACGGCGAGCTCTATACGGATTACGGAGAAGTCCTCGGTTATGGCAGAAAGAACTAACAACGACCTTATTAAGCCTGGGATTTGTTCCAATACCTGATGAAGAATGTCTATTTATCAAAAATGGCGTTCTTATACTATTTTTTGTTGATGACATCCTTGTGTTCTACGACAAGGACAAAAAACAAGCTATTTTCGAAGAAACTGAGAAAGGCCTTACGAGCAAATACGAGCTCCGAAAAATGGATAAATTCGAATGGTTTCTGAACATTAGGATCCTTCGTGACCGAGCCCAGAGAAAGATTTGGCTCTGTCAGGATTCCTATATCGCGAAGATAGCCAGTCAGTTCAATATCAACACCACGAACAACGTCGACACACCAATATCTGGCAATATTGAGGCCTCAAAAGGAGAAGCAACTAATCAAGAGATTCACGCCTATCAAGAGCTTGTTGGATCCGCCCTGTATGCCTCTATCATGACACGGATCGACGTTGCAAAGGCTGTCAACGAACTAGCCAAACACACGAAAAATCCTTCAATCGCCCATTTCCAGCAGATAAGGAGGGTTATCCAATATCTTTATAACACTCGCTTCCTAGCTATTGAATTCTCACCACCGCAAAATCCTGAGAAAGACGCGTTTATATGTGCCTCAGATGCCTCATTTGGAGACAACCCTGACCGTACAAGTTCCGAGGGTTATTTGGTCCAAATATATGGGGGCCCAGTCGACTGGAGAGCCACAAAACAACGCCTAGTCACGACATCAACCACCGAAGCCGAACTCCGAGCTGCCACCGAGGCCGCCAAGAGGCTTCAAGTTTGGAAACGTGTTTTCAGGTCAATTGGCTTCAAGCCTGATAGAGAGCTCTCTATCCAATGCGATAACAAGCAGACTGTTGCACTATTGACTAGTGAAGAACCGCAGTTTCGAACGAATCTCAAACATGTTGATATATATCATCACTGGCTAAGGCAAGAGATCTCCAAGAAGCGCCTCCGGATTGAATGGGTGGACACCAAGCGAATGGCTGCAGATGGACTTACCAAGATTCTACGCGGTCAGCCGTTCCTAGATTGGAGAAAACACCAAGGACTAGTGAATATAGGCCATTTGACACAGGAATAAAAAGCTCTAAGCTTCCATTCCTGGAGGGGTGTGTTGGATATTTGATACGCTAATCCCAATCAGGATGTCATTACTAATCATGATTCCTCGGAATAACGACATATCCGTGAGAACATGAGAGCCAAACTCAAGCCTACAGTTTGGAGTCAGGATGGTCATTTATCCCGTAAATCCGTGATACTTTGCCACTATGATGTGTATATAAAGAGGATCAAGATGTGTAGTTAGCTATGTTTTAGAAGACGTGCAAATCAGAGTCAATTATTCCTCACCCAAATTGTACAACTCCTATCAGAGCCTAACCCCGTTCGGACTAGTACCAAAAGATTCCAATAGGATACAGAAGTCGAACTACGGAACGGTTCGCAAATACCCCAAAAATACCAAATTCCCTTTAAGGGCGTCCTTTTTGGTGAAACGGTATTACGTTTTAGTTCCGACATGGTGCCAGGAATCTCGATTGCACATATAAACCAACATTTAGTATATTTATTGGTTAAATAACATATCAACGAAAATTGAAAGAGGGAACCAGTAAGAAGTTCATACTGCATTATAAAAATGTTCGACATATACTGAATTATCAGTGACTTTGCGAGAATGATCCATTGCTTTCAGATAAACACTGTCAATTCGATCATGGTAGCGGTGACAGAATCGACGAATCTAGCACTCCTCAACATCATGTTGTACAAGCTCTACAACAAGATTTCGAAGAATTTGAGACGTTGGAGGTAATCCACGAGACGAGAGCTTCGATATATGATTAAGAAGGACTTCTTCTTGGGCAACTGTAAGGAGTTTGTGGTGACTGGAAGTTGCTTCCTGGTTTGACACAGTCTGGCCTTTATATTAGCGCCTTATGGTCGAAGGCTCAAGATTATATTTCCTAGTAGCTTTTACATATTAAGGCTTTTCTTGTGATTCTAGATCACTAAAGGCCTTTAAAATATCTGTTTTGTTGACCATGTTATCGAATTTTGAAGGTTATTTGTAGGAGCTGGGTAAAACGGGCATCGAGTGATCGGGTACGATAGAGTAGCAAAATACAATAATCCCGCGGCTTGATTCTGATATAGCCAAGTTGTATCCTAACAGCCAATTAAAGAATTCCACATCACCTCGTGCGTGCTTAAATCCGGGATTATGATATATTGGGATTGGGTCGGGGTTGCTAGCTTCAACTGACGAACACAGACACGTGGGAACAGAAACAAGATGGCTAGAGAAACGCCCTTAGGAAGCGAGATTAAGAACATAGGTATAAAAAGGAATTTATAACCTTATATGTGAGCCATTCGTTCAGCCTAACAATTCGTCCTGCCACCCATCAACTTGTGGTTCGGAATGCCCTCAATTCTATATTTGCCCGCTGTACTGGCAGCTGCTACTAGCGTCGTAAACGCTTCTCCCACAACAAAATCTCCCGGTGTCAACACGACAATTTGCAATAAATTGACATATGTGTATGAAGAATTAGCTGGTTATGGATACTTAGCCAGCGATTTTCGGGATCGTTACGGTGACAGCGTCAGTCTGGGGTCTTCCATCGCTATAGATAAAAGTACATGGTCTCGAAGAGGAAATGTTTACGAAGGCCTTATGTACGCCCTACCAGGTACGGTCCATACCTTTTCGTACATTCAGGTTCATGCTTTATGTTTTATCCTCGCTAGCTTTTCAAGGAAAGCTTGCCAGGCTTTTGTCCGCATTTTACCGTCTCGTTTATTTAGCTATTGACATTTGTCTTACTAATTATGGGTTCTTCTCACTGGGAGTAACAGACCGCGGGTGGAACACTAATGGCACCATCAACTTCCAAGGCCGTATTTACAAGTTGTGGCTAACGCTTACCTTGGACGAAAATGCATCCGTCGAGAACCCTTCTGGGCCAAATCTGGATATTAAGTATCTCGATAGCCTTCTGCTACACGATATCTATGGCCAGCATATGACTGGCCTAGATGCGGACGCAACCGGTCCTTACTTGGCTTATCCGGAAATATTCCCATTTCCGAAATTCCCAGAGGTTCCCTCTGCAAAGTACTCCGGGGATGGATTTGGAGGTACTGGTCCTGGTGGGTTCCATATGTCACTAGATTCTGAAGGTCTCGTTCTTGGAGTAGATGGCACTTTCTGGGTGAGTGACGAATATGGGCCCTATATCTATCAGTTCTCTGCAGATGGACTGCTCTTGCAAACCATTGAGCCTCCCGCAGCGTTCGTGCCCATGCGCAACAATTCTGTCAGCTTCAGTGCCGACTCTCCACCAATCTATGACCTTAACATGAAGATTACTCCATCTGATAACCCAACAGGAAGAGATAACAATCAGGTCAGTACCCGTTTATCATAATCAACAAGAATAGACTCACGGAACCTTTGACACTCACATTATCTCGTGATTCTTACCAGGGCTTCGAGGGCCTCACGGTTTCATCTGACGGCACCAAGTTGTTCGCTCTTACACAATCAGCCCTCAACCAGGATGGCGGGTTGAAAAAGATGAATAGACGCTATGCTCGATTGGTGGAGTATGATCTCAGTTCGACTAAAATAGCTCCTACGTATGTCGCTGAGTATGTGGTTCCATTACCACTGTACGATGGCGATTCTCAAGTTGCCGCCCAATCTGAAATTCACTACATTTCAGATAAGCAGTTTCTTGTGCTAGCTCGCGACAGGAACGCTGGCCATGGACAAAAATCTTCTGAAAGCGTTTATAGAAATGTCGATATTTTTGATATTTCATCAGCTACTAACATCAAGTCTGCACTATATGATGCGCACAATGGTACCATCTCGCCGGATGGTGTTTTGAATCCGAAAATTACACCAGCTCAGTACTGTACATGGCTAGATTTCAACGTCAACAGTCAATTAAATAGATTCGGCGTACACAACGGCGGTGATCAAAATGAGACTCTCTTAAACGAGAAATGGGAGAGCCTCGCCCTGCTTCCGGTAGACCTGCACGGCAAGAACGAAAAAGACGAGTATTTTCTTTTCTCTTTCAGCGATAATGATTTCATTACGCAGAATGGTAGGTCTTCATTATATCTCTCTTCCTCTCTTTAAGGATACTGGGAAGCAAGATTTTGCGTCTCTAACGTAAATGTTCGGTTTATAGGATATATGAATTTCGGCCGTTATCCTTATTCTGACGCCAGTGGCTATAACGTGGACAATCAGGCATTGGTGTTCAAGGTCAGACTGCCCAAGGGGACAAATCCCCTTGTCTAGTTCGGCGATTCTCAAAGTGAACCAGTGTCAATTGCACAGGTAGATTGAGGCTACGTCGATTTATCAAAGGGAGCTATGAGGGCTAGTTAGAAGTTGTTGACATTGGCAATCATCTATTATTTTTACCATGTTTTCTCCATTTGGGTAGATTTCGAGATGTTGAAATCCACTGTCCTCGTGGTCAGATATTGCGTACCATGTTTACCTCTCGTGGCAGGGCTATGAGGCCATTTCTACATCGTTGGTTGGTTCTCAGATGTCGAAGTACAAATAGGAGGCCTAGATGTGCCTAGTGCCTTGGAATCAAAATTGATAAATTTAGAAGGCAGAAAGGTAGAGGAGTGTCTGTTCCGACTCATCTTCGGTTCATTGATGGGATATATGGCTCATCAGCCTTAACCCCTAAGACTGCTGGGGTGAGAAGACCAAGTTCTCAACTACCATGGACCCTTCTGTTTACTGGACTTAGTATGCACAAACATCATTTGGTCCGTGGAAAGGACTTTGGATATGGTTTTTATCGTCTACTATTTCAGGCTTTTCGTCAACCAGTGTTGGACCAATCCTAAGTCTTTGCGCACCTCACACTGATCGGCTGAGAAGCTCGTGAGTGTTCCAGATCACAGGGGATTATCGTAATCGATAAGATCGCAGCGGTCTGTCTGAATCTTGCTATGATCTTAGTAGTGTTTGACTGGACTGGACTACACATGCTTTCCTCAGTCACTAGTTATAAATAATCGGGCATAAGCCGCCCATGCTTAGCAGATTCCTGAGCTTCTGTAGTGAGATAAAATTACAATTGTGCAATTCTTTGCTCGATCATTGACGAGACGGCATCCACAGTGCCTAGGGTACGAGAGTACTTTGTGGTCTCGTACTGTCAACTAACCAATTTGGCCCAGATTCGCGTCCGGATGTATTGGTAATGAATATAAGGCGGCGTGCGAAATGGACCGGATGCTGAATCTCTTAGACGCGATGTGTCTTAAACGGTCCGATAGCTGGTTCTGTAAATCAGAGGATATGGAAACAGAAGATGGCACTTGTCAAGAAGGAACCAGGAGCTACATTGCTAGGAAATTATGTGGAACGCAGTGTTATTACAGCCATGGTGCTGACGTGTTGGTTGGGTTGCATTCACTCTATTCGAGGTCCACCTGCTTGACATTTATGAGACGGTGCGGGAATGGTTGATATTTGGTAGTGGGAGAACATGTGCGCTTTTTACTGGCTCTGCAACTGGCAACGCCAATTCCCGTGTTGAAGGGAACAGCTTATAAGAAGAGTGTTTTCATGCGGGTTCAATAGCCCAGTGCAGCCGCTCATTGCTTGAAGAGCCAATGGATGAGCAGGAGAGAAATGCAGTGTGCAAGGAATGTCTGATGTAAAGTAGTCCATCTAGTGGTCCTAATCCTCGATAAACCGCATAAGGTAAGAAGTATGAAGCGTATGTACGTAGTAGAATACTGAAAAATGGAAAGAGAGGAAGAAGAAATGTTGGAATGCTTGCTTGCTTAAAACAAGATGTATTTCTGGGAGGATTCCCAAGCTATTTATGCTTGGGATCCTGCTACCAGTACATGCAAACAAAGCCAACAAGATAATGATCTTTCATAGATATCTTACAAGGATATTTCACATATATCAATTATCAAACGGGAGGCTGCACGTGTGAAGATTTCATATGTCAACACCGTAGTATCTAGCAACAGATACAAATAGTAGGACGGTAGATTGGGTTACAGAGATCCAAGGTTATGGACTCATATTGATACTATATCTTCAATTCTCTCTCTATAAGTAACACAAAACTCCATGGCTACCAGATGTATTGTTCGTAAACGATTGTTGAATTCAATATATGTTATACAGTGGATAAACAATCTCATGCAACATCCAGTAGTGAACGCATCAGATTCAACCCCCTGCATTAGAGTTGATCTAGTATTTCTTCGGAACAAGTGTCATTGATGGACTTTGGGATAAAGTCCTGAATGCTGTCCGCGAAGGTAGAGAGGATGAAGATAGGCGCGGTGTAGTTACAATGGAAGTTGCCTCTGTAGACGAGGCTCCAATAGCAGGTGACGAAGTAGTGGCAGGTGAGCCAATGCCTATACAGTCTGTAGGCAGGGAAATAGTTTCAGACTAGTTTTGGTAAGTTAGTAATTTCAACACAACTACTGCTGTCTGGATTTCCTTGCTTACCGTTATAGTTACCGTGGCTACATCACTAACACTAGCCAGTAACCAAACGCCAGCTGATGGTGCCAACTGGATACCCAATTCGTGATGCTCGGGATCACCTGCACAGGCACCAGATGGAGCTTCAATACGTCAGTATGAAAAGAGAGAAGGAAACGTTCATAGATTGTCTACATACCGTCAATAGCAGATAGCGTTGCTCCTACTAGAGGTTGCAGTCCGATCCCAGCCGATAGTCCTTCACCTATACGTAGACCGTTTAGTAATAAACAAAATCATATCTGAACGTTGATCTTTCTCACCAAGCACCGTAATGTCGAATTCAACATCGGCTACTAGGCTCAGAGATATCCCCGCGCTAATAGAAGTTGATACAGAGGGCGTAATTCCAGAAACCCGTGGGGTCCAACCAGCAGACTTAAAGTCGGATGGCGAAGAAGATCGAGATGCATCTCAGCTGATCCTCTACGCTAGCGTGACGCGCTGTAACGGATGCCGTGCCCTTCAAGGGCCCAATATTTAAGGACCCGGTGAATGCAATCTCAGGTCCTAGATCGATGATACCTGCAACAGCAATCCCATCAATAGGAATACGAAGGAAGGTTTCTTTGAATGATAGACTGCTGCCGATATTTCCGCTAAGCGAGAAAGTAGGATCGAGGACGACTGAGACATTTCGAGGGGCAATAGTAAGGGTTGCATCCACGGGAATACCCAGTTCAGTTTTCAAATCGAATTCGAAGGCAAAGTCGCCTGTGGTGTAACAAGTCTTACAGGTGAGACCGACCGAAAATGTAGGGTCGATTGGGAAGCTCCAGTTTCCAAATCCGAGTTGGTGATTGAAGTCCAAAGTGTAATCTCCGGTGTAATCGCGTCGGGACAGGGCTGTCTGGGCCATTGTACTCATATGAAGGTGGTAGTTTGATGCGATCTCGCGCCATTCGACCCTAGAGCCGGACAAGACAAGTTCGGTGTTATTGTTACTGTAGCTGAATGATGATATAGAAAAAGGCTGACGATCCTCATTCCAGTCACACTGGCCAGCACCCGTGACTAAAATAACGGTATTGTTTTCCGCTTGGTTCATCCAGTCCCATTGATTACGCAGCTGCACATATGCTGATGCATCGTTTAATTGCAAGGCTATTGTATCATTGGAGCACTTAATAGATGTGGTCAGGCCTTGAAGGCGCTCAAGGCTGATAATGCTTTCGCCGTCATCTGGTGTATGCAGAGTAAGTGTTGCAAGAGTTGTACTATCACCAATTGTGCCTTCACATATTTATGTTAATTTGGAGGAAATCATCAGTCTCTTCCATGTGACACATACTACTCCATAAAAATGATTCGTTATTTCGTAGTGCTAAAGAGGTGGAATGCAGCGAACCTGCTGCGAGGCTAGCAGACGTTAAGGTTATTGGTTGTAGTTTCAATGAGTAACTCAAATACCCAAAAAATGAGACAATCAGCCACGACAGCTGCAAATGAGAGTATGTTGGTGCCATCGCGACCAAGTTGGTATAAAGCGAAGGGAAGCAGCAAACACCACGGTGAATGCTTAGATGAAAGGAATGACTGTATTGGAATTTACGTGGAATTCCAATGTTCGCAATAATCGTTGAAGCAGTGGCGGTCAGGTGTTTATAAACATCTTTATCGGGGTCCCCCTGTTGAGATGGGGCCATTCCAAGAACCGTACCCAATTGTCAAGCACATGCTTGAACTGAGTTTTTCATGCTTCCCCTGGGCAGCCAGCTTCTCTCAACTAGCAAGTTTAACATAGCTACCGACTAAGGTAGCATTGACTGTGAATGACCGGCCCCCATGCTAGGGGTTTATCAATTAACAAAGGATCTGCAGAGTTCGAAGATCTGTTTAGGGCTTGCCGCATTGTTCAAGGTTCATCGGTACCTATGGGATCGTAAGCAGTCTGATTTCCGCCAACGCTAGTGTATGAATATGTCGTAAAAACGTACAAGCTTGCATACTTTGCATCGAGAATGGTCCTATTATTCTAGAAGGATTCCATAAACGACAGGTTTATTCTTAACAGGGTGTGCTTCCAATCATCCCGCTAAGTGGGCTGGGTTGATTAGAATCGGCGTCGCAGTTTTAGTATTGTGTTTCAGACAATGCAACGTTTCGAATCAGCATAATCTTAATTTAACTCAAGGACCAAACCGATCATAAAATTCAATGGTTTGATGGGATCAGAGTATTATTCTTGTATTCTGACACAGTTGGCTATCGCTGCATTGACAATACATTCGTGATATTTTAAGCCCTAAGTATGATCTACGTACCGTAGGGGTTGTGCGCCAATCCCGAGGGAATGCTCAACCCCTGAGAACTACATAGGATTGTCGAATTTGGAAGTCGACCCTGAACTAAAGTGACATGTAATGCCACTAAGTGCTTGGTTTGCTTTTATCGTTCCAAGACCGGTTTGGGATTAGGGTTAGGGCCAACTTGCACTTTGCCGTCACTCATTCCAATCTTGATAAAACAGAAAAAATTGATGATAATACATAGCTTAGTACAAAGGTACGTAATTCCTCGATTCCTTACGCCAATGATACCCTTATACGCTATCAAACACCGTTTTGCAACTCTCATACATTTAGGACAGTGACGGGGGATCCATGTTCAGCCAACGAGCGTAATCTTGTTCAGAAATTGGAATATACTTCGATAAGCAAAAGATTGCTAACTTAATTGGATCCATGTGCACCGTAAAAACTGTCATTCCCATAACATATAACTACTAATTAATTCACATAAAGTTATGAAAAACCTGGGCTATTCAAGCCCCGCAGCAACTCGTCGGAAGATTCTTAATGGTTGCCGAGGAACTCGACGAATCGTGGATTCGCTACTCATCGACAACTTATGTACGAACGAGATACTCTCTAAAGCATTACTACCACCACCGAACACTAGAAACACTCTATTTACTCGACTAACTCGCAAACATGGAACCCTACCCGTTCAAGTTCAGTACCGAAGAATCAAACCATCAACTCCAACCTGATCAGTCCGGAGTGACATTACACTTGAAAAATGTTCGGGGACGTGTGCCATCTCCACAGGCATCTCGACTACGAAGTTTATGGGTAGAAGCTCACAAAGACCCAACCAAGATCCTAGCTTTCCCTTGCTCTTATGATGGACTTTCATCTCGCTTGATTGAAGAGGCTGGGTTCCCGATGATATTTATATCCGGATTCGCCGTATCCAGCGCTCACGGACTCCCGGATACTGGATACATTGCGATGCAGGAAATGTGTGATAAGGTCCAGGAAGTTGCTAGACAAGTGACTTTGCCAATTTTAGTAGATGGTGATACGGGGTATGGGAGTCCCATGAATGTCAGACGAACTGTAGAATCATTTGCAAAGGCAGGTGCGGCTGGAGTCATGATCGAGGACCAAACATGGCCAAAACGTAAGGATACTTATAACAGAAAATGATATGGATCATTACTAACACATTCCTGAAAACAGGCTGTGGTCACACGAAAGGGAAATCTGTCGTGACTCGCGAGGAAGCATATGCACGAATTCGAGCCGCATGTGACGCTCGTAATCAGGGCCAGGACATTTTAATTCTAGCACGCACTGATTCCTTAATATTGGGCTGGGAAGAAGCCATCACTCGCGCCAAGGAGTTTAAGCGCATAGGTGCAGACGGAGTGTTCGTTGAAGCACTCCCAGACAGGGCGGCAATGAAAAAGTGTATTGCGGAGGTCGACATGCCCATGCTAGCAAATATCATTGAGGGAGGTAAAACAGAAAATATATCTGCTAAGGAACTCGCCGAGCTGGGATTTGCGGCCGCCGCGTACCCCTGGACTCTTGTAGCAGCAAAGTTGAAGAGCATTCGCGATGCTTTGGAAAGCCTCAAGCGGAGTTTTATGGTGGGACCCCCCGAAACGATTCTATCTTATGAAGAGGTTGTCAAGGGTGTTGGGTTTGGAAAGTACTGGGTAAGTATTGATTCCATTCGATGAGTCTCTGGGACTGGGCTGATACGTCAATTAACCACACAGGAATTGGAAGAGAAGTACAAGTATTGAGTAATACAATGATCTGAAGTCTCCGTTTAGCAGAGGACCAAGCACAGGAGATCGTCGAAAATCGAGTAGTTATAGTTAAATGAAATTTCGGTGAAATGATAATTTATAGTGCTAGTGTAGTGAGAGTGTTATCGTAAAGCTACAGCACTGTGCTGTAACAGACAACATTCAAATGAGATAATGAGGGACCGAAAATGGATCAGGTATTACCGCCCCAACCCATCGTTAGATTCCAATCCTGTCTAACCTCACTGACTCCTCTAGCCAATCCAACCACGGAATCCATAAATGTACCATCCCCACGGTCAACCCGTCGCCTTCGTTCAATTTCGGCTTCGGAGTCGTTTGTACGAGCACGTAGTATTTGCTCCGTTGTTAGGCCCTGCAAACGTTCTGCGTCTTCTAGTAGGATGATTTCGTCGTCTTTCCGTCTTGCCCATGCTGCTTGTTTGACAGCCGGCGCCCAGAATTCAGCCAAAGTGTGCTCATCACGACCACGAGCATACATTCTCCTCGCAACAGCTCCAGTACCATCATCAATAGAGTGTGACGAATACCAGCAAGAATAGATCACGGCATATTTCTTCTCCAGTAGCCAAATTATTGGCCATGTGATAATCCATAGCTGGAGAATGATGCACGTCCAAAATACAAACGAGTTATTGCGCAGCTTGTTGATCCAATGCGGGGAGTAAATAGTAACTTTACTATTCACGATTTCCATATGCGCAGATATTTGACCTCTGTAATTTGTCTCTCGGATCTGAGACTTCAGGTAGTCTACCATTGCAGTTGCGTTGAAGTTGTGAACATGGCGAGTCAAGGTGAATCTGTAAAATAGTAGTCAATAAGAGGCAAACATTATGGTAAGAGACGAAAAGTAAAGAGAAGTGCCGAAACAAATAGCTGGAAGGGCCACGTACGATTTGACTGGTGATGTATCAGTACAATATCTAGAGCACCACTCAAACAGACCCGTTTTGTCTCCTTGAATCAGCCTCTCTTGGTCTATATTGACAGGAGGAACACCCTCCTCTTCATCTCGATACGAATTATTTCGATTCAGACTCTGAATATCTCCCGCTGCAGATGGTAGATTCTTATTCGCCTTTGACCCTTTCCAAGTGAGAGTCTTCAACCGTGTTCCCCTGTATGTTTTCCTCTCGTCGTAGTCGAATGATACTGTCGCGTTATGCCATGTGGATTGGGGTAGAATTTCCCTTGTCGCTGTTATCGATCCAATTTCCCACCCGGTCAATAGGGTTTCCGCGAGGTCGAGGCGAAAGTCAAAGTCCGTAACTGAGTTGGTTTGCTTCTTGTTGTCTTTGTGGTTGGTCGACGATTCGGTATGGCTACCAGTAATGACAATTTGGGGACGTGGCGGTAAGCGGATTTGCTGTGCCATCAAGCTAGCCAGCTCCTCCGCATATCGAGTATACGCTGGCTCTAAAGTTACAATGTGGGCATTTCGTATGCTCGACCTCACGCTTTGAGCTCTCCGTCCCCCGAGTAGTCTATAGTCGGTGTCTATTAATCTTGCACTGGGGAGAGATTGACCAATGGTATTTTGTGTTGTCGATGTAGAATGATTCAGTCCATTTCCATCGCCGTTGGAAATTGCTGCATCATAAGATGGCGGGTTCTCGTAGTTGTCAGCATCAACGAGCAGGTCAGTTTCGTCATGGTCCAGAAGCTGCAGAGAATGAACCGACTGTGAGGATGAACCTGCGACCGGTTGAGTGGAGGATGGTTTCCCCATTGTGAAATATTTGTCGTCGTCGAAAAGGAAGACACATGTTGAGAACTGGGGAACAGAAGCCTCTCTTATCGCGTTACTGGAGCTGGTGCCTGGAGAGTGGGGAGGTCGCCAAGCAGCCCGATCAATCGTCTGTCAGCTGCATGGTAAAAAAGGTATCCGAGCGATGTATTGTACCGTTTTGATACATCGCGCGTAATTTACTCGAAGACATAGGCTAACCATGTCAGGTTAGGTGTCCGCGTTGGCGTTGTGGCTGTGAAATACTGAAACTCAACTACGTACTCCAGAGGGAACCCATAAAAACACCAAGCAGATTTTATATGAGAAGGAAAATATGGGCTATCGCGAGATCAGGCCGGAGTATGAGAAAGGATATGTAATTAGCGCACTAGTGCCCTATATGGTTAGTCCCTCCGGGTGTGATAAATATCTATCTACCCCCCTCCGGGTGTTAGTGCTCACCGGTTTAAAACAATATTTGTTAAAACAACATTTTTACCTATACCATCAACGAGATGCCTAAAAAACCACCTAAAAAGATCCGGAGATTTATAAAAAGAGGAAATTGCAATTCAAAATGCTTACCGATCATATTTACAAAATAAAAATCAAAAAATTGCCGTGTTGGCGCGAGAATTCGACGCGCCTTATCGCCGCTTACTTGCTCACATTCACGGTCAAACTTCATATTAAGATCGTCCGCCACCGAATATCCTATTAACAGATGATCAAGAACGCTCTGTAAAAGCATGGGTTGAGCGTTTAGATCTTATAGGAACACCTCCTACAAATAGAATGATTATAGGATGCGCGAACGCAGTTCTGGCGCGTGTAAATCCGCACCTATCCCCCCAGCCTGGATATACCGCTTCCTCAAGTGACTCCCGGATGGCTACGAACGAGTTGAACAAAACCAATTAACTCAAGAGGCTTACTGCCGAGGACGTTGGCGTCATTCAAACTTGGTTCGATCATCTTGAAATTCAAACTAGAACTAAGAAGATTACACCAACTAATATTTGGAATTTTGACGAGACCGGATTCCGGGTTGGACAGGGGAAGCAGGAGACTGTGGTCACCCGATTCCCTCAAACCTCTACAAAATTCCAAGTGCGTCCTCTCGAGAATCTCTCACACTTATCAAATGCGTAAGTGCCACCAGAAAAGTGATTTCTCCGCTCGTTTTCCTCGCCGGTAAAAATCATATGGAGGAATGGTATCAACATCTTCAAAAAGAGGATTATTGATAACTTATTCCAAAGGGGGCTTCTCAAATAGCGAGATTATCTTCGAATGGATTCATCACTTTGCAATTTCAACTAAAGAATATGCCGGAAAAGGTTGGCAAATGCTTTTAATGGATAATTTCAATGCTCATATTACATATGAGTTGATTGAGTATTGTGAACGCCAAAAAAGTCTTTATTTACACCTTTCCACCAAACACGACGCACATTCTCCAACCGCTAGATGGTGTGCCTTTCCAGCCTATAAGCATTATCACGGAGTTGAGCTTAATAATCAAGCGCGTGCTGGAGACTAGGTTTTCGACAAATATGACTTTTTATACCCAACTGTTCGCAAGCAAACCCTTACGTCTAAGATTATACGCGCTGGATTCCGTGATCGAGGAATTGTTCATTACAATCCTGAGCTTATAATTGAAGCTATTTTTATAATACAAATCTATGATGATAATGAGCAGGATATTGCCAGTTCACCTACAACCTGGTCGACCTCACCGCCCCTTGATCTGTACCAAATTAAGCGTCACGATAAAAGGATTGAGAATGATTCAGCTATTAAGGAGTCTATTAAAAATATCAGCCCGAACCTTGAGCGCCGTGTTCAGTGTGTTATAAAAGGAAGTCTTATAAATGCGCATTTACAAGCGCGATCCAAAACTCACATCAACCAACTCTTGGATCTCAACTGGCGCAAGAATAAGGCAAGAACTCGACGTCAATTATTGAATGTAGGAGATGTTCTTTCTGCTCGAGATGCTAATACACGAATTGAGGCCAGAAAGCTGAGGAAATTAGAAAAAAAGTGGCCGCAATAAGAATGCGCTCGGAAAAAGCGAAGTGAACAGGCAAAAAAGATCGCACAAGACCTCGGCAATCCCACAAATATTTCCGCAGCTATCGATGCTATGCTTCAAGAGGGAGAGCAGCCTGATGAAAATCCTTACTTTTATCTAGATTCGGAGCCTAGTCCATTGTAAAAATGTCATTTTTTGGAGTACATAGGTGAAAATGTTTGTGTTAACAAATATTACGCTTTAACCAGTGAGCACTACGATCCGGAGGGGGTTGGTGCGAGTTGGCACGGGTATCTATCAAATAACCCTAAGTCTCACTGTTCGAATCATGAAATGGGAAGCGTCACTTGAACTATCATGACACCGAACGCAACAGAGGCAGAACTCTCTTCAGCTTCGGGAAGTCGGAGACAGGTGCGTGATCGGTTCCCATTCACTAAACAGTCCGGATTAGTATCATTCGCATATTTTTATCAGTAGCATATCTCTTGATATGCATACAGTGAAATGAAAGCCTGGATTTTTATATAACAGGCCGCATGAAGTGCAGCTGAGAACCACATATGGAATGGTCTTCAAAGAAAGGCGACTACCAAGGCGCATTGAACCCTAAGGCTACAATATATTTCCACGAAAAAGTTACCCACCTGGGATATTGCTATCTGTCAAACAAAGTCGACTACCTAGACGCATGGAATATATTGATGGGAAGTTCCTCCCTTTTGTCTCCAGCGCCGCTTTCCGCATGTAGTTAGCGCGGTTGGGAGAAGGATATACCCTCGCGTGCTAGCGAGGATATCCTTCTTCCCATCATGATCCTCTCACACACATTAGCTAGCAAGTAATACAGAGAATTCCTTGCTATCAGCTCCCAAGAGAATATGATATTGAGCCCACAAAGGTAAAAGTTGTTCTTTACAATTTCTCGAGTTCATAGCAATGAGATTCACTATTTTTGATGCAGTGAAAGAAGAAGCACCTTACCCAATGGAATTAGAAAATACATAGGTATTTCATTAATGCATATATAAGCAAAAGCCGAAAGAGAAAGATCAGAGAATTTGAGTGATCGAGGCAACGGTGATGGCTTGGTATGGTTCAAGAGAGACAGCTCATTCTTTAGATTGGCTACTGCCGCTCCCAAGTCCCATATAGCTTGCAGCATTCTTTGCGCTTCCCGAGATCGAGTTTCCAATATATTGGGCACTATTTTTTGTACCACTGATCATAGAATCCGTATATCCAGCAACAGGGCTGCCATATGATCCTTTCTCGTTCTTCCCATTTCTCTGCGCTCGGTTGATTCCTTCTTTGCTAGCCAGATTTCCAATTGGTGCTGCGATTCCGTTCTCACCAAGCTGGTTACCTACAACGTTGTGGACATCATCTTGCAGTTGATCGATCTGGCTAACGCCGGTAACTTTTGACTTGTTCAAAGTATCTGTGCATGTATTTTCAGCAATAGCTTTCACTATTCTTTCAGAAATAAAAGTACCTTTAGTGGCATAAGACGCCTTGTTGTCGCCCTTGCCAAACCATTTCAAGTACTGGTCTTCGATCCACGGCATCCACTTCTCGTATTGCTCCTGGTAGGCTTCCCTTACCCATTCAGTGTAAGACTTGTTCTCTCTCTCATTGACAGGCAAGTTATTGTAGAAGTGTTGTTTCTGTTCTTCTGTGTGCTCACTGGCGGACTTTGTTGTTTTATTGATAGTATCCATCCTGTCGATAGTGTAAAATGAAAACTGGCTCTGCGGTGAATTGGTCTCGAGGTATAACTTTCGAAGAAGAGTTGTAAAGCGTAGAACAGGAAGACGACCCTTATAAGCCTGATTAGGGCCTCTTTCTACCCTAATCAAGAGATCGGACGGCGCTGACGTCGTGTGGAGTAGCCTTTGACGTAGCTGTATCTTTGCAGCGAATCGGAGAATTTATTTCAAGAAAATCTGGCAATGTCTTACATTTCATTGGTTCATTGGTTGATTTGACCCACTGTATCGATCAGAGATCTGGAGTCTATTTTGGGAGGTTGTTTACATGGCCAACCCTAATTGTAGCTCTGAGATTCCTTAACAAAACCCGAAAGAATATTCATTCTTATCGAGCGACAATCATGTGAATCAATATAAGATACTTAAAATGTGAGCGCGATATCAATCTCAACTTGCGATGTCCCTAAGATTTTCTCATAATTCGTTTTCTGCGCTTCCGGGGAGCTGTCAATGAATCTCATAAAAGAGATATCTCTAGCCAAACCTTTTCGTGTAATAGCTTCAGATTTGAAGCCGCTACTTGCATGGGCTGTGCCTAAAGGTCCATTTCAATGTCATCATAGACCTATTGATCTTAGAGGGAACCCCACGAATGTAGAATGGGCATTTTCCCCGTCCAGCTACGTGGAAAGATCTGTCGTAAATCGCCCATAATCAGTAATACTGAATTCACTCCTACCCTCATAATCACGCCATCCGATAAAGTTTTTGAAGGTCCGATGGGGAGACATGGTAGAAAAAATGTAGTACTTAATAGAGGACCACATGAACGACCCCAGTAGAGCAGTTTCTCTTGTCCGCGATTCCATTGTACGGGACTGGCAATTCTCTGTTTGACATCGTAACTGTAGACTTTATCTCCTTCTCGCTGCTTTTTAACCCTTCCTCTTCACGCCACTCTGTATGTCTTTCAATAATCTCGAGCATGTCATAGGCTACAGGTACTGTGTTGACCTGTTCATAATCAAATATGGTTGGTGGCAGCTCTTATATTTAAGGAATGACATATATTTGTTTAATATGACTGTAGTGGTTTCTGTAACGGTCACTCGGCTGCAGTTTTATGTCTTAGGTACCATCGCATTAGTGTCATTAAGATCCCCAATGTGCCAGAACTGTATTACATGCTCACAAATTGCTTACCTAGGAAGTCAATGGCATATCAAGGTTCACTCCGAGATAATTCAAGATCTACTGATTGACTATGTACAATTAAGGACTTTTACATATATACAAAATACCCCTAACTTCCTCTTGTATCTTCAGTTCGGTAAGTGGATTCAGAACGCGGCATTCAATAGGCACTTTAACCCAAAGTCGCTGTAAAGAACAGCTGAAGTCCCAATATTATCAATTTGACTTTGGCATTGCAATATTTGCAGTCGATGCTCTAGACAAGGCGCCATTGAATTCCGTTGGCGCCTGTCATAATGGTGCCGTCACCATCTTGGCCGCCGAAATCCTCCCACAAGTTCAGGCACATGTCAATGATGTCCGCACCGGCAGTGTCAGCAATAGCAGCCTGCTGGACAACACCATTTGCTCCTGTAATTTCGATCGTCTTGCCGCAGAGTTCATTGTTCTGAGAAGCACCAAACTGGCTCATGACAGCGGATGCCATGGCGACTAAGGGAATGGTTGACGAGCTAGGGATCTCGGAGCTGAAATATGTAGATAATCCACAGCTTCCAGCGGTGTAAAATATTTCGTTACAGCTGGCATCGTCGGCGAAAGAGTAGATGGAGCCATCGATTGCCATATTCGAGTAGAACGAGGAAGGAATATCCCGCTTCTGGATGGGATTGGCAACTGCCACTTGAGAACCGAGCAAAAGTGCGGAGACGGCAATAGTAGCAACCGTGGATTTCATCTTGTCTGCTTGTTGTTTACCTTCTTTGTCCTGTCAAAGCACTGTCTGAAAGGAGCGTAAGAGGATAATTGAAAAGCTGGGTAATCTGTATAGTAACGGATGACTAGATGTGGCAGAAAATTGTAACTGTCCATTGGGGAATATTGCTCCTTTATATTCCGGAATCATGGTCAACCAATTTAGTGAAGTCTAGACTTAAGAACAAGTTGTTGATGATGACAAGGTTATGGTTACATCTGGCCCCCAGCTTGTGCTGACTGTTGGTAGTATGGCAAGTTAGGGGCAGGTGTTGACAGCAGCCATTCCGTTTCATCCTTTAGGCCACGGTTCCACTATTGCAAAGTATGCGTGGTACCTGAAGCTAAAGTATAATCGATTCCGTCTAATTCCATGTACATTGTAGTAGATCTGACTATGTATGCATACCTAGGTATGTTTATGCGGACGACTGTTCTATATAGCTCTTAAACATCCGTATTCTGCTTTAATTCTTGAACAACGGCTTCAACAATCAGCTGAGATAGAGAATAATCTTACTATATGTTATTGTTCTTCCTGGCTTTAATTTGGTGTGTAGTCAAATTTAATTGCGACGACAACCAGCCGCCCCTAGGTTACATAGGATTAAGCCAAAACATTTGGCATGTACCTACCAACGAAGGTACCGTGCAAATACATTTCCTAATATCACGTAAATTTTGATATTGGCTAATACTACATTGTGACAGCAGGATCACTCGTTTATTAGTCATAAACAAGGTGGATAGTTGATTTCTTTTTTTTTTCTATTGCACTATCCGGTATAGATTTGGTGGATCTTTTTCTATATAATTCTATATAATTCTAGTCTCTATCGGGTGTACCACCCCTGCATACTAAAATTACTGAATGAAAAGAGGCTCCTGGAGTAATCTGAAGTTGACATGTGTGTTAAGAGATTGAACATCAGCTAGGGTTCTTGAAAGGGCAAATGGAGACGACTTGTAAACCACGGTTTTTTAACTGGAAAGTTCCCACAGAATACAGGATGCCGCGCTCATATTCGTACATCAACGGCTAAGTATGTTGATTCCTTTGTGAGAATGTGGACACCATGATATTGGCATTGCATGGGACCAGAGACGGCACTGCAACCTCGAGTAAACCATACGGACACATCAAGCCATGGGTAACAGTGGAAGGACATGTGTGAAGTATTCACTCTTTACCTCACTAGTCGCGTCTCACATAGACTCTAACTAAGATGAGAGAGCAAGACACCCCCTCAGCTTTCATACATTCTTCTAGTGTACTCGACAATAAGTCTTGGAAGTTGTTATCGTTTTGAAGGTTAATCTCTTGTAGTTGCTCAGCTCTGACAGGATCACAGTATAGGATATTGACTATGCCTTTCACTTTAGTAGATGTAAGCTGGATGAATAAGACGAGCTCAGAAAACTAGTCTTCCATTTAAGGAGCATTTATCCGATAAAAAAGTATAAATTCTCTTTCAACATCAAGTGCATCAACCTTCCAAGTAATCCAAGTGGTTCTTCTGATATACCGATAATGCAGGAAAGAGGCTGTTGGTCATAAATAGTCTAAACTTATCCGGCTTAAATTGTATACTATATCTGCATTAAGGGGGAAAAGAGGCAGAGATAAAGAAGTTGGTGTTGGTTGCTTCATGCAATCGAGATGTGTCAGATAAGCTGGCTTTCCAATGAAGCCATCAAATGAAGCGATCAATCCGAAACTGTTATGTGTAAGAGAATGGTCTCAGGTTTACCCCATGGCCCATGGGATAGCTTACAAATCAGCTCAGGAGAAGGTCTATATAGACGCGGCTTTGGAACATGATGTACTTAGAAGAAGTGAACACACAGAACTGAAAGAATCACCTATTGAGATTGACTCAAGTGCTTCGTACGTACGTATATGCACCTTAGTGCACCCACACTGATCAGTCTTGGTTGCAAAACTAAGACAGATTGGCAAGGTCTCTGAATTCTATATCGATAGTCACCTGTGGCTACAGAATAGAACCGGATTCCAGGATTTGAGCTTCTTAGTGTAAGAAACCAAGTCCAGTGGAAGAGGGAGATTTGACGCCGTCAACCTGTTGACGAATCGAGTCTTTGCTAAAAGGCTTCCTCATCTCTGAGCGAGATCTAGAGAACCTGTGGCCTGGGATAGGTTGTTATTATAACAACATTCTAGAGCTACCGCCCTATCGTGAGACACGTCGTTGGCACGTACATAAGCCAACAACAAAAACAATCATCGAGAAAAACGTGACACCTTGTTGAAAGTTTCACAATATCAACAAGACCAGTCATGGTTAACGAAAACACCACCCCATCGGATAATGACCAGGATAACACTGGCGAACATCAATACCAAGATTTACCTCCAGGAGATGGAAGAGTCTCCCCAAGCATTTACCAAATAGTACCAGAAAGCAACTTCCCTGACGACAGATGGATGACTGAGATTGGATTCAACAACGAGACCGGACGCAAGTTGGTTACATGCGCTATGGGATATGAGTGACCTGGCGACACGAGATAGCATTATCTACTCGTGCAATAAGTGCCTTGTACTATGCCGCGTGCAATCAATATGTTGATTATGAGATCTTCATGTGGCTTCTTGATTACTTCGGTAACTGGACCCATGATGACTTCAAACGGCTTAGCGTACACATCCAGAAAAAGATCAAGGACATGCTAATGGACCGAGGCATCTTTGTTGATTATATTGGCAGGAAAAAGACGATTGCAAAGGCACTAGATGACTTAGTGCAGATGACTAGGATGCCTGAGTGGCCGCATGAGATTGCTGCCGCCAAAGCCTTTGACTCACGGTCGAAGATGGCCAAGGGTCAGTTCCCTTAACTCGCCACCAAAAATGGCAGTGAAGAAGAGGAACCAGAGGTAATAGCCTCCTTGATTGAGGATGGCAGAGAGGACTACGAAAAGGGTAAGCAACCGTTGGTAGAGACACCAAAGCAGGCATCTCAAGATCATGATCAACAGCCAAAAAATCATGCTCAAAATGACAAGCCTAGTAGACCTCATGACCACTTAAGCTTGCCTGGACCTGCTTATACTTACCCATACCGCTCCAAACTTGAGGACGACTGGCGCAGGCAGACACCGCGCTATACCATAGCACCCCCGGCGCCCGAGATCTCAATGTCATCGGAGAAGTGGGACGATTGGACTATGCTACCACCTAGGGAAGTTGGATGTGAGCATATTGATTCGAAGTCAATGCTCACGTTCGTCAAGATATGGGATAAAAAGCTTACTTACTCTGGAGATCGGTACGACATCTTGGACGATAAAGTACGCGCATTCTTGAGAGCGTGCAAGCTCTCTAGCATCTCGATTAGTTAATGTTGGGAAGTCTTCCCTGAGATGCTATCTGGACGTGCAGGGGCGTACCACATGCACCACATCAAGCCAGGTGCTTCCTTCGCTCAAGCATACAACGCAATAAAAGCATACTTTGACACGCCCAACAACCAGACAGATTACTACCAGGAGTGGACCACAGTCACTCTTGCTGGAGAGCGCCAAAGCAATCCCAGCAAATCGTGGGTTGAGGTCGTAGATCTCATGGTTGATAAACTTCATTTATGCTAGCGAGCATTAGGATCAGTATATGCTGGTGATGAACACCTTATTGCCGCCATCACAAGAGCGTGCCAATCTACACCAGAAATGGGCGAGGCTCTCAGTGAACCAACAAGCAGCTTCCAGACAATTATTTCTAAGCTGCGTGCCAGGACAGGTGTAGTGCAGCGGAAGGAGTTGGCAAGCCAGTACGTGGTAGATGAAGTCAATAATCCTCAAGTGTTCTATACGGACAGGAAGTTTATGGGACGCACAAATCGTAACAACAGTCCTATATCACGTCAAGAATATCGACGCAAGAACCGTGACGATGCCAAACAACTCAGGAAAAGCAATGGAAGGTGTTTTATTTATCATTGAGAGAACTGCCACTCATGGAAGCATTCTGAAGAAGAACGCCGCGAAGCGCGAGATCGATATGACCGCTATCGACAGGTAGATGGAAGGAAGAAGCTGTCAACCCGCGCTTACCAGACCTTCTTGCAGGAATATGAAGGCACCTCGTCGGAAGAGAAAGACGACGATTCCACCGAGGAGGAGGTTAAGCAGGATGTGACCACCGCATACTTTATGGTCAACCAACTGCAAGATCGTGCCTTTATCCACCGGATAACAGGCTGCAATAATGGCATAGAGCCGCCTGGATTTCACCTCGATTTTGAAGTTAAATCATCTGACTAATCAGAAGATGAAAATAACCACCCTGCACCTGCCTCTCAGTTTCTTCTCGACCCCCATGAAAATGAGACTTTTTATGGGATTATGCCAGATACAGGAGCATCGACTGTCTCAACCATTGGTAAAGGACAACTTGCCGCCTTCCTGAGACTCTATCCCTACACCAAGGTCGATAGATCGCGTGCAGGGGAGTACTCAGTCCGCTTCGGCATGGGCAATCCGATAATCTCGACTGCGGTGATTACCGTGGAATCGCAGTTTAGTGACATAGAATTTAACACCATGGATTTACCAACGCCTTTCCTGTTCTGCCTCAAAGATATGGATCGCCTACGCGTTAAGTTTGACAACCTCACCAACGAGATGATCCAGGGAGACCTTATCGTACCGGTTATTCACAAGCGAGGCCACCCGTGGTTCTTCCTGGATGAGAAGTATGCACCAGAGGCGTTTCTAACTGAGGTCGAGATGAGGCGGTTACATCAACGGTTTGGTCACCCTGCAGTTGATAGGCTGCACAAGGTCTTAAAGCGTGCAGGCCATCTTGACGTGGATTATAAGGTGCTTGCGCAGATTGAAGAATTCTGCCACCATTGCCAAATGAACCGGCAAGCACCCAAACGGTTCAAATTCACGTTGCATGACGACTGCGAGTACAACTACGAGATCGTTGTTGATGTTATGTATCTTGATGGCAAGCCAGTACTGCACATCGTTGACTGGGCAACCTCATTCCAAGCAGCGAAATTCTTGAAGTCTCTGTCAACTAAGGATACCTGGGAAGCACTCCGGGTAGCGTGGATTGACACATATCTTGGTCCCCCTGATGTCATATCCCACGACGCAGGAACGAATTTTGCTGCAGCAGAATTTAGAACTGAGGCCAAGATAATGGGAATCCAATGCCACCAGGTGCCAGTCGAGGCTCACAATGCTATTGGCAAGGTTGAACGGTACCACACACCACTGCGCCGCGCTTATAATATCATATTGTCGGAACTCGGTGCAAGCGTCGACAAGGAGATCATACTTCAGATGGCGGTTAAGACTGTCAATGACACAGTAGGACCAGATGGATTAGTACCAACCGTACTAGTCTTTGGTGCCTATCCTTGCATGACTTACGACTTGCCACCATCAGCATTGACAGCAAAGCGCGCCCAGGCCATGAGGAAGGCCATGATCGACTTAAGGAACACCATGGCCACGCGTAAAGTCAATGACGCTCTCAAGGCCAGGAACGGCCCGATTGTCACGGAAACGCTCAACCTGGCACCAGGAACCGACGTGCAGGTCTGGCGAGAAGGTAAAGGATGGACTGGCCCGCACAAAGTTATCTCAGTTAACGATTACAATGTGATTGTGGACCTACCCAGCGGTGTCACTGATTTCCGTGCAACTTCAGTACGACGTTACCAGCGAGACGAGATCGAGTCGTCTCCGACTCGGCGCCTACTAGGCACTGATCTTCCTCCTCAAAAGGAGGAAGAAGGTAGAAAAATCGATGGCCTACTGGCGGGCCGGAAAAGTGGCCCAGCATTTGCTCGGGGATCCTCCTCATGCGACGCTGCTGCCGGCGCGCTGCAAGAAGTGGAATCAGGAGAGCCTGCCGGCGCGGCAAATCCGAATCGCCGCCTGAGGACGAGAGGGATTCATGTTCCTGACGCACCAGTAATGCCGCCAGCGCCACGCCGCCGAGGACGACCTCCAGGTTCGAAGAACAAACCAAAGACCTATACCAATGAGGTCGAGGTGTTCCTATCTAGGAAGGAAAAAGACGACCTAGAACTAGCAGTCAAGCTGCGCCGAGAAGGGAAGATAACCGCGGACGGCGCGCCATTTGAGCTCTCTGCAATGGCTGAGATCGATGGTCTCATTGCGAGTGGCACTTTCAAGATAATGCACCATGATGATTTGGATCTCAGAGGCGTACGAATCTTCAACTCCCGGTTGGTCAATGAGATAAAAGGCAAGAACGAGAAACCGTACGAGAAGTCACGCCTCGTCATACAGGGTTATAACGACGCGGGCAAAACTGGCATACTGACACAAGCGCCGACGATTCAGCGCGCCAGCCAGCGCCTTGTCGTGTCACTTATCGCTACGCTGATTCTCATGGGCATGGTTGTCGATCTGCGTGATATTACCCAGGCGTACACACAGTCAAAAAGTAAGCTACAACGCCTGATTGTTGCCAACCTGCCAGCCGAGATGAGAGATAAATACCCACCGGATTCGCTACTCCTTGTGGAAGGTGCCTTGTACGGGATCCCTGAAGCCGGTGTACACTGGTTTGACACATATCAATCCCATCACAAGGACCGGCTGGGTATGGAGACATCCACGTACGACCCGTGCCTCCTCATGACGACTAAAGGGAAGGAGAACTTTGGCCTTGTCGGTATGCAGATGGACGATACCCTGCTTGTCTCAACAGAAAGTTTTGCCGGAGAGGAACAAGTGGCTTTACAAGAAGCTGGCTTCAAGGCGAAGCCTAAGACACGCCTATCCCAACAAGTGCCAATAGAATTCAATGGCGCTAGAATCACTTTGCAAGATGAAAAGGTCTATTTCCGCCAAAAGGGCCAAGCCGCAAAGATAAAGCCAGTGGGCAAGGAAGACCGCGCACAAAAGTACGTGGAACAACGCGCGCGCGGTGCGTACTTAGCTTCAATCTGCCAACCTGAAGCGGCGTACGACTTGGCAGTGGCCGCTCAGCTGCAGGAGAAAGACCGATCTGAGGCAGATTATGACGCGTTGAATAAACGTCTCATATGGCAAGCCGAGAACCCAGATAGAGGTCTCTGCTTCGTTCCGATTGATTTGACCAAGGCCAAGATCATGATATTTACCGACGGTTCCTTCGCCAACAACCGGGACTTGACCTCCCAAATTGGCTTCCTCATTGCCATGGTAAATGAGGATTTTTCCGAATCAGGCCAATTCACGATAACCGGCAATATCTTGCACTGGGCTTCGTCTAAGTGCAAGCGGATTACACGTAGTGTACTGGCCTCCGAGATTTATGGCCTCACTACTGGCTTCGACCAAGGTTTTACCCTGGCCAGTACAGTCAACATGATTACCAAGAGGCTCGGCCAGCCTGAGATGCCGGTAGTAGTCTGCACAGATTCCTACTCGCTATATGAGTGCCTCACGAAGCTTGGAACGACTAAAGAAAAGCGCTTAATGATCGATCTCATGGCGCTTCGCCAGTCATATGAGCGACATGAGATTGACGAGATCCGATGGATCCACGGTGACGACAACCCTGCAGATGCCTTTACAAAGTCAAACCCGAACAAGGCCCTGCGGGACTTCGTTGGATCCAACAAGGTGACGATCCGGGTGGAAGGCTTCGTTGAGAGGACCAGGATTGATTAGGAGTCGACTAGGAGCCGAATAGGTGGCATATGGGAGGTAGTGCTGACTTACGATAGCGGTTCGCTTGTTGATCGTTTTGTCATGTTTTACTATGGGTTTTTCACAGGTTTCTGGATCTCGATTGCAAATCGATTTATAAAAGAGATCCAGTGTTGGTTGCTTCATGCAATCGAGATGTGTCAGATAAGCTGGCTTTCCAATGAAGCCATCAAATGAAGCGATCAATCCGAAACTGTTATGTGTAAGAGAATGGTCTCAGGTTTACCCCATGGCCCATGGGATAGCTTACAAATCAGCTCAGGAGAAGGTCTATATAGACGCGGCTTTGGAACATGATGTACTTAGAAGAAGTGAACACACAGAACTGAAAGAATCACCTATTGAGATTGACTCAAGTGCTTCGTACGTACGTATATGCACCTTAGTGCACCCACAGTTGGAGTGAATCTTGGAAATTGAAACCCATGGTTTGTTTATTAATAAATCCGAGTGAACCAGGTGTCTAATTAAAGAGTGTACGTCGATAAATGAGTTCCAGCCCCAATGTCGAGTAATGAAGTTGAAAGAAACCAAATAAATAAAATGCTCGTCCAGGAATGTAGTCCATACCTAGGTATCCATATCAACAGAACTACCTAGTGAATCACTGACGCATTCGGGAATCAGAGGAAGCAGCACCTTTAAGACGGAGAGTCATCAGCACTTCTGACTTCCTCAGCCTGCTTATCGGTTAGCCCTAGTGCTGAAAGGTCCACGCCGGTCCAATCTGATGGCAATTTTTCCGTGAGCCATTTGACCATCTGGTCTATGTACTGTCTGTTCTCTGCAAGGTCCTTGATGTTCTTCACGATGCCTTCAACAACTAGCACCCTTGGTTCTTCCATGGCCTTACTTGTAAGCCGCCTCTTGTACACCTCAAAGACTTTCTACCAGTTAGTAACGTATATGAGAATTCGGCAGTTTATATACCTACAAAGGTCATCCGCAGACGGAGATCGGGCTCTTGGACATGGTGTGATTGCTTGAAAAATCAACGCGGAATCCATTAGTATTGAGCAATCAATACCAGGTGAGAATGGAATGATGTAATATTCAGGATTTAACTTACAAATGACTCGAGGTAGTCTAGAATCCCGTTTATCTTGCTAGACTCTTGGTAATTAGACTTGTGGATGGCGCATTTCTTAGAGAAAGAGTTTGTTGATGGTCTTGAGGAATTTAATGAAGATACAGCGCTCGTGGGTCCTTTCTGTTACTTATATACCTTCGTTTGTAACGTTTTATTTCTATTTTGACTCAAGATTTGATATCATATTCAAAGGCTCGTATAGTGCTCATCAGCACTAAATAGTCATGAAAGATACTACCTAGAACCTATATTGACCAATCCGCATTCGCCAATACCACGAAGAGGATATATCATCTTCCATTAGATGATTCATGTATCAGATGAAGATAGAAATTCTCCAGGAAGTGTCATCAATTCCAAAGTCTCTCGAGGTCTCCTGGTTAGTGCATACTAGGGGATAGGGACTTTGTCATGATATGACAGTCAATCACTCCATTATTCACTCACGGTCAGTACGGTGATAACATAGGGTCGCGGCCGCGGCCCCGGCCCCGACTCATGAGTTTCTCGTCATTTGCGCTCCAGGAACTGAGTTGGTATGAAGTGATACACACCAACCACGCCACGGTACAAGTAATCACAGGTTTGAATTCAACACCGCATAGAAAATTTGCATTGTCGTGGCTCTTAGGAGAAAAGACATAGATATATTGCTTGCTATAACATCATGTTCATCTGCACCATGTCTTCCAAAGTCTTTGGCTGGAGCCAATGATAGAAACTACCACACCACCATAACAAAAGCCATAGAGAATTGCACGTATATACACGGCCTAAAATTACATTGTGCATCCTTTCTCAGTCACAATGTACTCATAGCGTTCAGCCCAGATCGCAGGCAATCACTCAGTGCCCTCATGCAAGTACTATAGGAGATATAAGTATATATATACTGCATCATACTTCCAAAGTCATACCGTCATCGTTAAGAGTTATAGATGCTTGCGCCAATGAATGGATATCTACGTCTGGAGTAGATAATGACTAAGTCAATCTTGAAGGAAAAATGTATACACATATATTGCAGATAAAGCAGTCATACCACGAGCGAAGCTCTAACCACGTACGCCACCTTTTCGAAAAGTACCTGACAACATGACTGTTATGTCACTTGCTAGCCTTGTATTTTACTACCTAGGTAGATGGGTAACAATGACTACTGCAACAGGGAAGGAAAAGTCCAGTATAAAATTTGATAGTATGTACTCAATCAACTATCGCAAATCAGGTTCACATGATTATTCAGCATCGTAAAGATCATCAAAGCATCATACGTAACAGGAAAACTAGGTCCAAAGCAACGAATCCTAGAACATTAAACAGCCACTCTTTATCTGTGGCTGGTGTGCATTACCGTGACTGGAAAGTTGGCTCCAATAGCCCCAGCACTACGTTGACGTTGCCATTTCAGGCTATTAGAAGACATCAGCGTTCAGCAATGCTGCGCCAGCACCAAAGACCATAGCGGCACCAATTCCACCAGTGCGCATTGGCATTGCGGCAGCGGTGCTAGTTGAGGTACCAGTTACTTTAGCTCCAGCTCCCGCCCCTGTACCTGTTGCGGTCGGGGTTGCAGTCACTCCGCTGGTGAATGGAATATTACTTGCAGAAGAAGCCCCAGAGAATGCTGGGGGTTGGGAAGTTGCGGTTGCGTTGGGGGCGGCAGAAGTGTTGTTAGGGTTGAGGACACTTTACAGTGTTAGTGAATGTTTACATGGTTTATTTCGAAAGGAGGACATACTTATCAATGACGTGTACGACACCGTTAGCAACGAGCAAGTTCGGTGTAATCACTCGAGCGGAGTCGACGAATATTGAACCATTTTCAATGCGGACAGTCAGGTTCTGACCGCCTGCAGCAACGTATTGGGTGTCATTCTTAAGACCAGTAGAATACGCAACTGTTCCGTTGATGACATGGTAATTGAGAATATCGGTGAGCTGATTGGTTGTAAAATTGCCGAGAGCAGAACCGATGGCCTGGAAAGCAGAGTTTGAGGGGGCGAAGATAGTAACGTTCTTCGCATCATCCAACGGTTGAGTCAAATGCTGCGCTTGCAGGGCTCCGACTACAGCAGTGAGGCCGGCCGCCGCTGCAGAGGAAGAAACGTTCAATGGAACGGTGAGGACTTTGTCGATGATATGAAGCACACCGCCAGTGAAATTGAGATCCTAAGTTCGGATTAGCTTCCATAAATTACACAGTGAGCAGCGGGAGACTAGACATACAGTTCGCGTCACCGTGGAGTTTGCGAGTAAGCCAGAGTAAAAGTAAGTCTTGTTATCCTGCTTGATTGCCTCGACAACCTGACCGCTGGTGACATTGGTGAAAGCGGTATCATTCAGGTAGGTTGATATAAAGGCAGGTGTATCGGTGATATTGTCCGCGTAGTATTCACCGTGGAGGATGTGGTAGCTGAGGAGATCGGCAATGGATTGATTGCCGCTTGACGTCAAAGCATGGAATGAACTGCTGTTGGTAAAAGTTTCCAAAGCAGCATTCGATGGCGCGAGAATAGTCACATTGGAAACATTAGCCAACGAGCTCGCAATCGCAGGGTAACTAGACAACAAGGCGTTAAGGCTCGAAAGCTCAGTGGTATTGGCCAGCAGTTGGGTCAGATTCTGGGCCGCGATGGCACTTGGCATCAATGCCAAAGTAGACAGCTTCGTGGCCTTCATGTTGATATGCTCTTAAAAAGGTCGTAGAGAAGAAATGGAACCCTAAAAACGGCGCACAGTCGGTTGCTACAAGCAGACTGGATGCAGAAAAAATGTATTAAATAGAAGGTGGAATTGAATGTCACTTATATGGACGTATCTCCACCAACCATGCAAGAACCACCTTTCCTTGAACCAAGTTTTTGAACATCTGCTTGCCTCTGATGCAAGAGTTCTCGGCGTCTACGTACGAATCAGGTAGCTCTGAGTTGGACAAGGACCCTCGCCTACGCAGGCATTGAGGCTGGGCGTGTCGCCATATGCTGAAAAGACCGGATTCATGACATTTCTATCGTGTAATAACAATGAGGCCAAGCCAATTGCTGCGTGTTAGAGCGTTCCGTTGCCAATCGCCATTGCAGTATGACGCAGCTCCTGTGGCAGCGATGTCTTCCCTCGAAATCGTGATTGGATGTTCCGCGCGGAGATATATTGGCTCGGAATAGCTCTCGAAAAGCCGAACTCAACTTCTTTTATGGTCAACTCACACAAACAGGAACAGTGATTTGCTCAGACTCGATTAGTAAAATAGGGTCTTCTTCTTCAACTTGGTAAATGATGTCACGACCGTGCGAGGCGATCGATCACGAAGAATGAATCAATCGGGATGCAGGAATCGCTTTCTAGCGCGCCACTCCTTGCTGCGGACTAACGCCTTTTCCGCTCACGACATTCGGTCGATCGATCGAGCGATCGTCGTGAGAAGTTATAGAAGAATGGCCATGTTTCTGTTTTGATCTGACAAAGAACCTGCGAAGTAGTAGGAATGAGATGTACGAGGACAGAAAGGTATTGAAGGATTCCCGCTGTTTGTGTTAGTAGAAAAGAGATGGATTACCTCGGAAATTAGGATTCGGCCCAAGCATCTCTTTGACATTAGGGTTATGTTTCAGCTTTAGGGTTATCCAGCTCCTCGCGATCATGCGGCACTATGGTTTCGACGGCGTGGATAGCCTGACCGACAATCTAACGAGTGGAATCCCGCCGAAGACGGCACGAACTATGTTCTATTCACGCAGAAATTTGAGCGACTTTCGATCGTCAACCTGAGTCTTTGTTTCTCTCCTTTACTGCTCCAACTACTCGTATTGGCCAATTTCCTTTCCTGCACCTGCTGTAGCCTCAAAAAGAGATACTAACCGCACCATATACCGGTAGTCTCGGGATCTCCCGTCCATAGTAGTAGACAGAGCGATCGGATCCATGTTAGGCATAGCGCCATATAGCCGAGGGCTGGGGATGTGATACATCTCAAACCTCGTAGGGGCTTCTCTCTTTGGCAACACAAAATCAAGTATTTATGACCTTTTTAGGCACTCACCATAGCGGTACCTTCGAATTGAGCATTCACATAGTTTCCGTCTAGCAGAGGGCAGATCCGTGTGGGGAAATCAAGGCAGCAGAAAGAATTCTGCCACGCAAGTGCCTGATAACCGATTGGGGTAACAGAACATTCTGGTTATTCTTATTTTTAAGTATCTTAAGTTGTGCATGCTCTCCTCAGCGTCAACTCTAATGCTTGCCACCTGGCCCTAGTCTCCTCAAGTATCTGTCGCGGCGTCTTACCAACTGCATTCGGTTGGTCCATCAACTTATTGCTGTATCCGCTGCCATCCTGTATAACCGTGATCATTTCGTTCTGCGCTCTTAATATGTCTGCTAATCGCAGAGTTTTATACTTGGGTCCTCGCGTTGCCCGCTTATCTCGGAGCAATCCACCCATCACTTCATGTAGTGGAGTATTCCCTTTAGCATTTACAGCCGCGACATCAGCGCCCTTATTGACGAGGAATCGTGCTGCCTCAACTTGACCCAGTTTTTTTTGCCATAAGATGAAGAGCGGTATCGCCGTTCGTATCGACGGAGGTGACATCAGCACCATGTGCAAGCAGAAGCTCTATTAAGTTGATATCAATAGGCTCGCCATCTATAGACCAATAGGCTAACATATGTAGCGCTGTTTGTCCTTTATTGTTTTTGACCTCTGCATTTGATCCCAATATCGCATAAAAATCTGATTGCATCACCACAATGTCCAGCGCCACACTCAGCGTGGCTTGAGACTGTGTAATGTAGGGCCGTTGCTCCCTCCTTGTCCTGGAGATTAATAATATTGGGAATGGCATCCAGGAGCAACTTGGATGTATCGATAATCCGCATGCCAACCTCACTCTCAGGTATTGTGAGTTCGTTACGAAAAGTAGGACCTGCAGCCGCCCAGTGCAAGGTAGGCGCCCAATACTGTCATGACACAATATCAGTTCACTACCTCCATGGTCAAGTAGAGCTTTAATTGCGCCCACATTCCAGTATAAGCTGCTAATGTGAACTGCAGTGACATTCTGTGCATCTATTACACAATCACCTCCAAAGCTAATGGTAGGCTTACGCTGGTACCAGTCCCTTCTAAGTATATCAGCACCTTTTCCAATGAGACGCTTTACCAGACCGTAACTGGCATGCGTAACTGCCAGTCCAAGGACAATATCTCTAGGCTGTGATTTTCCTTTGTCATAATGTTCTCGGAAAGTTCCCACGGTGTTAGAGTCGCGCGCAGAGGCACCCCTGTCAAGAAGAAGCTGCATTAGATCCTCGCTACGAGCGAATCGTTCTCTAATCCATTCGAGACTGTAATTATTATCTTTGAAATCTTCAAATTCAAATATTTCCAAAGAAGACGCGACACGTAGTAGTGTTGTATCACCGCATTTGCTTCTAGTATGGACATTCCCAAGTGGTGGTTGACTGTCCAGGAGGAAGCATGCTGTTTCTATTTGTGCGTGCTGGCAGGCGATATCTAGCAATGAGATTCCTCGTTCACAAAGCGACTTTGTTCTTGTATATCACTATTGTAGAGTTCGAGCAATAAGTGAAGAGCATCTGTGCTTCCATATTTAGCAGCGATGAAGAAAGGATCATGATAAAAAAGGTCCGTGGGAGCTAAGGCTCCAATAGGGTCCTTTACGATATATTTTTCGAGTGTAGCAGCATCATTAAGCATTATGATTCGATTACGAAGACCAGCAAAGTCATCCTCGTAGAGCATCGTGCCATCCTGGTCATGCAGACAAACCGGAATGTCCCTTGGGGGAGCCACGTCTGACCTGTTGGTACGAAAGTGGTGGTATGACATTCTTTTAATTCTAATCAAGATTGAAAGACAGTCATAAATAGAAAAGGAAACTGAAATCAAACAGAGGACGGAACACGCGAGTTAATTTCGGTTTAAGAACTGTCAACACCAAAAGTAACGCTTTACCAAACTTGGTAATGGCACCCCAAATCAAAAAAGTTGGAGCACTGATTGATCCAACTTGCAACTCTAGGTTTTGCCTAACTGCCTCCTAATTCCTGAAAAAGATAATGCCTCATTTGGCTACCAATTTATCAATCAAGTTAGCTGCATATCTGCATACAAGCTCATACACGTATAATTACTTCGCTCGAACTGTCAGGTGTGGCATTTTATTCCACCCCTGACCCCGCCATAGAATTGTACCTAGTCCATCATAAACAATGTCATAGATAACAAATAACCACATACTTCTAAAAGTGGCTGATAAAAGTTGACTTAGGGTTAATCTGGCTTTGTTAGTACCATCTACTCCACAAGCCTGGAAACTTATACATTGTGTCTTGTTAGGTTTCTGATCTACAGTATCGCATATGTGGTCTTCTTCCTGCTGTCTCAAGGATCTACTTTCGACAAATCCAGGGCACTAGAGCCATCTGGCACGAAGTTTCTGTCAAACGCCCCTTGGACAGGATCTAACTGCTGTCGCGCATGTGAAGAATCCAGCGAAGGCCAACCAATTGCGGGACCCTCCTCCTGAAGCGTTAGCCAAAGACGTGTTATTGTGCTCGTAGAGAAAATGTGTTGATTCAGAAGCCAGGTGTTCTTCCAGTTACGAGTTTGAATTAGCCGTGTTTGCACATGCTCTATACAATTGCAATATTAAAGCAGAAAAGAGGAAGGGCCTTACAAAGTTCTATATCAGTTAGGCATAGTCATTCGGTCTGTTTGCGTTCCTGTCGATGTACATTCTAGGGCCAATATAAACTCTTCTTTCGGGATCGTTACAATTGAGGGCTTCAGTACGTGCGTTATAGTTTTGCAGGGGACCAGTCCGCGTATCGAAAACGCACATCGCCGAAGGAGCTACTCCCGGCTCGGAGCCAATCCAGAAACCTAGTTCGAGAGAGACTCCATTGTCGCCATTACCTAGGGTATTGAGCACCGCATATAATGAAGGCTCAGCTCCCCCTGTAAAAAGAAAAGTTTAGTGACCCACCTGCTCGAACTGGAAGCTGACTGACTCAAGTAGGAAAGAACGAAAACAAACTTATCAGACTAAGTATAACCGTAATACTAAATGCTGGATTATTTTTTTGTCCCGATGCATCCTCCAAGCTGACGCCAGATCGAATTCCGAATCAAGAGGAGAAGACAAGTGATTCATGGATGTCCATGCTTCATCGCCTGCATCTCCTTAGCATTTGATAACCATGGAGTCACAACTCCACATACAAGGGCTAGAAGAACCCCGCATGAAAAAATAAAAATAAAAATAAAAATCAATAAGAACTAAGTCTTGCAGAATCAAATATCCACATGCACAAACAGAGCATACCCTTAGTCGTGCCTTGCGATAGGGTTAGCGGACTCAACGCGAAGAACTCCCGGACTATTCAGATAATGAAAACGGAGATCGACAGTGTTCACCTTTCTCAGTTGTAGTACTAGCTGTCAGCTATGTCCGTAGGTATCTGATGGAGTCTGGAAATAATAGATATGCCGGTTTCTGTGAAACCAGGTGAACAAGAATGGTACATATCATCTCGCATTGTGTGGAGACGGTTATGTATGGTAGTTGAAACTAGTTTGAAATGCAACTTAGTCTATCTCGCTTACAGAAACCCAATCCCGATGCATGTATTCCTAAGTCGAGTATTTTTCTGATTTCGAGATGGTGTTCTGCACTCAAAGCATCGGCCCGTTCCGGCCAGGTGGAGCTAGAACAAATGTCTTGGTGTTGTCAGGGCTTGATATTTGATTATGTCGAATCTGAGACATTCTATTATTGCGTCATGGGCTGTTTGCTTGAAATTTGTGCTACTATTTCTTGTTATATCCATTAAATGATTGGGTAGTGTTAACACACCGTGGTTGTTGCAATAACCCTGGAATCCCGGCAATCGCGCCGCGATCTCTCGCCTCGGGCTTAATCCGATGTTGTAAAGATGAACCTATTGCGTTCTGATTGGTAGAATCGTATACTTGAATGAATGCCTGGAGACCCAACTGAATCTCTATTTTGCCTATTCCTCGATTTTTCTTACACGTAAACTTTTCTGTGCTCTCGTGATCTTGATTAGGTCTGTCGCTTTTGCCTCATTAGTGACACGTCCCATTTTCCCTTTTCCGACTGCCGCATAGAGAAAGGTGCGGTGTAGGGCGACTAATCATGGCTAGAGACTATAATCAAGAGTCTGGTAATTATTAGGTACAGTAGCAACCAGTCCTGATCATGCATATGCCACATCATTACATAGACATGCCTAATCGAGCGGCCCACTAGTGACCACATGCACGTAGTGGATGTCAATCAACTAGAATCCTGCTGCATCTTGGCTATTGGTATCCACTTGATCAACTGAAAGGGAGCCTTCTATGAAAAGTCCATACTTAAGCATATTCCGCTAGGTGAAGCAAGTGAAAGGAATTGACAAGGCGAGCCATCTTCTCAATTCTAACCTGGAACTGGCTTAAGTCGTTTGGCATACGTACGTAGGAAGGGTTTGATCAACTCAATCCCGCCTCCCAATCTTATGCCCTCCCCCACCGGCTCCATCGCTTTTCCTTGCGGCCATCTCGTTGACACATGTCACATATAAATCCGTACAAAGTAAAACGTCAGATGCGGTGTGCAATAAAGTTATTAAACAGAATTTTTATAGCCGATGAGGTCGGAAATAATTCCCAATCTAATCAAAAAAAGAATTAATTCTCCAGTGCTCCATTTCACGTGGGACAAACCCAGAAAATAATGGAAATTGAACCCAGTTCTCGGTACTCAAATATCGGGATTTGCAAATGAAGGGCTCCTTCGATTCAAGATGAGCGGACTCTGTGGAGCAGCTGTCTTGATTTTAATCTGCTTTAGGCTTTAAAGACGTTAACTGACGATTCAACTGACTCGGTGGTTATCGCCTTTGCGATTTTTTTCTCGACCCCTCGAATTTCTGGGTCTGGTCTATCAATCTCTGTTTTCATTTTCTCCTTTCTGCCCAGTCTCCGATGTTTGTGTCCTTGTCAAGATACGCGCATCTCTTCATTGTTTTCATGTGCCGCCCCGGAAATAGTCTCGCATATCTCCAACGCATCATAACTTGTGGATTAATCGACAAGGGCAAGACAAGGAACGAAAGCTGTCAGCCTATCAACTTGCCAATCTACCAGCTTGCCAACTGCCACGTACTTTATACTTGCCAACCCGGGGTTTGAGATTAAGCCTAAAACGTACATAGGTACCTTTTTGCAGTCCTGTTGGTTGCTAAACTCGGTCTTGATCAAAATTACTGGTTTTGTTCGCGACTAGGAACGCCATTCATCACGCGGGCTCGTACTTGTTGTTTGTCACGAATGAGAATTCGGTCTGCTGGCCTTACTATAGCAAAAGTGCAACGTTGGTCATCTCTTCCTTCTCGCTCATGACTGGGCAATCGAATTAAGCTGTCAATTAGCGTCCGCCTCTATCTATACCTAATTGTGACGGTCTACTTATTCTGCTTTTGCATCAGCTATCAGCATCATCACTGCCACTTGACTGACTGGAACGCCCTTGGGACTTCTCAGAGCAGTGGCAACCCCTGTCCAGCACGACTTTAATCTGTATACATATAACTAACGGCCTATCAACATCATGATCTAGCATCACGCGGAAATTGTACATGGATGTATATCAAAGAAGTGTCCTGAGCGTTTTGACAGGGACTAACTTGGCAGACTGTATCCATGCTTCATCGAAATACCAAACCATAAAAAGAAGCTCCATAGGGTTCGTTTCTTCGTCTCCACGGTTGGCAAATGCTAACTACAGCGATAACAGAATCAGTATTCTCGCGCATATCGTGACCGAAACTCCCATGACTTAGACCAAATGTCCAACGACAGATCGAAACTGCACCATCTGGTGCCTGCGCCCTGGGGTACGAATCCGGACGGCGAACGGAGTCAAAGTGGTATACCGCGTCGAGTCCGACCCAAAAACGCATCTCGTGCATGCAACGAATGTCAAAAACGAAAAATCAAGGTTCGCAAATGCACTCTGTTTGTAATCTCTCGAGATTTCTGTTTTATACTTATACAATGGGATCCAAATGGACTAATAGTAAAACCTTTCTCCTTTCCTTTTTGGGATTTGGTCTTGTTTTACTTTGGGAAATAGTGCATCGGTTCAAATCCTTGTAAGAACTGTCATGAAAACTCTTTATATTGCGAAATCAACGACGAGACGGACGGACGGCGGAGATTTGCACTTAAGCGGAAAGTAGAAGATCTCGAACAGGATCGGCATTTCTTATTGGGGTTGGTTGAGGCGTTGCGAGATGACGAATATCATGCCATGCAGCTTTTTAACTTGATTCGAAGCAATTCGTCTCTCGACGACATTCGGGCTGCTGTACATGATCGCATGGAACGAGTACCTAATGCCGGTTCGATGCCAACGACGTCGACGTCTGCACCCGAATCGTCCAGCTGGGGTCTATCATCCTCCGCGGCGTCATCGGTGAGTCCGATGCCATCTAATAGCAGTCAGATGGATATACAACTATATTCTTCAACGTCTGACACGAACTCCACAACCCGAAAGATCATGAATATCGACCGATTGACGGATATCCCCCTGTTCGAACTAACTGCCAAACCATGGACGGAGGTCACGACTGACGACGGGTTTGTGTCTCATTTGGTATCTTTGTGGTTGACGTGGGATCACGTCTTGCGGGATTGGATTGATAAGGACCTGTTTATTGCGGCTATGAAGGCAGGAGATGTCAACTCTCCATTTTGCTCGCCTTTCTTGGTTAATATTATTCTAGCTGAGGCCTGCGTGAGCTTTTTCACTTTCTCTTACACAGTTTAGAGCTGACACTTTCAGTGCTATTCGAGTTACCCAGAAGCGTTCATCAATCCGGCCAATCTTTCGTCACGAGGACAGCACTTTTATAATGAAGCCAAGAGACATTTGGATGCGATGGAGGGGCGCATCGATTTGACGACGGTGCAGGGATTGGGTATTCTGTTCCTAAGGTAGTACCCTGCTTTCATCACGACGGGGTTGTATAGACGGTCTGACTTGAAAAGTACATGCTTGATGGGCAAGGATCGGGTTGGTCAGAACTACTTGTCTCAAACGATCAATTCGGTTCGAAGGCTGGTTGGCCGGGCCGATGAGTTCATTGCGCAAGCCGGATCACAGGCAAATGAAATGGAGAGGTCAATAGGGCTTTGTGCCCGAGGGATATTCAGTTTCCTCACGTAGGTTTATCTCAGATGCTACGCAGTTCGTCGAGAAGCTAACGTGTCACAGTCTTGCAGGTCTCGCACTGCACACGCCGATTTCAATGCGGCCACCCAAACAAGCATATTTGCCAATCGTTCACCACTCCACAGATATATGGATGACCTACCCATACCGAACTCAGCCCGTCCCAGCACATCGGAACTGCGTACACAACCAGTCGTTTGATCTGCATCTCATCATGTACGACGTCAGACGATTCGTTGATGCCGGTGAACAGGATGAGCAAGTACGCAATGCATGCTCCTACTCCGAGGTTAACCGGGCTACGAGCTCGTTTTATGAGCGTTTGGTACAGTGGCATCATAATCTGCCGGAATGTATCAAGGAAGGACAAACTTGGACCCCGGCAGTCATAGGGCTTCAGTATGTATACTTGACCCTGTACACGAAGAGGCAGCGGACTAATGTCTCGAACAGCATGTACTACCACGTCTACATAATCACAATCTTCAGTTACCTCAAAGCCCACCCTTCCACACCAGCGAACGTCGCGTCGACCGCGCAACAACAATGCATCGCGTCCGCACTAGCTGTGCGCGATTTGATGAATATTTACCGCTCTAGATGGCGTCGGATCGAATACCAACCCGTCGACTACATGCAGCTCACAACCGTCTGTCTATTCACTTTACTGGAAGATCTCACTTCTCCGGGAAGCAGCCAAGCGTTTGTCGATCTATCAGTGATAGCACGCTCGGCGGCCCGTCGGTTCCAGCTTGCTCGAGGCATGTTCCGACTCGTGCAACTAACGGCACGACAACAGAACATCACTCTACCAGAGGAAGCGCAGCCCCTGTATCAGGAATTTGAAATTGAATGGATTCGAGCGGGAGGCGTGGAGCAGTTTAGTAGTTCATATCCGAACTTTTCGCTTTCGATGAGATCACTTGCGGCAAGGAATAGTCCGCCACAGGATACCGGCGACGACAACGACAGTACCAAGCGTGGGATGGATAAGCGATCTGACCTGTCATTGAGCAATGCAGAGTTGGATTCGTTCTTGAGGAAGTGGGATGACGCGTTAAAGATTGACAATGAGATATGATTGTCTGATTCCGAATTTGGGCAGAGACCTATTTATGCAAGGGCAGTTGATGTTAACATGTGGAAGACGTGTCAATCAATTATGAACAAATTCTGCATGCTGCTAGGACTCAAACAGTGCGACGGGAAGAGCCTGGAGAATGGCCGGTTTCTGTGAGACGGCTATCCCTATGAATGTCACACGATGTCGCTAAATATAAGATAAAACACTGTATCAACAAGTATCTCAGTTTTAGACAAAGATGCAACAGTTCAAGCCTGCATCTGAAATCTCTTCCTTTTTGTCTCTTGTAAGATCGAATGCAGGTACATTCGACCCGTCCGATTGCAAAGTGACACAGCTGCCTCGTGTACTGCTCCCCTGGAATAGTTAGATGACTGATTCGGATAGAGACATCCGGAACCCTAGCTCCCCTGTTTAGGAAGTTATATGTATCGCCGTATTGGTATCGTCAATACCCTATTGTGACCACGTGTAATCAGCGGAAGTGTCCTCGTCCGGAGGTATTTTATCTGTAACAAACTAGTGGCTAGACCCCTTCCTCTTTCGGCCTCTCTTCAAATGGAAGAATACCCGATTTTCTGATTGGCCAATTTTTACGGACGAAACTTGGAATCTTGGAAAGGGCCGAGCGAGAACCATGGTACATTAATCCCTTTTCGTTTTGTGCAACTGCATATCTGTATCTGTAATACAGAATCTGTTGATTGTTCATCCTCACCAAGTAACTTAGTATGTAGTATGTGCCTGTTGTACGTACTAATTTAGAGCGAGGAAATGCATGTTGAGATCATGCATCTACTGCGTCGATTACCTGCAAGCCATATTCGGTCTCTTTGTCTGTATTTCTTTATTTGATTCTGAGATAGTCAAAGAATGCGCAAAACAATACCGGGCAAGGGTAAAACACTTGCCATCGGACAAGTCACCGCAGACAGCACTGACTCGCGTCTCCTGTTTAAAGTTCTCCGCGGTAATGTACGTATTTAAAATACAAGGAGTAAGATGCGCCACATGGCCGCTAACCCATTTCTCTTTTCTTTCAAGTCTCTGCTCATTATTCAATGTAACACAGTACTCGACCTGTTATTTGTATAGGAACGAGCCTTTGACCACTTCCGACGACCGACCCCCAGCGTGCGCCCTTCTAGCCCCTACTTGGTCTCCCTGGGAACTCTCAAGTCCAAACAGCATCGCAGACCAAAGCAATGATCAATCTGATACCAAGTTATCTGTGGGACTGCTAATTCATTCGTCGATTTCATCCAGCCCGTTTTGTCGCATTGCCCGGCCAGATTCTCCACTCCCGATATTGCGCATCCTATAATCCCTCGTACTAACACGATATTCACAGTCTTCCATTTCTATTTTCCTTCCGGCCGGGTGGTAAAAGCATCCGAAAATCTGCTCTGGTCAACTCTCGCGACAATGATATCCAATCTCAACATTTATTAATTCCACGGGCGCGCGACCGATTACTTCCGTCGACCCTCACATCTCTCGTTTTGGCTTTGTTGCAGTAGAAAGGAAAAGAAAGAAAGAAAGAAAGAAAGGAAAAAAAGAAGAGGCACGTCCTATCCAAGACTATCTGCTACAACTCGGAACATTGAACAAAGAAATCGCATTCCGCAACAAGCGATACAAGTGGACTTTGGGACAAGACGAGCAAAAATACACCTACGCAGGAAGGATTCCAAACGAAATAATGCATATGAATATGGAGAAATGACACGCTCATTACCCTGATAGCGACACCATCCCTGCCCTTTCATTGTTCAGTCCACAAATTGTCAACCCGAATTCGTACAGAGCCCGCTTTTACATTTTCGGAGGTGTTAGTCATTGCTTAATCCGTCTCTCACTACATCACTTCGGATCATTAATAACCACCAGCATTTCATCCTTGACTTTTATCTACCAGCTACTCCGTCGATCGTGTCTCTTGTTCGAGCAGAGAGCAGCGCACTTACAGACAAATGGCGACTACAATGGAAAAGGTGTGGGAGATTGCCAAAAACGAGGCCAAGTTATGCTACGGTTTCATTCGTCGCGATGTTTCCATGGGCATGCTTCCTATTCCCGTCTTTACCACGGCTTCTCTGCTGTACCGCAATGCATCCGGGGAAGAGATAGCCGTTGCCATAGCCAGTGCGTACCCCAATCTGGCCCGTTTCATTGGAGTGCTGCTAACCTTTCGAAAAGAAACTCTCCTTCTAGGGTTGCTGTATCTCTATTCATTCGTCGTGGGGAACCAAATTTGTGGTGTCCAGGAAGATCAAATCAACAAACCAGACCGTCCCATTGCTGCCGGTGCAACGACTCTTAAAGCAGCCCGGATCCGATGGGCCGTCTTGACCATTCTCTATTTCTCCTATGGCTGCTATCTCGGCGTCGGCATCTGGTCTGCGATGTGGATTGCCATTTCATTCGCTCATAACTTTCTCTCTTTTGGCGATTTTGGTCCCACAAAGGATATGTGCATTGGTTTGGGCTGTATTGCTCAATTGACGGCTGCCTGGTTGATTGGTGGCGCTCCATACGAAGTGGGATGGAATTGGATCAAAATCATCGCACTGTACACCTTGTTTCCCATTCCCCTGCAAGACCTTCGAGATGTGCCTGGTGATTTGGCTGTGGGCAGACGCACCACTCCGATTCTCATGGGTGATATGCCTTGTACGTTCCTCCCTTCATATTTCTAGCTATTCGCACTAACCTGGGCCAGGCCGTATCTACATCTCATTGGGTGTTTTCATCTCCCAGTTCCTCCTTATCAAATACCGCATTTTGGACTACCGCCTTGACTGGTCTACTGTGACACTCTCTTCAGTCCTTGGCTTCCTCGCCCTTACCGTCATTTTCCGACTTTTCGCTTTCCGTGATGTTAAGAGCGATCGCTACTCGTATCGCCTATACACGGTAATTTACCTATTCCAGCCCTTGTCGGCATGCATTACTCTTCGATAATTTCTTTTTTCCTTGTTTTGTCCAGTTTCAAAGATATCCATCCGTGCCTTGTATTTTCCATCGATTTTGATGATGATATGATCTTCATCTCTCGCTTGCATTTTCACTCTGTTTTGGACTAGATAGACTCTCTACATACACAATCTCTCAATTCCTTTCTCTTCTCCCTCCCCCCCCCCCCCCCCCCCCCAAACATCAACCATCCAGAGATTTAATCTCCGTGTACTTGTTCTCGAAAGAGCGAATTCATTTGCATTCTATTTCCGTAGTATCGTTATTGGCGACTGACTATACCACGGTAATTTGATAATAGAGCATTGTTTCAATTAATGTGACCTCCTAATAGTATGTACATAACCTTGAAAATAACTCAACTAGCGAATTAAGGGATTAGTGGTCAATCTTAATCCTGGTGAACCCTGCAGATCAGACATGAACCCTAGTTCCTCTCCCGGCGCATCCATGTTACGCACGTACTTTTACAACAACGAACCACAAAGCAAGAATACAAGAAAGTCACTTCGAAGTCCGCCCCCGTTTAGTTCTAGCTTAGTTTTGTTTTTATTTTTTTATTTTATTTTATTTTTTTTTTCAGTCTATTTCCGTTGGAAAAAGTCTCTGATGTTTCTGGACCTTTGCCAAGATCCGATTGTCCTTATCATTTCGGTGTATAGTGACAGTGATAACCCGTACATGAACATGCATGTCAGAATTGAATTGAACTACATACATTGATGGGCTCGATTACGAGTCATGCAGATTAACTAATTGAGAATAGTATCAAGCTATTGACCCAGTCCCGCGGGTTTTAGGAATATACGTGTGTGGGAGATTGGAATAACATTGGACTGATAGGATGCGGTGCGACCTATCCTACTGCATAGCAAGTAACATCGCATGCGCTTGAACATGAGTTTGACGGGGGCAGATCTAGACTTCATGGCATGTTGTACAAAAGGAATGTCGGATATTTACAAGATTGGGTTCGTTCCGTCCTGTCAATAATGGATTGTTTATGCAACGATCGCTCAGTGGATATAGGTATGGTATGCGGACTGCATCGTCTACTTCATCTAGGTACATTATCAAATGTTACAAGCCATTAGCTGTGAAATAACCTGCGGACTCAAGTAATAATTCGACCGTAAGACATGAAGATATCTTCTCTGCCTGCTAGAAAGGGTCCTCCGTTCATAAGAGTCCTCAGTGGCAGACGCGAGGCCTATCAGTTAAGTCAGTAACCTGGCAACCTTAGAAAAGGGTTGTTTATATCTTAATATTTGCAAACGACAAATAAATAAATATTTTGTACACTTTGATACTACTGTATAAAAAGTGGGACAGGTCGCCGCCCGACCTTTCTATATATTATTTGTCTATTAGACTGCTATTCCATGACCCAATCTTCCAAAAGTTTGATCGATGGTAGTGTCGTAAGCATCTCAAGATCGCTCATAGCCTGCTGAAAGCGAATGAGCGCTTGCTTTTGCGATGACACAATACTCGTCCTGGATTACCAATCAATCTGAGTATATATATAACTATATGCTGGTACCCCGCATCTTCTTTCGACCTCCATCATTTCAAGGTTGAAGAACAATCGACCGAAACACGCAAAGATTATCATAATAGGTCTGGAATGATATAAACCTCTGGAGTGAAGCCTATTAAAACCACAGACATAGATAATAATGCCAGTTCCATTCCCCCCAGCCGGCCATTCCGAGGACGTGTGGCGGAGAGTCCGCGCAATCTTCAACGGGCAGATGGTGGTTGATGCAAATGTTCCTAAACTTGTGTAAGATCCTCAGTATCACGATTAAACAAAAGAGCGTTCGGTATTGACATTGTGCTTGGCAGATGGGAACACTCCTATTTCCCAATCTACTATTTTCAATCTGCCGACATTCGATCGGAATACTTGACTAACAAACAAACGGGCGAAGACGCCGACATATACGATTTGACAATCAACGGGAAATCCTCACCATCCGCTGTTAAACAATTCAAGTCAGGTGACTTGAAAGGCTACTTCAAGATCGAATCTGGCAAAGTCGATGCCTGGTTCGAGGAAGATGAACGTATCTTCGGTCACCCAAAGGACCCGTATAAACGGATCATTATCTTGCAGTCATCAAAAAAGGTTCAGATAGAGATCGATGGCGTGGAAGTGGCTAGCACGTCACGTCCGAAGCTGTTGTATGAGACTGGATTACCGGTCAGGATATACATTCCGCATACGGACGTTCGGTTGGATTTACTGGAAGATGATGTGGACAGGACGTCTTACTGTCCGGTCAAAGTGAGTATTACTTGACCCCCTTATATGTTTGCTACACTAAACACTTGCTTCATAGGGCGATGCCAGCTATTATGTCGTCAAATTACCCAATGGCGACCGGAAACATGGTCTGGCGTGGTGGTACAAGACACCAAAGATAGAGAGCGCAGGGATCGAAGGACATGTTGCGTTTTACGATGAAAAGGTCGATGTGCGGGTTGACGGCGTTTTGAATCAGAGACCGACAACGAAGTTCTCATGACCTTCGACCTGACGACCTTCGTTGGTGGGTGGAAGATGCTATTGCCTGAGTTTCGCAAATTGCCTAATCGGGAAACCGATTTCTAGTTTTGGTAATTTTCTGCTAGCGCTCGTGACGCGGCGCATGAGTGTCCCATCTGTAACCAGGAGAGAAAACGCTTTTCAATAATTGATGAATAACGGTACTGAATTTTCGTAGTTTATCGTTCAAACATCAGTAACTACAGAGTAACCGGCTTGCCAATAAAAGCGGCAGAGAGCGGCTTGGCCGGAGGCTTAGATTGCTTAGAGTTATTAGAGTCCTGCACGATCCATTACCGGCCCTCTGTAATGTCACACTCCTTTAAAAGACCTCGGGAGTCACGGACGTCAACGGAATACCGAGAGTACGGAAACAATAAAAACGCGAGCCGTGATGCTACTAATACCACGCTATCTATATACATAGTTGTAAATGATTGCCTTCATGTTCCGAGGTGTAAACTGCAGAGCTTAGCACAGACTTTCCGTGCGCGCAGCTCGGAGGCAATAGCTACATTGTTATGGACCGGTGGCGGCCATGTGGAGCAGAGGCTTAAGTAGTTAACAAATCCAACAAATTGGCACGATTTTTGGTGCGATTGACATTTCCCTTTAAATGATATGGCCAATGAGATGGGATTTCCATCATACTCACTCCGCGCGGTCCCTGAGCGAGGGATCTAGTTTCTAGCCATGCATACAATATTGCGCATTTGACCCGCCAAAGGAACGGCCAACGAGTTACGACTGGATGAAGAGAGAACGGACGAATAACTTGGGGCAGTTGGAAAAAAAGAATTTTGGAAAAGGAGTCTGCACTGGTAAAAGGGGAACGAGAGATCTACATGAAGTCGTCATGATTTACGTGTTTGCTACAATTTCGTCAGAGGGATTCTTTTCCGAAACTCTTTCCTGATGCTTTTCTGTGCTTGGCTTTTGACGTGCCCCTCCTCTTTTTCTTTGAACTGGACTTGGTCATTCCTTTTGCTACGTCTCAGAGCGTTGCAGACTATCTCTCATCTGCATTTGCGACAGGGAACAGACGTTACTCTACAGCAGATCAAACGCGACACCAAATAAAAGTATAGACGATACCACTAATATTAATACCCACGAGTGCTTATTTGGAGCCGGTTTTTTAGACGTCATCTTTGTCGACTATTCATAGAGAATACATATCATTTCGGAGAGAAAATTACGGACAGATTTTCTACATGAAGAAGCGCGCGCCATAGCGTAACAAAGAAATAAACCAAGTAAGCCCGGCAGAGAAGGAGCAAATGAGAAACAAACTGACAAAGCATCATTACTTTAGTTTGACTTGTCGCATATGCTGTTGAACATACGAGGTTGAGGCTGTTGAGGCTGTTGAGGCCTTGAACATATGACTACCACACAATACACTTAATTCACTCTGAGCGAAATAACCTTAAACCATGAGCCATCTCCGAATCAGACCGCTAGCCGGCATCCTCGTCCTACTCTGCATTTTATACGTTTTGGTTTCGAACATCTTTAATTTCAGTCGCATCTTCTCCAGTCCGCACTCGGGGATCTCATTAAGCCAGTCGGCCATCAGAACAGCATACTACAACCACACAATAAACCGGACGCACGAAGCAGTGATTCCACGCAAGATTCATCAGATATACCACGATTGGTCGGGTCAAGGGGGGAATGTACCACATACCGCGCAGTGGATGAGGTTAAGGGATAGTTGCATTAACCGCAATCCGGGTTGGGAGTATAAAGTATGGCCATTTACGTCAAGTGTATTGAAATAGGATAATGACTAAGGATTGGATGCACAGTTATGGAGCACGGCGGAATCTAGGGAATTTCTTCAAAGAGAGTATCCGTGGGTTCTGCCTATATACGACAGCTATCGGTATCCCGTTCAGCGTGTGGATACGCTGAAATACTTTATCATGAGGCATTACGGTGGTATCTATGTTGACATGGACAACGTATGCTCGTACTGACTTTGTTCTTGTCATCATTTGAGATAGCCGTTAACAAATGCGATAGGGCTGCCTCGAATCTCTCGAACCACTCCGCTACTATCCGGCCTTCGTGACCGACGGTATTGAAGGCCCCCTTTTCATCAACATCCTGGGCGCCGTGCCTCATCATCCCTTCTACGAATATCTCACCAATAATTTATGGACCTACAACTTGTTCTACTATCCGCTCCCTTATCTCACAATTAGCTACAATTCTGGCCGATGGTTTTTCACGTCTATGTGGGAGAAATATCACGATAGAGTGAATTGGATGAATTGGAATCTGATTCATTCTGCTGGGGAAGGCGCCGATCAGATCCATGCATCGAAAATAAACGAGAATCAACTCTATCGTGTCGTTATGGAGAGTCGCCGGGGCGCCGAACCATGGGTATTTTGGAACGAAGGCGCAGGGTTGACATGGCAAGATTGGGATTACTCGATGTTTTCTTCTATCGGACAGGATGCAGCAAAAATAATACGGATTGCTACTGCGGTGACGATTAGCCTTTCGATACTGACTCCACTGGTGATTTGGAGATGTTGCTGTAGAAGTAGAAAGGCTAAGCATAATACTACGGGAGGATTGAAGACGGTTGCAGCGTTACTTACGCCGGTTTTGTCGCCAGTTTTGGGGTCGAGGGAGAAGAGGGCTGATTACTTCATCAAGAAAGGTCATGATATAGTATGAAGGTCGCATTCGTTATAGCCTCTTGTTTCATTTGCGAATCTGAAATTTGTTGTTTTACAAGATATCCCTTGCTGCATGTTGTGATTACTGTTGTGGGAGCGTTGGCTTCTATACAAAACCCGATGACAAGTCTCTATATTCACATGACAAAAATATTCTCACTATAGTGCTCATTGGTACTTATCCTTCTGTGCTTGTAACGCTTGAGCTAATAAACCCGGATACCATCGTTGCGCTACATCTTGATGACTGGTGATACGTGCAATCAGTGTGCCTTCGCCAATGTTGCCATTAAACATCTGGTTGAATGTTGCCTCGGCATCGGACCGCACTTTTTCATCTTTGACAAGATCCTTGATATGTTGTGGAATGCTTATATTAATCTTCTCCATGCCCAAATCGAGGCTGACGCCCTGAAAAATTGCAAATGAGTATCGCGGACCCAGTGAGTTACCCTGTGCATCCTTATAGTTCTCCGCGCGGAGGTTCACGCGATGCGTCGTTGCTGTACATACGCCACCGGTGATAGCCTCGAGTGCGCGGCCGATATTGATTACCAGGGTACCGGGGATGGGTTTCACAGGCAACCATGTGCCGGCTTTATTTTGTACCTCAAGGCCAGTATGAGGGGTGCCCTGCATGAGGAATGTTAAGAAACAAGAGTCTTTGTGCGGACCAACTCCCTGTACATCTTCGTTTGCTTTACTGTTTATTGGTTCTGGATATTTTATCAGTTTCAATTTGTTCTGCTGAGGATAATCAAAAAACTGGTCGAAAGCGGTGGGCGGCAAATCCAGTGCTTCAGCAACGAGTGATTTGAATGACTCTGCGAGCTTATCAATATGGTCCATGTAGCTTTCTATGGCAGCACGGAAATGCGGCAGTGCTTTTGGGTCAGGCCACTGCATATGTCAGATCTGGCCACATCATGAGAAATTTTGGACAACCATACCTGGTTAGGACCTCGAAGGTTGCGGTAAAGCGGTTCCTCCGGACCGGGAGCAGGAAGTTCAGTTGCAAACTAGATATACAGGCCAATTAGTAATAGAAGAGAAAGGAGGGTGCGATGGACGCACATCGAACTGTTCTCTATAATCATTTTTCAATGCAGTGATTTCCTGCCCTAAGCGTGCATAGCCCAGGAAATGTTTACTGTTTACCATCTCTATTTCCAGCTTCTTCTCCAAGGGCAAATTGAACAATGCAATTGACTGTTTGGTAAATTCGCTTTGCACATCATCTGGAACACCAGTATTCTTCAGATAGAAGAAACCAACATTGACAATTGCTGCTTTTAGCGCCTTCAAGAATGCTGGTCTGGTGGACGGTGAGGCAGCTTCAGCATAGTCTATCACTGGAACAGACGTAAACGCCCCTTCTTTGACTATATTGTTCGTGGTAGCTCCGTTCGAGCTGAATGAAGCCGCTTTATTTATCTAGAGTAATGATAAGTTAACAGTCCGCCTATCACGCACCTTTATGCTTACCGGGACGTACCAACTTCTTGAGAAATGTCTTTCTCTTTTCCCATAGAGTCCCAGCATTCAGTGAGAACTCGTAATTGTGACCACCACGCGGCAGGATAGCCGAATCAACTTCAGGTGCATTCGTGAACCTGGAAACTAAGTTATCGAAGATGGGACGAGCTTCTTTTTCGTTCCCCCAGACGATCTCTGATTCAGCACAGAGGTACTGGACAGGAACCCTAATGGCTGGGTAGACTCTATTTACCAAGTAATCGTAAAATTCATCAGAAGAAAACTCTCGGATCTCAGATTTGATCCCTATTCGCTACACATTAGTTTCTCATGGAAATAGGCGACAGCGGAACAAATAACTCACCTGGCTCAAATACTTGTGCAACGAGCTCCGGTTCCAAAGCATCCAGGTTTAACCATTCCACTTCACCCATAAACTTCCGGATATTCTCAGGATTAGTCTCGACGACATATCGTGGATTGGATGGTTCTGGATCAGGATCAACGAGCAAGATTTTCCTGTCCGGCACAGGCGCACAACCCAATGCGCTAACACCTAACAGTGGCAGTCGGTCTTGAGCTTCGGCGGTGATCGACAATGAAAAGGCGCCACCAAGCGAATGGCCGAACAGAACAATACCGCCGTTGCAATGCCTTGCCGACGATTTCTCGGTGTATACTTTCTCGATGAAGTCGATGAATACGGGAATCGAATCGGTCATCGGTTTCTCTGAGGCGGGAATGGCATTACCGGCGTAACCAGGGCGAGAAATATTAAGCACGTCATGGCCGAGGCTGTGGAAGTTTTGCACGACCCTTTTATATCGTTAGATTCTTGTCGATTCTTCCATCACCTTTTCCGGGCAGGGAGTCATGGAGGAAGCGTACGAAACAGCAGAGTTGTCAAAGTAGGCAGCAGTCGTACCACCGCCGTGAAGCAAGACGACTAAGGGCAGAGCGCGGTCTTGGTCGCCCCGCTTGAACAGTCCATATAGTTGCAACCCATTCTTCTCGAATGGAATTTTTTCATCAAATGTTGTCGCCATTGCTATGAAAATAGGACCGAAGGAATAGACGTGGTTAGAAAAGAAAATGAAGAGGTGAAGGAGTCATGGATGTCCCCGCATTCATGGTCAGTAATTGTTTTGATCACAGCTATTATCAGTCGGACCTGTTAGTGCCGATTCGGCAAATCACACCATTTGGGGGGAAATGGTGCTGATTTCTTTTCCTCTCTTTCTTATCTTCCTTTTTTGCGAGCAAAATGCTATTCCAACATAAGAAATTGTCTAAGATGACTTGTCGCCGCAGATAAATATACAAGTGCACAATCCGAATGTAGAATGAATAGCCCAGGGAATAACAACAACCCTAACCCTGACCCTCATACCATCCCAAACTTCCGAAACGGGCTTTTCTTGACATGCATCAGTAGCCCTATTGAGTGTTGGTTTCAAGGTGATCGTACGTACGCACTACCGGACGACCTTATCTAACTCGATTTCAGATATTTACATACAAACTCAAAAAATCCTACATGTCCACGTGCTCTGAGACAGAACTGACAAATTAGGTAGCTGTCCACCCCCGCCGGAGTTTGTCCTCGAACGATCATATACCAGTTTAGGACTTGTAGTTACAAGTCGTGCGATTTTGGAACGATGAGATTATATCCGGTCAGCTTCAAGTATTCTCGTGGCGCCTGCAATCATGCATGGGTTATACCGGCACTCGTTTGTCCTTGAGACGAAAGAATAAGTCGCCGAATAAGCAAGCATGATGATTTACAACCGTTACCTATTATATTTTTGATATGCCAGTCATCGCTAACCATACTCCGGCCTCGATCTCCACTTTGCGCTCCGGCATAACGGGGGAAATCTGGGGTAAGCAGCGCTTACACTGAACAGGAAATCATCGTGCAGCTCCTTCTGAATGACTAGTCAAGTCTGGACTTGACTTAACTTATCTACCAAGCTTTATTGGTTGTAATAACAAGCTGGGGTACGTTCTGGGGATATTTATCCCCATCTTCATTGTTCTCCGGCGGAGTTGTCACTCATCTAGGTCGCCTGCTCAGTTATTTAATGACTCCCCGCCCAGCATTTTTGATATTCTGCTATAGTGAACCAACTGCTCATGTCTACTGCTTATTCACTTTGATGAGACTCATGAGCTGTCATTTCGAAGCAAAATTTTGGACTGATATACACCCCCCAGCTCAGCCAAAATGACAGCGACGGGCAACGAAGTAATCGGTTTGACAGATCGAGAATTGAAGAATTTCTCTTTGGATGATCCTGGATCCGTCAATCTTATTCTTCATGCACAAGAGAGCGATGCGGCTGATCGAAAATTGACGATTCGTCAAGCCTTGGCTAAATACCCTAAAGCTGTCTTTTGGGCTATGTTCCTCTCAACAAGTCTCATTATGGAAGGATACGATGTCGTTATAGTAAGCTATATCCATACCTTTTTTCCTCTTTAAAATGCGACAGATCAGCCACCGAAGACATAGCACTAATGTTGATTTCATCTAGATCACGTCGTTCTATGGCCAATCTCAATTTCAGAAACGCTTTGGATCCTTCTCCCCAAACACTGGAACTTGGTCCATTTCTGCTGAGTGGCAGTCAGGACTCAGCAACTCATCCTCAGTTGGCCAAATGTTTGGACTCTTGCTCAACGCCTATGCCCAGGACAAATTCGGTTGCAGACACACAATGATGTTTTTCATGGCATGGATGGCTGTCATGATCTTCATTCCGTTCTTCGCGCCCTCTCTTTCCGTTCTAGCATTTGGAGAAGCCATGTGTGGAGTATCATGGGGAGTTTTTCAAGTAGGGTACCCATTTAATTCCTGCTTTTACATTCTCCCAATGTATCCTATACTGTTATGGCTAGGCCACAGGCTCACATCATCCTCAATAGACCCTTTCCACTACTTACGCATCCGAAGTTGTCCCAACGGTGTTGAGGCCATACGTAACCGCTTATGTCTGCATGTGCTGGGGTGCTGGGATTTTACTATCTTCTGGCGTCGTTCGTGCAGTGGCTGGAATTGAAGGCGATCTTGGTTGGAGATTACCCTTCGCTATCCAGTGGGTCTGGCCAGTTCCTCTTTTCATTGCAGCCTACTTTGCACCAGAGTCTCCATGGAATGCTGTTCGGCGAGGGAAGATTGATCTTGCACGGAAGAGTTTGATGCGTCTCCGTGAAGATTCTCCCGCGAAAGAGAGAGAGGTTGAAGCAACGCTTGCATACATCCAGCATACTACACAGCTCGAAATGGAAGAAACCGGAGATGCCAGCTTCCTAGAGTGCTTTCAAGGGGTGAACTTGCGACGAACTGAAATCGTGAGCTTGTTCTTAGTGACCTGCAAACTTCATGAGTAGTGCTAACAGCGAACATTTTACAGAACTGCGTGGTGTGGGCGGCACAAATCCTCTCTGGTAATGCTATCCTCGGTTACTCTGTCACCTTTCTAGAAGCAGCAGGGTTTTCCGAGATTCAAGCCTTTGACTTGAATATCTCGCTTTCGGCATGCTATATAATTGGGGGAATAATTTGTTGGCTCTTATTCCCACACCTAGGAAGAGCTACAATCTATATGGGAGGGCTCACATTCATGTTCTTTTGCCTCGTCGCGATCGGCGGCCTGGGATTCTCGCACAGCAAACATGCCGACATCGCCGTGGGAGTTCTCCTGGTCATATCGACGCTTTGCAATATGATAACAGTTGGACCAGCCTGTTATCCAATCGTGGCGGAAACTCCTTCTGGAAGATTGCGATATAAAACGATTGTCATTGGACGATTTGTGTATAATCTTACCCAGATATTCAACAATTCAGTGACACCGCGCATGATTCAAGCGTCAGGTTTGTGTTTTCTGCTATATGAACGCAAGTGAAGTTTTAATTGCTAACTTTTGGACTATTTTCCATTTAGCGTGGAACTGGGGCGCAAAGGCAGGTTTATTCTATGCAGGAACCAATCTTTTATGCAACATATGGTGCTGGTTCCGACTCCCTGAAACCAAGGACCGTAGCTTTGGCGAGATCGATCTTTTGTTTGAGAATCACGTTTATGCTCGGAAGTTCAAATATATAAAAGTGGATCGTAAGTTTATTCTAGTCGATGTGTCCGGGTCATTTTTATGACCCTCATGTTCTTGTTTGACGCCGAGCTAATGACCACCCTTCTAACAGAGTTTGCCCATCAAAACTTTGAAGAGAGTCAATTCCATGAAGAGAAAAATGGTGCGACTCATGTAGAGAATGAAGTCGTCTAAGGAGCCTTGGATGGGCCTTCGTTGATTTGGACATAATTCGCATCTGGTGCTGTTTAACATGTACATTTTTACATTTACTAGGGGGCTACATTAGCTTTCCCATATATTTGTACCTGGTATTAATCCATCCATGAATATGTTTGTTTCTACGGTTTTTAGTTAGAAGGAAGGTAGTCGCAGTGCTGAAATCGACTTTCGCAGAGATCTAGAGAATGGAATATCATTCATTGTAAGGGGGATAGAAACCACACAAGTCAAGTCTCACATACAACCAGGAAATGTGACAAGTTGATATGCACAGGAATTATTATTAGTAGCAAATGTTTACCAAAAGAGAAATAAATACTGAAATATGACTAGTCAAGGATACAGCAAACGACGAAGAACTACTTCGGAGGAGACGTGCATAGACCGCGTTGAAACAGCTTCACACTCTGGACCGACAAACCTCGAGTATCACCTTCTCCCCAAGTCGACTCCCAAGCAGAAGACGCATTGTAGAACTGTGCCATAGCCGTATCCGATCCATCAATCCATGGTTTGCTGCCATATCCATCTCTGTTTATCTACGGTCAGTACCGGAATAGAATCCGAGGGTTGCGATCGAAGCACTTACTCAAAATATGAGTTTGTAGATCCCACAGCAACATTAAGAATGAGATAGAATGCTTGGTCGAAAGGAGTATTATATCGTTTCGTCCCCGACCAAGGATCAAGCTAACAATGGCGCATAATGTCAGTCGCGAGCTTATAATAAGTTATAATTGGGTAAGAATTGGCTCACAGGAATAGATCCATTCACACTCATGGTAGCAAACTTTCCTCTTTCGTACATAGTGCCATACTTCTTGCCAAAAGGGATGTACATCGATTGCTGGGAATGGATGTCAGTTCCGCTCTTTACTCCTTGACATCACGGTTGTTAGACTATAGATGTAACTTACTGCCAGGCGACTGTCCACCCAGGTGTAGATGTACTCGTCACTCCATTCCATTCCAAAGGTGTGATAATCGTCTGAGTAGTCCCCCCTCGTCATATACTTCACACCATTGGTACGCCAAAAAGCGTCCAAAACCGGGTTGGGTGCCCAGTGAAGAGTACCTCCGACAAGATTTCGACCACCCTCATATCTTTTCACAAGAGAAAGGTTAGAATAAGTGACATCCTTGTGCTCATGTTTCGGTTTGAAGATGCTTACAATCGTCCATCATTGCCCTTGGACTCCATGATATCAATTTCGCCACTAAGCGGCCATGCACCGTACATATCCTCCTCCGGCATCATCCTATAAGTTGTACGTTAAAAATAATAATCGACCCATTATGTGTAGGTAACAAGTCAGGTTAGAACTAGGTTCGGCCCGCGGGATCGGAAAATTGCGATTAGGGCTATGGAACATACCAGATTGCGGGCCATAACCAATCACCCCGTGGTAATTTCGCCTTGACCTCTACCTTTCCATATGTAATATTGTGCTTTCCCTTCGTTGTCAATCGCGCACTTCTGACAGGATTGATCATAGTGGCCTTGGTGATATTGCTGACGCGGACACAATCGGCCGCATCGTTCGCGGTACAGACACCCTGCGAGGTGAGATTCAACGTGTACCCGTTAAACAACTGCTCGGTAGTGATATCGGTGACATCTTTTGTGATCGTGGGCACGATGTGCAATCCTTTCTCGTTTGTATAAGCGTTTGCGGGGTCATTGGTGGTCCAGTCGAATGAACCAACACCGAATCCGCCCACCTGGATTTCGTAGTTCCAGTCATTTTCGTTGATTCCGTTGAGAAAGTCGTCTTCGAATATGAGGCAGTACTAGTAACCTGAGCGTTAGGATATATTCCGAATGCGACATAGAACTTATGAGTATTATAGATCGGGGAAGATGGGTAAGAAATGAAGCAGAATGGCAATTGGATTAAGGAGCGAGAGCAAAGCAAGTACAAAACTGTCAGTACTTACTGGAGGATTTTCCACACTCGCCCAACCTGAATAGATGATATATGCGCCTATGCCTAATCCTACTACAGTGAGTCCGATAAAGAAAATCTTATCCCATAGCATGCGAGGGTCTTTTTTAACGGTCCATGGCTTGTCGTATTCTCCTATTAGTCGGGCGGATTTGAATTTTCTCTGCCTAAGAGGTTTGGACTCTAAAATAAAAACAGTGTAAGTGTCAAAGGAACCCTGCAGATAGACAAAATGTGATTTTGATTTACTAAGAGAGTAGGAGGTGCTGGGTAGGAGTGTAGTACCTGTAAAGATAGAGTACTGCTGCGCTGAAGAGATAATAGATCTTTGATCATGAGGAGTAGAAAATGGATTATCAAATAGGTAGTCGTGAGTAATATTTTCCTCGCTTCGAGAATGATATTTCTCAGTGGTGATGGAAACCGCTGATTTCTCCATTGTTGCTACAGAGAAGTCCTCTTTCTGTGTATATTTCTTTCTGGCCGGTAAGCCCTAATTTGACAGCAGAATCGAGGAAGGTAACATGTTTTAACATAAGAAAATAAAATCTATGTCTAGGTCTATGGCAGCTAGCTAGTATTGTCCATTTGTCTGGACCATTTCTCCTCGCTCAAGATTGCCAAAAAAAAGTTTCTGATTTAAATGTAAACAGTCGCATACGGAAGCTGTCTTTTTTGGTCGGCCGTTCCCCAAGAAGAGTAATACGGAGTAAACACACCCAAAAATGGAAAGCAACGCTAATGAACCCTGTTACTCTGTAGCCGTATCAGTAGTTGGCTCTAGGAGACACTATCGGGGTGTTTAGGAAGTTCTCGGCTTACCGCTAGGTGACCTGGCCGAACGTGGCTGACACCAAGTGGATGATGTACCGAGATAGAACCACAGTATCTAAGTGTATAGATAGCCATGTGCCGAAAGAGACCAATCGAAAAGCATAATACGAGAGATACTGTGTAGCGTGCATTTTCGCTGCATTGAAACTATTACACAGAATATGGTGCCATGTACACATGTCTTGACGCTTGGTTTTATGGTATTATTGACCTGTACCACGTTCGAAGTATTATCTAACTTTCCATGGCCAGACCTGTAACTAAGTTATGGCGTATGTGATGATTCATAGGCTTGTGATTGTCTTTTCAAACTAAGCCTGCAGGTCCCAGGATCTGAGTCTGTTCAAGAGCCACAAAGATTAGAATCACGAGTCCAATAGGAAGGTCCCATGTCTCGCTAAGATTAGACATGTATAGTACCGTTACTAGAGTCGAGCCTGAAAACTACATAGTGACAAAAGAAATAAGGAAACAACTCTAAAATCTAGAACCATATACCAAAGTTAAAAACAGCAAAAGTCGTTATCAGCGCTTGTAGTCCGGATTTCCACGAATTAAGTTTATACCCGGCACCAGTGGAACCAGAATTCGTAGGGCTAGAGCCAGATGAAGACGAACTCGGAGAATTACCAGTGGCTGCACCACCCAGATACCAGCTTCCGATGTCTGTGAGCTGACCATCCTGGGTCAACATTGCCGCGTTCGGCCCAACATTAGAGACTGATGACCGGAACGACCCGAAGTATGAGTATCTTTCGATATAATCCAGCCGATCAAAGTACTCGGCTGATGTTTGGAAGAACGATTGGGTGGTCTTTAAATCGGAATGTGGAAGTGCGTATTCTGTTATCCAAATTGAAGTGTTTGGATAGCTATGTAACCATCAATCAGCATTCTCTAGGCAGAGGGTCAACAAGAGTGTATATTACAGTTCACCACGTACCTTGCAACTACCTGGCCGATATAACTCGCGAGGCCCTGGAAATCTCCATACCAATGCAAGGGAATAAAGTCAACCGTGCAATTGGTCCCTAAGGATGTGCAATTCGTGAAAAACTGGCTTAACCAACTGAGTCCATTTTGGCTTCCTGTCACAGAGGGAGCGCCGATCTTTATACTTTCATTCCGCAGAGGCTCAATGTCTTTTATCCAGATGCTGGCAGCGTCAGCTGGAGAAATCTCGCTCCCGCCTGTTGATGCTGATCCATCTGGTTCATTGAACGTTAAGATATGAGTTATGTTTCGGCCCGCTGTCATCTGCGATCTAATCTCTGAAGCAAATGCCGAGCTGTTTGCAGATCCCCAAAGCATTGGCACAAACTCGAACTCCGCCTGGGAGCGATTTGAGTACGCGTCTATAGGTATGTCCGTGTAGTCATAGTACCACGTCAAATCTGAGTTACCTTCAACCCATATCTGATCGTCGGACGAGTGTTCCGAAGAGATGTAGACGAGACCCCGTTTGCTTGAAGATTGAAATTTGGTGGTTCCTGAAACATCCAGAGATAATGCTACTCGTGCGATCGTCACAGCAGTCAGGATCTTCGACATGGAGGTCCTCATTTTCCTTTAGTCGTGTGAAAAGACATCAAAAGATATGCTCCAAAAGCTGGAATGATCGATCTGGGTAGCGAGGTTCGCATACCTATGTATTTCACCATGAGATATTTCTATTTTTTTCCCCATAAGTCTTTAAAAGTATCTTCATGAGTATTTGGTATCCACCAAATCCACTATCTTTACTTTCTTGTACTTAGTAGCGCGTCTGGGCAACATCCAGGATAAGGCTGGACAACACACAAGTCGTCGGCTAAAAAGTCGTGAAAGCGCTTGCATGATCCTTGGCTCCTTAAGCAGGATATCTAATCATCTAGTTAGCGCACGGATCTGATAGTGCCTAATCCTAATTATCCCATAGATGGGTCTAGTTTACCGAGAGGCTAAAGCCATGTCGTTCCTGAACTCATGCGTCCAGGTCTATTGGCTGGTTGGTTGCCACAACGGCCCAAGCCAAAAAGATATTTTTACTGACAGGAACTAACCAAAGTCAAACCAGCAGCCTTCCTCTAAGCCAACGTCGGATGGCTTGGTTCGAGATAAGAACCGGATGATCGTGGCTAAATATACTCGTACATTGCTATTCGTTCATTTTTGTCACCGGGAGGTCACTCTCAGATGTCTCTTGCATAAATTACACATACCAAGCACTTCGTGTATGGTACAACTCCCACCAAAAAGCGTCTGGCCATATTAGTCTTCAGCTATTTCGTTAAAAACAGCCGACCTATCATACCCAGTCCTCTTTAGTGCCAATAACACGAATCCATACAGAGCACCCCTGTCGGCCACGTTATCTACCATGCTGAAAAGCTTCAATCCTCGCCTTGTCCCCTCATCTGATGCATGACAAAGCTAAGGCGATTCTTGCCTGGCTTAATGTGGCTTCCCTTGGAATTGGAACTAATGGTTCCACAACAGTATTCAGTGCACAGGCTGCGACTAGCTACCAGTCACTAGATAACACAATGGAGTGGTTCCCTTAGTTTGGTACATGGTTACCGAGTGCAGTGTCTCGTACGAACTCGGTTTTGTACTAATTAGGTCTTACAATTAGACTACAAGAAAAGGTAAATGTAGGCGAGAATTCTAGCTCTGGAGGAGAAGAGTCTAGCTGTAACGAGCAGTCATGCAGCTGCTACAGCTTTTTCTTGCTCACTTCACTTATAGCTCAGTTAGCGCCAGAATTTTTCCAGAGCGTGAAAACTCTCTGCATCCCAAGTCCTTTCGAGGAAGAGACTTCTTCCCATTCTCACATTAGGATTCTCTCTTTGTTCGCGCAGTTATCACAGCCTTCAAAAATGAGTTTTGCGGTGCCATCCAAAGACATGGATAGCTCTTCCAGCGAAGGTTCTGTCCAGCATCCTGCTCCAGCTGCACGTCCTAGGATGTCTAGATCCCAAACCTCGAAGAGCTTATTTCTGGGCATGAAGGATGTAGACAGTTATACACGTTCGGTGACAGTGAGTCTATAACTATTAACTTTTCAATTCCAAAACTAACAATGGATTTCAGATGGCGCAATTCCTCTATCGTCGGTTTCAGGAGAAGGGCTGGTTGCTACCCGACCCAGCTGCGAGACTCACTTCTGCTTTGGGAGTCATCCTACGTGTTGAGCCTGAAACCGACGAGGAAGTCAAATTTATCTCAAGACCGGATGATACTGATTCTAAACTGCAACTGATTAGTGCAAATCTGGGGCTCGAGGCTCTCTTCACCATGTCGTCAGATATTACAGCTTTGATCTTCAAGCGCATTGGGAAGAACGATTCAGAAGTGACTTTATCACCCCACAATATTACCGTTCCCGTTGTGGACTCATTTAGTGCGCTGGCAGCGGACAGTTCAAACGTAAGAAGACGAGATTTCTGCTGTTTTTCGAGACAAGAGAAGGCCGTCTTGATTTGGACAAATTCTCCCGATGAGCTTATGACACACGGCATTGAAATAGAGACTAAGCTTATGGGTTCGGTATGTCATCCCAAATTCTGTGAAGTTCTTAATGCAGTACCCAAAGGCTGATTGGCTGCAAAGATATGGGGAACCATGATGGTCTCAGGAACGCAAAGTCCTCGACCCAGTCGCCCCTTCACAATGACTGGACCAGGAGGTCTGACCCCATACCAACATCGAACGCCCAGTGTAATCTCAGACAGTCCTAGTGGGACTTACACGCATTCGAACGAGAAGAATCTTGTGGTCCTCGACGAGGTTGATCTTACTGCTGAAGATGAAGAATCAAAGAAGCCAGTCGCTCGTCCATTTTTGCTCTCTCACTCTGTCATGGTGGGCCTCGCCATGTGTCTATTGATGGTCATTGAATGTTTCGCGGTTCGCTTGATTATCATCGAAATTAAAGCGCTCGGGACTTCAATGCTTCCTCGTCTTGGCCTTCTGGCACCTCTCCCTATCTTCATGTTCTTTACTCTATTCTTCACGATCGTCATAGTTGGCACGGCTTTCCAAATGTTCGGACCCATGAATGACGTTAAATTCGGCAACTCGCGCTTCTACAGCTCACAACCTCCAAATCTCAAGCGACATCCGAACTATCAATTCCCCCACGTCACCATTCAGATGCCTGTTTACAAAGAGGGCCTCAAGGGTGTTATTATTCCGACTATTGAAAGCTTGATGCCTGCTATCCGTCATTATGAATCCCTCGGTGGGACAGCCAGTATATTCGTTTGTGAGGATGGTATGCAAGCCGTCACCCCCGAGGTCGCTGATATGAGGAAGAAGTTCTACAAAGCCAACAACATTGGGTGGTGTGCTCGCCCACCCCATGGTAAAGACGGCTTTGTGCGAGCTGGAAAATTCAAGAAAGCATCAAATATGAACTATGCACTAAGTTTCAGTCTTCGTGTTGAGGATGAGCTATTGCGTTTGATGAAGCTGAAGGCAGATGCAGAAGAAAGAAGTCAGGAGTCTTTATCGATTGAGGAGGAGGAAGAGCTCTATCAGCAAGCTTTGCAAACCGTCCTCGAGGGTGACGAAGGCAAGACCTGGGCTGAGGGAAATATCCGTATGGGAGAGATCATATTGCTTATTGACTGCGATACACGAGTAGTAAGTCTACCGCGTATCTGATAGAATACCTTTATGCTAATGTGGACGCTAGCCTGCCGACTGCCTCTCTCTTGGAGCATTGGAGATGGAGGAAAGTCCCGAAGTTGCTATCATCCAACATGCATCTGGGGTCATGCAAGTGATCCACAGTTTCTTCGAGAATGCTAGTAAGTGTAGACAACCGTCTATAGCAGGTTCAAGCTCATAATTTTCCAGTCACCTACTTCACGAACCTCGTTTACCTGCTTATAAGATTTTCGGTTGGTAATGGTGATTGCGCGCCATTTGTTGGACATAATGCCTTTCTTCGATGGAAGGCCATTCAAAGTGTCTCCTTCATGGAAAACGGTATCGAGAAGTTCTGGTCGGAAAGTCATGTGTCAGAAGATTTTGATATGTCGCTGCGCCTGCAGACTGCGGGATTCGTTGTACGTCTTGCAACTTACGGTATGTTTACTTTTATGGGTACCTTCCAAGTACTTTTTTTTTAGGCGTACTATGTCTAATCTCTTGCAGATAAGGGGGAATTCAAAGAAGGCGTATCTCTGACGGCTTTTGATGAGCTTTTGCGGTGGGAAAAGTATGCATATGGCTGTTCTGAGCTGGTCAGTCACATTAATATCCTTATTCTGCAGGATATCTTTGTTCATCTGCTAATGTTCGAAAGATCTTCCATCCCGTCTATCAATGGATTTATCGTGGTCCTTTTACCGAGCTGTTCCGTCGCTTTCTTTGGTCGAATATGAAGGTATCCGCAAAATTTACAATTCTTGGTTATATCGGAACCTACTATGCTATTGGTGCATCTCTTCCCCTATCCATAGCAAATTATTTCCTCACAGGTTGGATTGCAGCGGACCTGGATCACAGCTATCTTCCTAGTTGGGATATGTTGTGTGGTACGCTTTTCATCTTCGTCGTTGTCAGCCCGATTGCCTTCGCGTGGTATAGACATCGATTGGGCGATAAAAAGTTCCTCTGGGCTCTGATAGAGGCATTCATGTGGATGCCCTTCTTTGGTAAGTCGTTGCTGAACTTGTGGCCTAATATCGTGTTTTCAGTACTAACATATACTCACTTAGTCGTCTTCTTCGGGGGCGTATCCTGGCATATCTCGTATGCTCTCCTAGCTCACATGTTCTGCCTCCCCATTGAGTGGTCCTCAACAGCAAAGGAGCTGGAAGCTGGTGGCTTCTTCGTTGGAATGGAGAGAGTATTCAAGGCCTTCAAGATGGTGCTGCTCTTCATGGCTTGCATGACTGCGGGTCTGATCTATTTAGCGCAGTTTGCTCCCTATGGTTGGAAGATTAGTGCGTGGACATCCATTCTACCAGTGGCTAACCAGATAGTTGGTCATGTCTTGTTGCCTGTTATGACCATTTTGCTTTAGATTCGTTGGTTTCTGGTTAATCTGAGCTATCGACTATTAATACTTTTCATTCTTTTTCATTAGTTCTTCTTCAGGATTAAATAGGCATATAGTGTATACGAGACACCTAATACACCCTAGGCCATTATAAAATTACTTACATATTACTCCAAGTGTGTAACTAGGTAGCGCATAACACTAATTCTTGATATCATTAGCAATGTGAACGTCATATGGCCCCTGAATGTCATTTTCCAGCATTGGCTTCATGAGATCAGTGATCCATGGATATGAACTGCTGGTCGAAATTATTGGTCCCTTCAAGTTGTCACTGCTAGAAACATCTCATTGTAGTACTCTTATCGTAGTACTAATACTGTACCGGCGGGACATCCCGTAGTCGGGCTTTCGTCAAGTTATATGTAAACTTGGAAGGTGCTGCAGTTTCTCTAATGTATCTGTATTCCAAGTATTGTCAGAATATATACACATGAGCACTACCTAAGTAGTAAGTACGGATTATCTAAAGTCCATGTGTTATCCTAGGTGCCAATATAATGTCCTCGTCATATTCCCTTCGCTTTGTAAATAATCAGTCATGTGCATAAAGGGGTGAGGAGTGCCTTGGTATCTAGCGTTGGTCAACAATGATCAGTAATTCAAGAAGTTAGAAGTCTTAGAAATAGTCTGGCCTACAGTGTTCAACTTTGTTGAAATCTGCATATGATAAATCTGGCTATATTGCAAATAGATGGAGGTGGAGAAGATGATGAGGAAACTCGATTGGTCGTCTCGGTCATTCCGAGCGTGGGTTGATGATGCGTGCAGCATATCCGGAGAGATTAAGTTAGTTTGCAGTTGATGAATAATATGCCATTAGGCTAAAATGACTTTCTCTCCGAGAATCAAACTCTAATTCTGGCAAAAGCTTTCTTGTCTCCTGAATACTCGTTAGTTGGGTATGCTTTTCACCAGCCGGCTTTTGAGGGCAGGCGATTCCTGGAACAGCCCCTTCCTTTGCGAGCCGCCATCTGTAGCTTAGCAGCCCTACAGTTTGATCACGATGAGTCAGAGGAGTGCTTCAATGGGGAAACCGGCAGGGATGTATCCAACCGATTGGCACTTATCGGCCAGGCGTTATCAAAGGACAGCTCATTCCGCCCAACGGTAAGAAACATCTTAGTTAACATTCTGCTGGGATGGAGCGAATTTTTCGCAGGTAGTTGTAATCTAGTTTGGCTTTATATTGGTTTGGTTATCCATATGGCACAGGCTTTACGGCTCGGGAAAGAGTATCATCAGCGTCGTCCGCCAGTTGAGCGAGAGAGGGCGCGCCGGACAATGTGGTTCACTTTCATATTAGATCGATCGGTCTCATATATCATGGTGCGTCCTCAAAAAATTAGTGTCCATAAACTAAGGATACAGCTGCCATGTCCAGACCGTCTTAATGTTTTTGGTGAGGTGTATGACGGACCTGATATCCACCAGTCATTTAATGGAGTATATTCCAATGATAATATTGTCGCATATGCTATCGGAGCGATCAATATATGGGGTGCATGTACGGACTTACTTGCAAATTTGGCTATTAGAGAGAGCAGTTCCTCAGTACATCATGAGAATGAGCTGAGGGAAATGGAATTCACGACTGAAACCTGGTCAGCAAACTTACCTGATCGTGTGTGCATTGGTCACTTGCCAATTGCGGTGCTTGCGGTGTTCACAAATTACTCGGAACTGGCAGCCAGTTTATACCAATACAAATGTTGATACTACATACACATTGCATCACGCAACAAGGATTTCTACCATTTGAATCCCCATTCGTATCTGAGAGTGGCTGGGCCTCGGTTGCTGCGCGATCATGTTTGGCATATGCTCAGCGCATTACTGAGATTTCGAATTCACTGCTTCACGGAGACAATGCTGACCGTGTGAACCTCATGACCACGTTTACCGGCATTGCAATCGCTTGCGCGGCAAATATATGGATATGGAGGATCGTATTAGGCCAAGATAGAGCAAATCAGGTCCCATTAGGGCTAGAATTAACCCTAACCCTATAATATGAACCAGAAATTGATTCAGATTCTACGTACATGGCCAAAGATTATCACCAGCTACATATGAAATGCGAGCAAAATGAATGTAACGAGAAGTCGGTGTGAATATATCGGCAAGGAAAAGAGAAAAGAAGGTAAATAGCTGTGCATCCGGGCACTCTGTCAGAAACCCCACACGAGATAAGACGGATCTTCGGCGGGGATCACGCCATGCTAAAAGCAAATATCTTCAAAGACGACTACTACTCTATCTGGAAGAACACGCTGCTGTAAGGGGATTAGAATACGACAAACTAACAGGCATGTCGGCTCAGGAACATCCTTTACACTACGAGAGCTTAGCTCTACACGCAGGGTATCGTGCACGATTCTCTTAACCCGACTGGAGAAGTGTTTCGTGCTGACGATACTCCGATGACAGAGAGGACGCGCACAATGTTCAGTCAGGGACTGGTGCATTGACTACTCCTATTTATGCATCAACTGTATGGCTGACCAGTCTGTCACCATTTGCATCTGCAAAGTACTAATAGCTCTCATTTGCAGTCTTTCACCTTCAACAATAGCCAGCATGGGGCGGATATCTTTGCTGGAAAGACGGAAGACTTTGCTTATAGTCGTCTCGGAAATGTATGCTATCATTCTCATTTCAGTTTGCAAACCCTGTTCAAGACTTTTTGTCCTTGCTCATCAGAGAAACTATGAGTTGACTTTATCCAGCCCACATCAAGTGTTTTTGAGCAAAGGATAGCAGCATTAGAAGGCGGAGCTGCAGCTCTTCCTACTTCGTTAGTATTTTTTGACCGCAAGCTCTATTATATACATGCTAATATTGATTCATTTAGTTCGGGAGAAGCCGCGCACTGGATGGCCATCGCTGCTCTAGCCATGGCCGGTGAGAATATTATTGCGCCTTCTACAATATCTGAAGAGACGTACACTCTATTCAAATACCGACTCCCACCACTTGGAATCAATGTCAAGTTTGTCGATATTAATGATACGGATTCTGTCCGAGATGTGATTGATGAGAAGACACGCGCCGTGTACATTGAGAGTATCAGCAGCGTTTCTCTCGAAATCGCAGATATCGAGGCTGTGGCATCAGTGGCCCACGAAGTAGGCGTTCCCCTCGTTGTGTGAGTTCACCACAAAACCAATTCCGGGGATGGTAACGATCTGACTATTTTGTAGAGACAATACAGCGGGTGTTGCAGGATATCTCATCCGTCCAATTGACCATGGAGCCGATATTGTAATCAACTCAACATCTGAATGGGTAACAGGCACTGGTACAACTGTCTCCGGGGTCATCGTCGATAGCGGCAAATTCCCTTGGAAAACCCATTCCTCGAGATTCCCTCATCTCACAACACCTTCACCTGGATACCACGGTTTGAACTTTGCAGAAGCTTTTGGCGAGATTGCGTACATACTATACGTTAGAATGGCCATCCTTCGCGATGGTGGTCCATGTCTTAACCCATTTGCGACGGCACTCGCCTTGGCCGGACTTGGAAGCCTGTCAGCCAGGATGGACCGACATAACAGTAACGCGTTGTCACTTGCCGCATGGTTACAGACGCATGAGAACGTCACAAACGTGACTTTTCCAGGTATCACAGCACATTCTACTTTTCCTCGCACGGAGAAGTACTTGCGTCAAAAGGCTGGATATGGAGCAGTATTGCATTTTGGGTTAAAGAAGGGCGGAGCACAAAAAGCAGCAGCTTTTATTGCTAATTTAAAGCTGATCAAGTCATCACATGGGTAATGGTTTCATTCTGCCTCGGATTGTGCTATTTTTGAGCAAGGAATGCTGCTGATGCTAACTTCTTCTTTCCTTCCAGACTAGGAACTCCGCAGTAAGTAGTCAAGTATGCCATTTAGATTCAGAACTTATAATCTTCTTAGGACATTAATACACGTGCTTGATGAACATTACGCGTCCAGGAAAGAGGTTACAGGTGTGGAGGGTGCTGTTATTCGTCTTTCCGTTGGTCTGGAGCATATCGTAAGTCGCAAGCACGCCGAGTCCTACTGTTGGCAAGGAACTGACTTTTCATTTCTCTCAGGACGACATCATTGAGGATCTAAAACAAGCTCTGCAACTTTTCTGACATCAGGTTTGAAGGATTAGCCTGACTGCTTGACGAAACTGATGGAAGATAATCAGCCTATCATTACGATATTTCGTTTTCTTCGTAGTTAAATGAGAATAGTGACAGAAAGTCTGATTCTAACATCCCATCCAAACCTTGGAAATCGTAATTAAAGCCATCAACTGTGCTATGAGATGCCTCTCTCTGAGTAGGAATAGCTACTTGCGAAGTCGTAGCTAATGTTGTATTCGTCAGCATCTGGAAAACTAACCAGCAGGTGATGGGGCCCTTTTATACCCTGAGAAGTAGTCTTGTCATTGCCCTGATTACCAAATGCATTTCTCCAGGACCATAAGAGATCATGGAGAAGACTTGCCGCTAGCCGGGTTCTGAGTTTCAAACTTGGTTCCTCATCACATTTCCCAATCCGAGCGTATCCACTCCAAAGCTGAGTTAATATCTTCGACATACGTCCTTGAAGATCATTATCCTCTAGTGAAGTTTGTCGAATCAGTTGAGCTCCAATATGAAACATGCGCTTCCCCTCTTCAACCTCAATAAATCTAGAGTAGCCGGAATAGCTCAGTTTCAGTATAAACATGGCAGCCAATGATAGCACTTGAAATAGGACTTGAGATCCGTAGTGTATGAAATCGGACTTCATAGCGAGATCCGAAGCTCGCCGTATCAGGCCGATTGCTAGGCTATAGCCCCGAAGAAGGGCCATTTTGCGAAGGTGGGAACCACTAAGTTCCATGAGGTAGAAGATATAGAGTTGGAGACCTGCTCCATCTAGTAAGATGCTGTTTTCGTCTGTTGGGAGATTTTAGTAGCCTTCACATCCATGGAGGATTCATGAGAATGGACCTCACCTGTCAATCCATGGCCAATACTTGCTCCAAGCTCGTGGAATTCTTGCTCGAGTAAAGCCAGTAGAGGAAGAGTATCACCTGGCCGAGCTGAGCCTTCCGCAAATCGAGGTACCCCGGCAATACTCGAAGAGGTGCACGTCACAAAACGATAGATTTTGAGCTGCTGTACAATAGCCTCTGGTATTAGTGTATGGTCATCTTGGTTACTGAGACGGTCAATAGTCCAATACGAGGATGGCGAGGGTTGCCCATCTGTAAATAAATTACTGTGGGAAAGCTGTCAGTCTATTGAATAGATACTTAACACAATTAGCCAGTCAGGATACCTTTGTAATGCGATATAACAAGCTGACCATGTTTTTAAGCAGTCCGAAATCTCATTCTGGCTTAATCGTTTATGTGTCCGTGAAAAGTCACTGATGGCATCGGGACGATGTAGACCTAGTTGCAATGCGATGGAATGTGCCAGCGTAGCCAGACTTACAGTGCTGTCAGTTGTAAGTGAGGAAGTGGGAAATGGCCACATGCATATAAGCACTATAGACTGCACAAGTTCTAACGTATGGGGAGGATTGGAAATCATCTCCCATAGGAGCTTCTTGACGGATGGGATCAAACTGACTAACAAATGCGGGTCATCGACGTCCCGTCGAGATGCGACATATGATATCGTCCAGAACAGCAATGCTGATTTGCTAAAGTATTCTTCCGGCGTGGTGAGTGGGTTGAGGATCGGGTGATGTGGGTGATATTTATCAAAGAAGCTGCGTAGATTTAGCAAATGCGCAATGACAAGGCATGATCATCTAGACTTACATGTGAAATAGTTTGGTGACCTTGTCTGGTGCAAGAGTGATATCATTAAGGGACCTGGCTGGTTTATACTTTTGCGATGGGGTGTCAATTGGTATAGAAGTTGACCTTTGTTCGAAAGGTAATATTGGCAGAATAGAGAATAGTTGATTGCCAGGTTGATAGTGTTCCGTTCTGATTTCTGGTATGCTTTGACTATTTGTCGCCTGCTGATCTCGAGTTATTCCTTCTAGCAAGGGCGCACCAGTGGCCGAGGTATTTGCAATAGAAGATCGAAGTTCTCGAATCTCTCTCTCTAACTCTTCAAGTTTTCTGTGTTGGAAATTCAATATTGCTGATTCGATCAATAACATGGTGTAGTCAGACTCACTCGGGCTTGTTCATACGCTTGAACTCCAGCTCTACTCTACAGTCGCGGTCCATTCGCCGGCATCTTGAACATGGAGTCTTGCCGCCTGCTGATAGTTCGCAGCGCATCTAATGCAGTGGGGATCAGACGGAAGACGTGATGAGTTTGCATCGCTTGCTATGCATACCTTTGCCTGCCGACAACTCTTGCAAGCAATCCGACGACTCTTCGGATTTGCTGAATCCACTGATCCTATGTGTTGTCGAGGTCGAGGCATCCTGCTTGTTTGCCGCAATGGCTAGACTAATAGAGCTACAAATAAAGTCGTCAGATCCAAGGCAAAATGATCGGAATCCCATCATTCTTTCATATAAGAAGGTAAAATTAGGAGAGATTCAGTTTTGAGAATCATCTTAGAAACGATGAATGCACTACTGAGTCAACTATTCCTCGCCCAGGTTGTACGCTCCTATCAGAGCCTAACCCCGTTCGGACTAACTTGGTACCAAAAGATTCCAATAGAATAGATAAGTCGAACTACGAAACGGTTCGCAAATACCACAAAAATACCAGAATCCCTTGAAAAGCGTCCTTTTTGGTGAAACGCTGTTACGTTTAAGTTCCGACATGCGGGCGACGACGCATCTTCACTGGCTCGGCTTTCATCTATTTCCTCATTTTTCGACTTCTACTTCAATCGACACATCAGTCACAGTGCTAGCAATATCAGAAATCTCGCCAATTAAATGTCATCATCCTTCATACAATAATGCGAAATGCCTACATCGTGATTGCGGAACTTCGCTGCCCCAGCTATGGATGTCATAAATTCATGTGGCGCTGTGCAAGCGAAGCCATCTGTTCTCGGGTTATTCGGTCCAGTCACTAAGAAATGATTGACATTTTCAGGACAGCATTGTGATCATATTGGCTATTATATTCGTGCAGGATACACTACGTATATTCTTCCAGCTTATCGATGCCCATCCAGACTGATACAATCTACCATTGCAATTCGGCACGCGCGTTGGCATTGCTTGAATTCCTCTCTGCTCTGGCTGGCAGAGTTTTCGGCGCCGTCATGGCTTCAAATAGGCTCTTACCAAACTTCTGGAAAGCCGATGAAATACCGCCGTGGTCGAAGAGTTCCTTTTCCATCTGACTCAGTTCAAACTTCACTTGCCTTTTGCCCAGTACGACTTCGTTATTACTAAGATTGATCGAGATCTCTGTGCCGTCTGTTGCCGCGTCGTAAAAGGATTCATCAGAGATGGTTATGCCAAGAAGACCGAGATTCGGCATGTTACGCTGAAAAATGAACGCAAATGACTTCGCAATGACACACTGGACACCACACCCTGTTGATGTTAATCAACTTCTTTGTGGACGGCTCTCCTGTTACTTGTTGAAGAAAATGAAATTTGTGCATACCGAGTAAAGCCATCACTGCCTGCTCACGAGATGATCCGCATCCAAATCCCGTACCGGCGACGACAATATTGAACCCATCCTTGACCTTCTGTCGGAAATCCGGATGTGTATATTCCAAGCAATGCGTACCTAGCACTTCATTGGTTTTGCTTTCTACGAGGAAGTTTGCTGGTGCCAACTGAGTTTCACCATTTGTTAGCGAGATTTGTGGTGTATCCGGCTGTGGACCAAGTTCATGCATACCGCATCCGTGTCAATATAATTCCCTAACTTCTGGATTTTACCCTTCAATACGTTCTCCTCCGCTTTTACGTTGATCGGCTCCCCTGGATTGTTAACCCTGACCTCGGTAGAGGCTGCAACATACTCTGCTCGAAGTGACGATTGGTCTATTGAGCTCGGGTTTCCAAATCCATTGGGTTCAACATAATTCACTAAGACCTGCAAGTTCTGTTGGCCGTTTAGACCAGATGTCTTTTTGATTGCCTTGAGTGAATTCCACCGTGCAAGGTTGACTCGACATAACAGGTCGTGTGGGTCTTTGACTTTCATCTCGAATGATGACGCGGCAACAGTGGCTGCAGAAGCAAGATATGCAAACGATCCTAATCATTCATATGAACCCTGTTCGGACGTCCGACAATCCAGTTGAGTATTTAAGACACTGGCTTACCTTTTCCCATCCTATTTTCGAAATTTCTATTCTGAGACGACAGCCATACTTCACCTGGTTTAGCCTGATCAGCAGACATGCCAACGCAGTAGCTGCACCCCGGGACCCCAATCTTGTATCCGCAAGCCTCGTAAATGTCCAACAAACCGAGCTCGCGAAGCCTCCGTTGAATGGGCAACGATCCTGGGACTACCCTGCGATTTCCTTTGTTCACTGGCTTCAGACCGGATTTGAGACCCTGCTCAAGTACCAATGCACCTAGAATCAGCTCTTCCTCAGTTGTAGTGCAGGCACCAATAAAACATCCATCAACAGGCATATTCTCACACTCGGCCACAGGCACGACGTCATCTGGCTTTGGATGCTTGGCAATGAAAGAATGGACATTTCCGAGATTTATTTCGTACGTCTCCGCATATTGCGCATCTTCGTCTGGTTTTAGGAAAATACTGGCCGTTTTATGTCGCGGGTGAAGGCGTTTCTGCACAAAGTCGAGGGTGGTTCCATCAGGCACGAATATACCCGTGATACCTCCGAGTTCCTGAAATTTATGAGCAATTGGTCGATCGTTGTTCGGCTGGCCCCCTTTTATGACAAAGAACAACTAAGCTTACCGCAGTCATATTGCAAATAGCAAATCGTGCATCAGATGTCAAATACTGCAGCCCTGGACCGGTGTATTCCACAATTCTTTCCGATGCAACCGTGTTCCTCTTCAATTGCTGCAAAATGTATAATATAATATCTTTGCCCCCTATTCCCGGTTTAGGGGAACCGATCAATCTCACATTTACGGACTCTGGGACTTTGAACCATGTCTCTCCTGTGACCAAGGGTAAAGTGACATCTGCAGCACCCAGACCGATTGCCAGACATCCCAACGCACCAGAAGAGCAGGTGTGAGAATCAGATCCTATCACGAGCATTCCGGGCTGGGCCCTTTCTCGGTAAAATTCGGTATGAAGGATGGTATACTGGTCCCATACTTCCGATATTAACATGATTACAAACACCAAGCATTGGAAAGACTGGAACGCACGTTCATTCCTTGATACTCAGTCAATTTGAAAACCTTTTTAGCTCTTTCACTGGCGTCAACAAGTGCTTTGACTTGAGGCACGTCCTTAACTCGAGGATCAATGACATGGTCACCTGCAAGCCAGAATCGGTCATTGCGAAAGATTTCAGGTTGTCCTAGGCTGTTATATGTTGCTTCCATTCCCTTTAGAAAGAGTTAATACCTTCAAGGAGGCTAATAGCACCTCTCCTAGGAAACTTACCGCCCATGACGCCTCTGAGGCTATCACCCAATCTACGTCAACCCGAATGAGATCCCCAACCTTCACAAATCCATTTTGTGCAACATCATGCATTGCAAAGACTTTCTCACTCAATGTCATACCACGACGACCTGGAGGGCGTGAGCTGAGTGGCTCTGGTTTTTCTTTGGCTCTATCCGCTGAGTTAAGGGCCTCCAGCCATGCAGATACCAGGAATAGGATTTCAGCTTCTTCGTCTCCTGCTAGTTGACGATGCGGCTGTAAATCTAAGCCACCTAGCTCGTGAGGCTGCTCGCAAAGGATGAGGACATCGTTCACGGCAGTAGCCTCACGAGGATGGTCATGGCTCTGGAGGAGCTCGTTTAAGGTTTTCAGCTGGGCCAAAACATTCCCATCGCCTATAACATGAACTATAGAATGCGTGGTATTTTTTGTCAGTCTTTGAGCATAACTCAAAATCGAGGTAATGTATTCGACTTACTATCTGCCTCGGGAAGTGAAACATTCCGGGTCTGATGGAGAAGGCGAAGAATTTCTCCAAACTTGGAACGTCCGTCGTTGGTCATCTTCGTTTGGATAGTTCGATCAATTTCCCAATGGCAATTTTATTTCATGATAATTGTCCGGTTGAGATAATATTCTTCATGTTTATAAATTTTCGCAGTCGGTCCGTCGCTGGCATTACATTGGAACACCGGGCCGGTAACGGCCCGGACGGTTGCATGAATATCCTGACGATCAAAGCTTTCATATAAGGGCAGATAGATGCAAGATCATCTGGCTTATGACACATATTCTCATTCTCTTTGTCAGGTATAGAAGTTGTGTACAGAGGCGTTCAAGGAAAACTCAAAATGGATTCAGCTACCAGCCGATTGCGTCAGCTTCTAGCAGACAAAAACAATATCCTTGTATGCCCAGGTGTTTTTGACGGATTGACCGCAAGAATCGCTCTTCAGGCTGGTTTCGATGCTCTATATATGGTAAGAATACATTTACATTGTCAAATAGTCGACCGGATGATATCTTGGAGAGACTAGCTGATGTTGCCAGACCGGTGCCGGGACAGCCGCTTCTGTCCTCGGTATGCCAGACCTTGGAGTACTCACATTGAACGAGATGCGCGGCAATGCAGAAATGATCGCTAATCTGGATCGATCCGTGCCACTTATTGCTGATGCCGATACTGGCTTTGGAGGTAAGAATATGGAATCAAAGGACGCCGCAGACTTTAAGGATATTCATGGTTTACGGCTTATAATACTATAGGCTCTTTGATGATTCATCGAACTGTCACTGAATACATTCGGAGCGGCGTGGCAGCTCTCCATCTGGAAGATCAACCAACCACTAAACGATGTGGACACTTGCGTAACAAGCAAATTGTCGAGGAGACCGAGTTTTTGTCTCGAATCAGCGCTGCAGTCAATGCTCGCGAACAATCTGGTGGTGATATAGTCATCATTGCTCGTACCGATTCGCTTGAGTCTCTTGGCTATGAAAGTGCAGTGCAAAGATTAAAACGCGCAATTACGCTAGGCGCGGATGTCGCTTTTCTTGAAGGAATCACTTCAAAGGAGCAGGCAAAGCAAGTTTGTGAGGACCTCAATCCAACCCCTGTTCTTTTTAATGCTGTGCCTGGTGGAGTGTCGCCGTACCTGTCAGCGCAAGAAGCTCATGACCTTGGATTTCGTATCATTATTTTTCCGGGGTTGTCGTTGGTTGCGGTCTCTGGGGCTGTAAAAGCAGATGCCAAATACCTCAAGGAAACCGGCACGACTCCCGGTAAGGAAGGTAGTCCTAAAGAATTATTCAATATCTTGGGATTGAAGGAGGCCATGCATATAGACGCTGCAGCAGGCGGCAAACTCTACGAAAAGGGTGTCTAGCTATTTATCATTCTTGGAAGCTGGTATTAGTGTGTGGACTCAGGTGATGCAATTACGTTTATACCGCAGCAACATTTGATGGCCTTCGCTAGCAAAATTAAAATTACCAAAGACCGAACACATACACTAATATCTTAGATTCGGTGTAAGGAAGCCGCTACCCGTACAGCATGCTTAATCTCTGCTCCCTCGAGATAACCTTTGATCTTGCCAAATTCCTTGAAACTTTCTGTCTCTGCAAATTTGAGGTGGTTTTCAATAGCACCCCAACCACTGAAGAGCACAAATTCGTCCTTCATATTGGTCTCCACGTCCTCGGTCTTCTCCGGATCCAATCTCCATCCACCTCCAATACTCGACGCTTTAGTAAATTCAAGAAGATGGTGTTTGTTTGTGGCAAGTGTACTCTGAAAATCTCCCCTTTTCAGAGGATTTATGAAATAGCGACTGATGGCAATCACTGGTGCAGCCAACGGAATGCCTGAACATTCACTTTCAAGATTGACTGAATCCGGAGATAGAGTACCAGGACTGACATCAAGATGCTGTAACCAGGCTACTTCCAAGTTGTCCTGTAGCTGTAACATAATATCTTGGTTCGTCTTTGACGGAATCCATTTTTCCATATGTGTTTCCACAGATTCCCAGCCACCGACAAGATACAAGTAAGATGGATCTTCTACCTGGGTCAGGAGATAGACGGGATACGAGGCGTAGGACGCCTGGTCTTTAATTCCTGATAAAAGCTTTGCTTTGACTGCCTCGTTTTCTGGAGAGTCGATGCTCTTGTTGTTCTTGAAATGGAATAGAGCAAGTTCTGTGACTGGCATGATAGGTACGACCTCGGTGATAGAAGATCGAGCGGGTTTGAGATTATGTGCGGAGTGTTCTTCTAGACGATGAGTGTAGTGTAATTATTCAGGCGGAGTTGAGACAAGTAGTATTTCCCTCGACAAACTGACATTGAAAATGCTTATGAACAGTTCGGATTGGAGTGTGTGTGCGAAGAAAGTCAGACGCCAGTGGACAGCCAAATTACTAGTAATACGAGTGAAGAGGCGACTTCGCGGACAGTCCACGGATATTCCGAGACTATATCTCAGAATTTACTTAGAGGATATTATTTATTTTATTTAGCCTTCAGTTGCTGAAAAATAGGCTTATTCATACGCCAACCATGTCCTTCGATGTTTCGAGGTCTTGTCAGGACAGAATGCCGAATTGTACAATTAACCTTAATACATCGTGATACACGTCGTTTAGTGAGAAGAATACGGATAAGGTGATACGAGACGGTAACAATACACAAAATACACTTCAGCCAATCATGGATCTTCGATAAGTTCGGATTCTGCGGAATGACGGAGGCTTCATCAACCTCGACTTTCTGTTCTTTCTTTTTCTCGGTTTGTCAGTTGTGCGACATTCTTTGCATCTGCTCAGTCTTCAACATGGCTCGCATACGAACTCCATAACCAAGAGTATAACACTCATCATCGACAACAAAACAAATATCATGTCCGGACAGGAGCAGGGTGTCATACGACATGGTGTTCCGCCTCCCCCCTACAGCGAGAGGGAAACAGTCCCGGTGCAATTCCAGATTCGACGGAAACCGATCAGCGTCGACAAACTTGGCAGCAAGAAAGACACTACTGTCTTGGGGCACGATGGCATACATACATTGGCATCTAGTAAGGATGAGGCAGAACACCTAGCAGACCCGATTCGTACTCCGTATATACCACCTCACACCACATCTCCGCCGCCTATACGTACTGTAATTACGGATGGCGAACTGACCGCCAGTCCGTCGTCGACATCGGGCAGCGCCATTCCTTCTCAGCAAGATACTACAAGCACCAGTCTGTCATTCGTAAGCGACACATCGCCAGCGACGGAGTCGGCATCTGGGAGTTGGAAAAAAGCTGCTGCGGGACATGCTCAAAAGGCATTTCAGGAAGCAAGACATTTTGTTGGGGGCTTGATAGAGCATCCCAGTGTCAGTAATAAACACTACACCATTTTACGACACTCTCATGGCGTAGTATTCTATCAGGGAAGTAATACATTTCTTGCTATCTCTATATTCGTGGACGAGCCATTACCGAAGGACCGTACAATATGGATGCAGTGTAAAGGCTGGTCTGGAAAGACAGGGATGAAGGCAAAGGCACTGTTTGGCCTCAATGATAGCTGGCTCAATGTTACGCCAACTCTGGCTATTCAGCCGGATCAGGTGAACCCCAATGATGAACGTGCCTGGCAGAGAGATATCAAACGGTTTCGGAAGAAGGCTTCTGGGACGCCTCTAGAACATCATGTGCTTCGAGAAACTGCCATCATTCGCGTCCCCGTCGAGACTGCCGACGGATACTATCAGCTAGTTCTGTGCCGCGGCGATCAGAAGCGCAAAGTTCTCTGCACCAGTCCAGTATTTCGAGTGATCTCAACCTCATCAGATCCATCAACTTTACGAGGGGCAAGTTTGAGCACATTACCGATTGAATTAGGGCTGTGGATAGGCGGACTGTACGCGCAGAATACGGCGAGCACTATCGTTTCCCCGATAACGTCTCGGATACAAAGTGCGTATCAACCGCTTATGCCGTCGGGAAAAACACAATTTGCTCTTCAGACTGCATATATGGCCAGTGGCTTGGAAGACCGCATCGACACAAGTATCGAGGATGCCGGCGGTCGTTATGAACAAATGGAGACCGAAGCTTTCTCTCGGCTCGGTCCGACAGATGTCAGCATTGAGAACGGCCCAACCGCACCGTATCCGGTCGACTTTGTCGCGAAGATCGATGTACAAGTCTCTACATCCTCATATGATCTGAACGGGCTGCCAAAGAAGATTAACCTAAGGAGCGTTCCTGAGCGGATTTTGCCACGGTTAGACGGCCATTATTTCGCTTGGTGCAAACTTCTCCATACCACCAAACCAAATACCAATATTGGCGACGAGAAGAAGATTGAACCGGGGCAGCCTTGGCTGAAATGTATTATTTCTGCCTCAAGCGTTGTCTTCGAAGAGTGGGTATCCAATGTGCGCTCGCGCAAAGCATTGAAAATCATCACATCCATAAAAATCATTGAGGATATTGATATTCCGCCAACTACCCAGGTACAGATACGTATCATGGGATTCATCCGTCCACCTAAACCAACCACTGCCCCGGTTAACCATCCTAGTGGCGAAGGCGAAGGCGAACAGCAAATGGTCCTAGATATCTGCGATATTGAACTTTCATGTAGCACGCTGGACAACCCTACATGGCAGCCTGACTATATACCCGGTTCTCTAAGTAGCCATAGATCTGTTGATGGCAGTGAACCCGAGAAACAAGCTGGCCTTTGGGACAAAGCCAAAGATGGATATGCTAATGTGCGTCTCAAAGGCCAAACAATGGTTGGACAGATTCCATTCCATCGTGTGGGTATTAGAACGCCGACGGATGAACTCAAGGATAAGAACCTCGCAGTTACTGGGTTTTATATACAGCGGTGAGAGGCCCTTGGGATTGAATTTTATGATTGACATGAGATGATTTACGGAACTTTTCTGTTTTCTAACCCCTTTTTTCGGTCAAATTATTCATGTTCACATAGCAAATAATTCCGATCATCATGTAATATACATCAGCTAAGCACTACTTACCCAGATCATGTCTATTTAGAGAATATTATCAATTTTAATAATCTAACGCTTTTCAGAATTCCATTTCCCAATCTCCAACGAAATCCACATTGTGCCCGAGCATCCATTACACAAGATAACAAAGTCAAGCAACGTGCCTGCTCGTTGGAAACGAAAAACTATCTCTCTGCGCCAGCACAGCCAGCAAAGTCAAAACAGCAATCAAGACATCAACCTCATCAGAATCAATCACCATAACCCCACCAGGTATGACCTTGCCATTGTCACTTTGATACCTTCCAATCTCTATCTTCTTGGTCGAACCAACGCCCTTGTATAGACTGAGAACGGCACCTCCGCCGGGGAACAAGGTCTTGTTCACATCCCATGCATACGAAACGGAGTCATGCACAAAGCTCTGGCTACGTCGTGTGGCATTCGTCGGTCGAACGGTGATCGGATGCGAGGAGTGAAGCGAATTGGAAGGGAAAGTGATATTCGTTACGCCAAATGCCAGTAGCGGTGATGATGATTCCGCCAATACGATCTCGTTTCGATTTTCTTTTTGGTGTTCTTGTGCATCCTCCAGGTTCTGTAGCTTTTGTTTACGAATGGAGTCGACGTCACTTTCGCTGTCCAGAGCATCTAATAATCTCCGATCGTATACCGGTTTAGTTGCTGTCAACTTGGAGTCGTTATACCAATGAGTCCTTGACAGTTTGAATATGACAGAAGGATTCGGAATATCCTCCGCTGCATTCTGGTCATTAGAGATTGCAGCGAGTGCTATTTCCTTTGCTTGTGCCATGACATCTTCATTGAATCCGACATAGTCATCGGTGAACCAGCTGACGGATGAACGGTCAAAGTGAGATGAGAAATCGAAGATGGGGGTGCTCTTTTTGCCGGGTGCCCAGATACCGGTCTCGGGGATGTAGACAAGTTGGTTGAAATGGAGGAGAGATGGGTCGTTACGAGTGTCAAGTGGTAGTTTGAGGATGGACGTCGTCTTTGTGGTTGTCACTGTTGGTGCCATTTTGTTCCTTTTTTGAATTCCAACTTGTTGTATGCTCAAATTGTCTCAAGTCCGGGGGAAACCGAGCTGATTTATTCTGTTCAAGATGGTGGTCTTTCCAAGGTTGGATCCCGATATCTAATTATGTACCTAGCCTACGGTACCTCTTGCCGATACCGTCTTGCTCGGCTGTTTAATTGCGTGCCACGTAGAATAGTGCCGTCTTGCACAGTTTGACTGTGAGTACTTTTGTCAGCGATGAAGATATAGATCTGCAAGATATATCTTCTTTCAGCCAGGGCAGATGAAAGAAGGATGGATCGAATAAATCACTCATCCACGAGACCTTCCTGTTCGATGCGGGGTTAGAAGCTTACACAGCCCCCGATTGACTTTCACTGATCTGATTGCTCGATGCCGACTGGGTTCCCCAATCTGGTATACTCTGATATCTTAGCTCCGGCGCCTCATTCTCTTCATGGTCTAGGTACATGGCTTTTTTGGATTCGCGATCCCGAAACCGGCAGCTCGAACTGTCACGTTAAGAGGTCGAAGACAGCTAATAGGTACACCATCCCGACATATCCGAGATAAAGGAAGAGGGTCGCCTCATTCCATCTTCAGAGATTACGCAGTGTATCAGCCGACTAGCGATAAGATCGGCTTATATTTCTGCAAAGCACATATGCCCAGTTCCAGTATACAGTACGTGCTCTTCTAAAATTCAGCGGTGACAAGTTAGATGACCAATTAAGAATTGACTGATAAGGAAACGGTCTTCATGAAAGGACACGGCTTAAGTATTTGGAATCAAAGTAATAGCAATAATCATTTATGACCCATTATGAATAAGCAATGCGTCCAGGAACAATACAGCTTATAACAAATGTTGCAATATTGACCTGATTGCTGTCTATCAATGTCGCGTCTTTTTGCCTTTTTGGGGTTATTGCCCTAAACCCTAAAAGTCTGACTGAAGTCATGAAGAAACATTGACTTACGCTTCCAAGCTTGCTAATAAGACTTTCTAGTTTCAGCAATCTAATTTGATATTTTCGATTTTTACTACATCTTAAACTCTCAAGGTGTCCAAGACGGCCAAGTATGAACATCTTGGGACTCGATCAGACAGCTGTGAACAATTTCAACTCTATATATCACCAGAGGTACATGGTATATTTCCCAACATGGTTCTAAGTCACATATGTACAATCGCAGTGTAGAGAACATATCGACCACAATGGGCCTTGTATGAACTAGGCCGGCTGGTTAGGGTTTGCAGCGCAGGCTGCACCAACACAGCAAGTGTATGTCCCGGTTTGGCACGTTCCAAAGCTGTTGGCGCCGCTGTCGCTGGGGAATGTGTAAGCAGCCCCAGCACAGGGCTTGAAAAAGTCCGTGGGAGCAGTAGCAAACTGATCAGCACGGAGCGGGTTGACGCAAGCGTTTTGGCCATCGTCATCCTGTTGAGGATACTATTAGACAAATCCACCCGAGGTCTAGGGCGAAGGTTTCATCTTTGTGTGAAACTTACAGGGCAGGTGTTAAGGTTGAACAAGTTCTTGTTGCATCCACTGACTACGGTATCGTCAAGACCACCACAGTGGCAGACAATGGCAACAGAGAAACCGTCACTACCCGGATATCAGTATTCTTAGTCTTTTAAAGAAGCAGGAAGAATAATGCTTACACGTAGCTGACATCGATGTCACCCACAGCAACACTTTCCCCATACGGAACCACGAAGTTGGCCTCAATCAAACTGTCATCGCCGGTTAGTCCCCAACGAGCATCATTGATAGCCAGGTTTCCAATCCAGTTGGTTGGGACAGCAATGGAAGCTGTCTCACCGTTTGTCATGGTACCAGGGACTGTGTTTCCGGAGACCGGGGTTGGTGCACTTGGGTTCGTGTCGAGGGCGGTGGTGATTGTATCTCCATGGCTATTGACGACGACAATGGTCATGCACTCGGGAGGGTTTGCATATTTGATACCAGCAGCAATGCTACGGGTGGTCATGGCACCATCGATAGCAAGTCCGTGTGTAGCGAATCCGCTGGCTGGGGTAGGTGCAGGAGTAGGGTTTGGCAAGGCTTGGCTTGTAGTAGCCAAAGCCAGCAAATAGAGGAAAGAGACTGCATTCATTCTACTTTTATCTTCCCAACACCAAAGGGGGGGGGGGTGGAAAGAAGAAAAGAAAAGAAAAAAATATGAATAGCGTATAAGGTCACGTAGGTTGGATATGAAGGAGTGACTAGCTACGATCTAGAATATCGAATGATGAGAGTTGAGGCTGTGGCATTCGAGTGAAGACCATTCAGAGGTTAGCACAACTGATATATATACCTCCTGGATTATACAGCCTCGTATTTTGTTGCTTGTTTAGGTACGGACCCTGTGTTCTGTGCTCACCGACATAGAACAGGCCAGAACCTGATTGTTGGGCTATTCCCTGAGTGTTCGTCCCTTCAAGCTGACGAGCCATAAGTCACTCTAGTTATAGTTACCTAGGTATGGTCTATCTGAAACTTTGGTGATGCTACTTGGTGTACAGAAAGGACGCTGTTGGCACGTGGTAATACGATGCTACAAAGTAAGCCATCCTACGCTTGTTTGCTGTGGGGATCTTCCACTCTTGATAGTAAAAGCAAAAGGAACATGTAATCTTATAGCTTTGAAGTCCAGAATCTACTAGACATATGACTACTTGTCGGTCTAAAACCATCTTGTTAGCACATCAAATGACCGGGACCCCTATCTACAAACTACGGAATCGAAGCATTCGCCCCAATTACTGTTCGGTAGTAAATGGACCAGGGATTGTAATTCTATATGCACGCTTTTTGACCAGAGAGATGCTAAAAGTGATCTATGATATAGAATTAACTCTCTGAAAGACCTATCTTTTTATTGAAATATTTGATTTCATCAACTGCCATCTATCACAAGGTGTTGGCAAGGTGTCCTGTCAGCGTTGCAACAACATTATATATCTAAGATCAGTTTGGTGCGCTGGATATCTCTTATGCATATGTAGTCCCTTTTGTTCTATGTATTGACTAATTCCAGTGAAGAAAACAGCTATGTACAAAATAGTCAGACTTAGACATTAAGCTAGGGGCTAAAATGCTATATTTGGTTCGTACCACATACGCAGGATCTCTTAGCCAACTACCTTATATTAAGGTTACATCCCCGTAGGATAGGACACCTCGAATTCCTGGACCATGAACCGGGAATATTATGCGATCAAACATCCTAGCCAACTGTCATAATATGCGCAGGTGCTGGACTATGTTGGTGTTGGTTGGTCATCCAAACGCGAACTACCGTATAAATTGAGTCAGACTGCAGACTTCAGTTGTTTGGATCATGACAGGAAATAAGGAACAGCAACCTGCGGCTCAACTCTACGAGTTTCTGCTATAATTTTTACCTAGGTAGATTAACAGGAAGTGAGATTTAATATCAATCAACATCTTTGCGTCTCTTTATTATAACTTCATACAGATGGCCGAAATTGATATCGGACTGTCCTCACACTAATCTCACGGTGAATGAGGGAAAGGTATGAGTCTTGCCCAGTCTTCCACAGTTTCCTTATAGATATCCATAGGAAGGCCAAACTTCAAGGGATTGGAAGAGAATACGACCGTGGCCTTTCATGGCTACCCGTCCTATGTAAATCCGGTACAGTCTCATCTGCTAGGTTGGAGCAACAGGCATGATGAATCATAGGTATCTTTCCATAGTGTATCACCTCATTGCGCACAACTTTTTGTCTAGCTTGTTAATCTCAACACAACAACACAGGTCCTGGTAGATGCCGAACCTCAAAACTACCTAGGTAGGGGACATCGTAGTTGCGGCTCCCAGGGTACCAGCTAGTTTACCAGAACACTGAGACATATTCTATGCCAGTCATCAAGCAATCGATATTTACAATATCCATAGATGGAATATTCTTTCCGGCTTTTTGCTGTACTTGTTATGAAGACAGGGCTGAGTTCGCAATCATGTTAAAGACCTCAGGATGGTATGTAAATAACCCTAACCCCGAAGAGATATCTTCTAAACAACCATGCCTTTACGTCTTGGGCAACCTTGGAAATCAACATTGGTGTGTTTCCAGTTTTCTAATATGTATTAATTCTTTTATTGGCGAGTCATTGAGCTGATCGACACGGGATCAGTCTGATCTAGGTACCTATGTTTTATTCGTCACCAATAATTCCTCCGGAAACAATATCTGACAACCGCCAGTAACCCGGGTCAGCAAAGAGTAGATTTGAGGTCAATTAAACGTCAACCGAACATCAGAACACAGATAGAGTAGTTACACGCGGAGAAACGAAAGATGATCAAGCCTTAGAACTGCTAGGTCCCCGGGTCCCTGTGGCAAAATATATGGGCGAACTGAATCTCATCCTCATTTTTTTGCTACCCGTCCACTCAGATGCGGATCTACTGATATTTCCGTGCTTGTCAATGACGAACGTCGCTGATCAGCTTAGAAGCAGGAATCTGAAGCAGGTTTCAAGGAGCTTTGTCTCCTGGAATGGGGAGGGTGCATGACTCATTTATCCGGTGGGGAAGATTGCTGATGGATAACAACGACCTGAGAAGTGATCTACGTATGACTTTTGAGGTTTTGGTTTTACGTATAACTACAGCTCTTTCAAGCTGTTGGCCATTATTATCACAAGGATTGATTCCCGGAGAGTTTGCTACTGTAGGGTGCCTAGGTAAGATGTTTAGTTCACATAGTGACAATGGCGATATTCGCTTGTCTTCTCCTTATTCGAGTAAATGATGTACGTATTTGGGTAAATGCTAGTAGTAATCATACCTGGTAATGGCAAATCTGGCGCCCCACCGAGTAAAAGCTGCCTCTATTCAGGAAACAACAAGAGCTACTAACTTGTATGGCCGGCTTGGTGCGAGGCAAGTCAACTGACTGTCGTACCATATCTAATTATGACCTAAACCCTGAGAGTTCACCAAATTTCATATCTTCTATCTCGTCATTGGCCCGGTGTATTCCTGATTGGGCGGGATACTATATCCAGCTCGCCAAGCAGCTGCTTCTATTTTCCCCTTCGTTATGCGACGAATCTGACAGGATCCACGACCGGCAATGTTAGGAAACGACTGAACTGTCCTGGGCAAGCCTGGGTAAGGTACAGTACTAGAAACAGGGAAAAGGATTAGGCACGCAGGCATCGCAGTACACGAACTCCCAGCACGGCGCTATCGGCCTCACCCTCCCATCAAACCCACGTCTCTTCTTATTTTGGCTGCTGAAACCATGAACCATCGTCCGTCCTTGCCAAAGACCCTCTCATCGTCGGCATGTCGTCGAACAACCCAATAACCCAAGTGTCGTCGACGGTTCAACGCTCATGGACTGCGGAAAGTAAGCACAAAACGCGGAAAAATGTCAGCTCGGCGTGTAGGGCGTGCAAAGCACGCAAGCTGAAGGTACCATTGTTCCCCTCTTCTTCTTCTTCTTCTTCTTCTTCTTCTTCTTCTTCTTCTTCTTCTACTTGTTGTTGTTGTCGTTGTACTTCTAGCGAGGTTTCATCCTGTTTGATGGATGACAGCGTGTGATAATGATTGCAGTGTAGTGGTATACCTCCGTGCGAAACCTGCGTCAAGTCCAAACAAGAATGTATTATCGATGCCGAGGGGGACCAACGCCGAAAGCTCAATCTGAAGAGAAAAGTTGATAGTCTAGAGAATGACCGCCAGTTTTTAATCCGCCTACTCGAAAGCCTTCGTACGGGTAAAGAAGGCCACATTACTGAGTTGCTCAGCTACATCCGTTCATCGTCCAGTCTCGACGCGATCAAGTCCTTCCTCGACAGTCATAACCCACAAACCGAGATCGGACCAACGCCTCACTTAACGGAGATCTTCACGGAGCTAGAGCGACTTCAACAATCTCGACAGGGTCCACCGACGACACTGGCTGTCCGGCAGTTCGCAGACACTCCTCTCGTCACAGTACCAGCGAAGCCGTGGACGACTGCAACTAGTGACGATACCTTTGTTTCCCACTTGATCTCTCTTTGGCTCACATGGCAATACCCCTGGTTCAATTGCATCGATCCGGTGATTTTCATCAATGCTATGCAGTCGAAAGATTTGCAATCATCCTTGTGCTCACCATTTCTTGTCAATGCAATGCTAGCTCAAGCCTCTGTAAGTTTGTCTTTCATCGAAATAGAGACTTTTTCCACTTCCCGCGAGTTGCTGATGGACGTCCCGACGACCTAAGTTTTTCGCCGATAACCCCGAAGCTTGCGCGATTAGTGGCGATGTCCGGACCAAGGGGAATCATTTCTACACAGAAGCGAAAAGGCTACTGGATGATGAGGAGGGACGGATATCTATACCATCCATCCAGGGCTTAGGAATCATGTTCGAATGGTAATGAACCTGATAACCTCATTTGAAATGTGATCATACATGCCTAATGGAGGACAGTGCCTGTGCTATGGGGAAAGATCGGGCAGGATGGGTATACGCCATTCAAGCTGTTGAAGGAATGAGGACAATTCGCAGAAAACAAACCCGCCTGATGCTTGAAACCGGGTTATCTACAGCAAATCTTGAGCTGCTGATACATCGCATTGAGCTCAGCCACTTTAATATCTTTGTGTGAGTTGTTCATTAAATTGCATGGTTATGCCCTGACTGACTAGGTGGCTGCATCCAGTTCCGGCGCGTTGGTGCTCCAGATTCCTCCTCAGGTCAAGAAGCCGTTCGAGTACTGCCTGGCAACCACCTGTGACATCGACAAAGACGTATTTGTGCCGTATCCACGTTGCGGAAGGCGGCTACCAGCCCACAACAATTGCATACTAAACACATCGGCACAAATGGGGGAGATAGTCTGGGACATCTCGACTTTTATCGGCCGGGAAGAAGGGACATTCACGCAGGTTGACTTGGTGGATGGGGTCCAGAAATGGCATGCACGTCTTACCCGGTGTTGGGAATTGCGGTCCAGATGTATCGACTGTGAGCGAAATCCTGTACCGGGCATTTTCACGCTGTAGTGAGTTGTTCGCTCTTGAGGCAATCATTGGTGTAACCGGAGCTAACTGGCGTACAGCATGTATTACCATACTATCATCATTACTATGTATGCCTTTCTCAAGACTATACCATCAGAAGCAGATGACCGTCTTTTAGAACGGGCGGAACGCGCACAACAGATATGCTTGTCGTCTGCTCACACAGTCGCGCAACTCACGAAAGCCCAGCAATTACATTGGGGACCGGATCCCGGCCCCCTCGCAAACGCACACTTTATCACCATTTCTCTATATGTTTTGATGGAAGATCTGAAAACTCCCGAGAGCCATCAGGCATTTATGAGTCTATGTCGAGCTCACATCCACTATGCCAGACGGTGGCCGTTACACCGCGGTACGGCGAGGATGGTGCAGTTAACCGCACAGCGTATGAAAGATCCGCTTCCGCACGACGTGGTGGCACATTTCAGAGAGTTCGAGGAGCGATATTGGAAGCCTGACAGCGAACGACGATTCAGTAGTCGGTACCCCAACTTCGCCATAGCGATTCGGCGGGGCGTGGATTATTTGCCGGATGATTTGGAGTTGGATGCGTTTCTGGAGAAATGGGTGAATTTGGACGATGAGACGCGGATGGATTGAGCTGAGAGCGCGGAGTTTCGTATGACCATGGGAAGGGTTGGCACATGTGTGTTGTTCATCTGTGCGATTTTTTCAAGTGAAACAATTACTTGCAATTTGTTGAAGAGATGGAGAGGCTCAGAGTGTCGTCGTAGCTAGATTAGGATAGTGTCGCACCTTCCTTCTTCGAGACCGAGTCATGTGCTTGCCTACTTAAAGCTCATCTTCTTCTGTTCATCCTCTTCTACTTGTACTTCTACTTCTCTCTGTCAATATCGTCGTTCATCTTACACTCGACAAATTCTGCTAAGCATTCGTATATAAACTAGCGCCATTATTATCGCGACATAAATTCAGGACACCTCTCGTCTCTTGCTCCACGGCCTCCACCGATCCATTTTCCGCGCAAGCCACAAAGCGAAACGAACCACACACTAGCCCACACCGAACCTCTTAAGTTCTCCGATAGAATTTGCTGTTGGTCGCTGGACTTGACGTAAGTGAATTACAGAAATCGGGTTTCATACGTTCAAGAGATCGGCTGGCTGCTTTGTACACGGCGCACTGGATTAAATTGTTCGTGGTACCGACAAGCAACCACACCGGCAACTCACTCACCTGCAACCTATCCAAAAAGATCTCCAACTAACCCAGCGAGACAGCAGCCGCATAGGAATTCTTATCCACGAGGCCCCTCCCACCAATGACCTATCAAATCCCCACAGACACACAAGATCTCCAGGCGAGCGCAAACTAAAGCCAACTAGTGCGGGGTAACGTAAGCTGTCAGATCTCGATCCGCCCTTTCCCAGGAGTCTGATACAGTCCAAATCAGGTGTTGTGCGCTTTAACTCTGCTTGTTTTGAAGTTTCCGCAATCGTCTGTTGTCACAGCATATGCCTGATTGCAGGTCCCAGTGCCTGTGCTCGATCGCATCTACAGCCGCAACGTCAAGAGAAGGGTGGTCACGCAGGGGAAGGGCGCTGAAAGATGTTGCAGGTTCACTCTGATCCAATCCACACCCAAACCATCTCGGCGGGAAAACATGCCTACTCACTGTTGACGAGGGTGTCTATTCGCTGGCCGCCGGAGGAGCCATACGAAAATACCGACACAACTGTCATCAGTGTCAACAACTTCTTCGTGGATCTGCGTGTTGAAAAGGAATCGAGGAGATTGGACTGGGCGATCGCTGGTGTACGCCTAGTGGATCAAAATGATTCCAGTATGTGTGTTTTTTTTTTTTATGTTTTTTTTTCCCCTATATATAATTCTTACCCAGTGTCGTCGGTTAAACTAACCTCGCTCTCGTAGGAAGAGTAACATTTCTGCATACGATTAATTCGCGCAACACCTTCCAACACGTCGATACCGGCGTATTTACACCGTTAGAAAATGGCGACGAAATGGAGACCGGAACTATGATACGACCAGGGGATGGCCCCGGTGCGTTCCCTCGACCGTACGAAGAAGTCTGGCGACACAAGCGGGCCCCCCATGTACCTGGGCCAAACATAGCATGGATTCTCGAGGGTGCTGGATCTCGTGTATCACTTACACAGAATTCCGACGGCATTGGTTCGGAAGAAAGTAAGGAGGTCGAGACTTTTCTTGCTCGACTGGGCGGAGTATACATTGCTGTCCGCCAACCCACTCGCATTGTGCAAACACCGCTACCCAATGGAAGTTTCACGTTTCAAAAATTTGGCGATATGGAAGGTGTCAGTGTCCGACATGAGGAGTACGTCCAGAAAAGAGGATGGATCGAAAAGTTCGTGACAGGACCCGAGGGCAGAGATTTGCCAACCATGCAAAAGAATAAGACCAGTGACTTTGCACTGGCCCAAGAAGGCAAGGGGAACTGGAGGAAACCGTCGCAAAAGGTGACGATTCGTGGCGAAGAATATGTTGTCCGTGGGTTTGCCGATATCGCTTGAGTGTTGTGTACACACGTTGGATGTTTGATTCGCCATTGCGCAAGTCGATTCGATTTGACTTTTTTTGCTGTTAAATTTCTCGTGCCTTTCTTTGCTTTTCATTTTTGATACCATCTTGCTTTCTTTACATTTTTACCCATCTATTTTCTGGAATGCATGTCCTTGAAGCTATCCATATGTTTTCAGCAGTTTATCTTCAATTGTTAGTGGCTGCATTCCAGTTTTGTCTTTACTATGATATATCTATGTATATTTCTCGTGATCATCTGCTTCTGCCATTTGCTTCATGTCCCTTTCCTTTCTGACCGCACCGCTGCTTCAATTGTTCAACGTTAGTCAGCGGCATGGTCTTTTTGGCGTTTGGGCTATGCTATGCTCTGTGATTAATTGATGCTCAAAATATGATAGAATTTGGGTCTTTTGTTGTTGCTGATCCTCTGTAAGCCTCAACTATCTGGATGAGAGTAGACCGATCCTGTCTAATATCTGGTAACAACAACACACATATCCTAAGCGAAAAAAAAAAAAAGAAACAATGATTGATCTAAAAAATATTTATGAAAAATTTCATACAAGACGGCGAGTCAAGACTCAAGTCCTAGGTACAGTACACCCTAGCCGGATGCGGCTCCCAACAAGAGGGCTAACTTTTCCGTCTCTGGGAAGTTGGACCATGTTTCCTTTTTCTTTTTCTCGACTTTCATCATGGTGAACGCAAGGAAAAGATGCTTCCGTCGCTAACCCAAAAGCAAAATCAAATAACCTGCTTTATCAGGACCCTGGTCCCATGTTACATGGGTCTAACTAACCTTGGCAACTGGTGAGAAAGTAACCAGCTCCAGCCTTTCTCGCTCAAGGGAAAATAAAAAAGAAATAAAAAAAGAACGTCGATTCGCTCGCTGCATACGATGGACGCAATCACGCCATTTTGCTACGCGAGATCGCCTTTTTCTATTGCTTCGTTTGCTGGGGATATGATGTCGACTATTTCTCTCTAGTCATAGTGTCGCTTCTGTCATGGAACCTCGAGGTGAAGTGTGAATTCATTTTTCAAGTCTTGCATCTTACGAGGTCTACAAAAATTGCTCTCTTCCTCTTCGTGTTTATCTTGTCGCTGGACTTGAGCTGGATAGAGATACGAACTCAGCTGTGTTTTATCGATATATCAAATCAATCAGTCAATCAATCACCCTGGTAGCTACTGTACAAGTCGGGTAATTCCGACAGCTACAATGGGCCAAGACACAGCCTCCAAAGATACAGGCACGAACGCGGCGCCTGTATCGAACGAAGTGGTCGAAGAAGTCGACATCCAGCAAGGCGACAAAACTGCGCTGCCTTCAGGAACCTTTGATCCCGTGTACGAGGCCAAAGCACGCGAACTCAACAAGGCCATTCAAGCTATTGGCATGGGCAGGTACCAGTGGCAGTTGTTCGTCGTTATCGGCTTTGGCTGGGCTAGTGACAATCTCTGGCCCATTGTTACCTCTTTGATTCTTACGGCTGTCGGGAATGAATTCAGGCCTAGTTACAATGCATACCTCTCTCTGTCACAGAACATCGGGCTGTTGATCGGTGCAATTTTCTGGGGTTTCGGCTGTGATCTGTTTGGTAGGAAATGGGCATTCAATTTGACTATCGGTATTACTGGAGTGTTTGGCCTTATTGCTGCAGGATCACCCAACTTCGCAGCTATCTGTGTCTTCGCGGCGCTATGGTCGATCGGTGTGGGTGGAAACTTGCCTGTTGACTCGGCCATTTTTCTCGAATTCCTGCCGGCGTCGCATCAATACTTGCTGACTGTTCTGTCAATCGATTGGGCATTTGCGCAACTTGTGGCTTCCCTGATCGCATGGCCGTTACTGGGCGATTATACCTGTCAACAAACAGACAAACACTGCACACGCAGTAAGAATATGGGTTGGCGGTATTTCATGATCACCATGGGCGGCCTGTCGATGATCATGTTTGTCATTCGATTCGTCTTTTTCACGATTTTCGAGTCCCCGAAATATCTCATGTCACGTGGGAAGGATGCAGAGGCCGTCGCTGTGGTGCACGAAGTTGCACGACGGAATGGAAAGACGTCTGATCTGACGGTAGAAGACTTGACGCAGTACAATGTACTCGCCGATGGGAGAGAGGATGGCATCCGAGCACAGCAGATATCTGCCGTGGCGGCGTTGGAACGAAATCTGGAAAAGGTCAGCTTCTCGCATATCCGCTCGCTCTTTTCCACGGTGCGGTTGGGAATATCTACCTCGATGGTGACGGCAATCTGGGCTTTTATTGGTCTTGGTTATCCACTATACAACGCGTAAGCCTTCCTCTTCTCTTCCACCTTATATATGGCTGCTGACTTTCTCCAGCTTCCTGCCGTACATTCAAGCAACTCGAGGAGCTGACTTTGGCGATGGATCAACCTACATCACCTATCGAAATGAAGTCATCATATCTGTCTTGGGCATTCCCGGTTGTTTACTAGGAGGATTGCTAGTCGAACTGCCCCGGTTCGGCCGCAAAGGTGCACTGGCTCTCTCCACAGCCCTAACTGGCGTTTTCCTCTACGCATCCACGACCGCAACAACCTCCGACGCCCTTCTCGGCTGGAACTGCGCCTACAATTTCGTGAGTAACATCATGTACGCCGTTCTCTACGCCTATACACCAGAGGTCTTCCCCACCAAAGACCGCGGCACGGGTAACGCCATTGCGGCGTCCGCGAATCGTATTTTTGGGGTTATGTCGCCGATTATCGCCATGTTTGCGAATTTGAACAGCGCGGCGCCAGTGTACGTTAGTGGCGCGTTGTTCATTGCGGCGGGATTGTTGGCATTGTTGCTGCCATTTGAGTCGCGGGGCAAAGCCAGTCTATGAGTTTTCATCTTCTGTCTTGCTCCGAATACTGCTTTCTTGTTGCTTTTAATCGATAATGAGCCCTTGAGCTAGATGCTCAAATGGAGTGCAAGACCAAAACAGCACGTGCACAGAGCTCTTCGTAATTTTCTCCCCAGGAAAAAGCCTCGGTTGGTCTTGCTTAGTCTCTGCCTAGCACTGCAGATCGCGCCACTAGTTCAGCGACGGAATTTCTGATTACGTTTACCTTCTGGTTTCATTTTATGTCGTCTTAGTGGGAGAGTCTTGAGTCTTGGTTAATAATGACTTTGTCTCTTGGTTGACATCGACAAGGATAGATGGGTGTTAGCCTGTTAGGGCAAGGCTGCTGGATCGAGATACTGCCCGCATCGATGGATCCAACCATTCCAGGAACATATTTCTGGTAAAAGAACGGGATTCCGGCGAATCTCTTAACCATCCCTCGTTTAGACAGTCGTAGTAAGAGACTCGGAAGTCCCCAGCCATGTGAGTGCGGGGAGTATCAGAGATATGCCCTACATCCCGGAAAACCAGAACGATGATGCTATTCCGAATATACGTCTGCTTTAGCGAGAATCTTATCCTATTTATCCAATTAGAATGTAGTCTAATGTTTTGTTGGGGAGATTGCAGAGCCGCGGCGAACTGGTTCGCTTCACATGTTCTGCTTTTTAGTTCGATCGGTCCGTTACATTGGTTTGAGATCAGCCTAGACTGGGGGAAATTGAGTGGAAAAATGGGGTCTTTCGGTGATTCTCGAACTGGAGAACGTGAGTACGAGACATGACGATATAAGATCGACCTTGTCCCCTCGTTCAGTCCCTAAGAACAAGGATTATCGTTAGCCCTATATAACTAACTATATCTGAGAGTTGATACCCAGCATTGTGCTGTTCCAAGCTTATTTTGTTTCTTCACTCAATAGTCCCGGCTTAGGTAATAGCAGTTGACAAAATGTCCTCGCCAAACCCTAAAGACTCCATGAAATCCACCTGGCGCCACAGCAGCAAAGACGAATGGACAATATGGCACTGGTTCTACGAAGTCCTGGGTATACATCCTACAGTGTTGGACAGGGACGTGCCCATTCATTCCAAAGAAGAACCCGTTCCTCATCTACCGGAATGGAAAGAACATCGATGGGTGCTGTTGCATGCTGTGGTTCCCTTGATATTGCACGAGACATACGTCCTTTATACGGGACGGAACTTGGGACCAGTCGCCGCTTTCTTTCTGTACGCAACTGCGTTCAAGGTCATTGCGATCAATCAGCTGCATATGCTACGTGGGTTAGGGCATAAATATGGATTTTTCGACGGCGATAAACATGCGAGAGATGGCGTTCCTGATGTCGGGGTTGCCAAAGTCGTGCATTCGCTCATGTCCACGTCCACGTTTCGGCCAATGATGACTGTGTATTTGGCATATAAGACCTCTGCAACGCCTGCAGCAGAGTTGCGCGCGAACTGGGCTTGGTTGATTATGGAGGTCAGTTTGTACGGAATAATCTTGGATTTCTGGTTCTATTGGTATCATCGCTTGATGCATGATGTGGATGTACTGTGGAAGTACCATCGTACCCATCATCTAACCAAACACCCTAATCCACTATTGACGTTGTACGCGGACACGGAACAGGAATTCTGGGATATCGCCGGAATCCCGCTCCTAACATACGGGACAATGAAACTCATGGGTATGCCCATGGGGTTTTATGAGTGGTGGCTATGCCATCAATACATCGTCTTTACAGAGTTAGCCGGCCACTCGGGACTCAGAATTCATGCTACTCCCCCCAGCCCCCTGAGTTGGTTGTTGAAGTGGTTCGATGCGGAGTTGGTGATTGAGGATCATGATTTGCATCACCGGACGGGCTGGAAGAAGAGTCATAACTATGGGAAGCAGACAAGGCTGTGGGATAAGATTTTTGGGACGTGCAGGGAGAGGATTGAGTCTGGGAAGGGGATGGTGGATTATAATAGCACTGTTGATATGCCATGGTATTAACCATTGGTCCTTTTCAAAGTTGTGAATTGTGTTAATCTCTCATGTATTCATGTTTGATATAGATAGTATTTTCTGAAAGTGTTTCCATTGCCAAAACCCGAGCAATACAGCTTGACTAGGTACTTGATATTCCATGAGGGTTCTCAGAACTACCCGCTTGAACATGCAAGTGACGCTGTGAAAGATTATCAACCTCAATATGCGAGGACGCTGTGGCTGCCGAGCTGGGATATTGCATAGGTGAAAGCTCGATTCCAGACTCAATATCATCGAATGCTTCCGATAAGGTATCACGACGGTTTCCGCCACTTCCGCTATATTCATTGGGTGCTCTCAGGCTACGAGTTGCGTTTGCTTGGCTCAGGCGATATGCTCGTATACGGTCAAGGGCGGTTTTGAAATCGTCCAAAATGACGATGTCACTGAGATATTTGAAAATGAACGATAGCTGCTTCGTCAGTTAAAATCCATGCTAGCCGATAGAGAAAAAAAAAATACCTTCCAAAATGGTTCTATTCCGGCTGCAAGGCCCAGGTCCATAACGCCAGTAACGCTTAATATGTCCAACAAAATAAAGACAAGAGATGCAAACATGGAAAATAGCATGACTCCGACACGAGGACTAATGCGAATCAGTTCGAGAAAACTGATGTTGTATATCTTGTTGATGATGTATAGTAGCAGACAGAACGTGCAAAGCCACCAAGGATCACTGCATGGATTAGTTTTTCTCCTTTCCTCATGAGTAGGAAGTAATACCGAAACAAAGCCTCCCACGGCCTTATCTTAAGATAAATCTCAGTGGCGCCGACATTATTATAGAACGCAAAGATCGAATATGTATCCACAATCCAGAACGGCTGAACTAGACACACCGTGCCGATATAGAATACTGACAACCGACGCGATAGGAACGGCCGGATTTTCATCCACGCAATGACATTGTGCAGCGACCAAGAGGCAAAGAGCAAGATTGCAGTCGTAGCCAGAAACCATCCGTATACGGGGAAGGTGGTGAATATCCAGGTTCCATGAAGAGTGGCGAGAATTAACTGAGCAGTTAGTTTAACCACCGCGGAAATCAAATAAGTAAGCTTTACCTCTGCCAGAATCAGCTTGTGGAGTAGCACGCCCTTTCTCATATTGGCAATTGTCAAGGCTGCCATGACTACCAACGATCCCACCATTAGGCCCTGACCCCAGGCCCCTAGGACCAGGGCATCTGGATCAGTAGGCCTACTGGCCGGTCCCGTGTTGCTCATGTTGTACCAGTCATAGCATAATCTTCGATATGTCGGGCTAGGCGATGGGCGGTGTATTGCATGATCGATAATTCGGCTCAAAATTGCGCGCGTAGAGCCAATTAGCATAGAAAATGAAATGCCTATGCAATATAGCTGACTGTCTTCACCTCGTTGACCAATTCATCATGCCCATCCAGCATCAAAAACGAACGACTGCGCAACAGAAGAACGGAAGGAGAGGAAGGAAAAACATCACCATCGTCTCTCAGGCTCCAGAGCCAAAAGTCCCAAGGAAAAAATTGCGGGGAAATTTTGGGCCTGGACCCTCTTTTCCGGCTTTGCTGGGGAAACAGAGTGAGCTGAGAGGATGGATGAAGTCTTTCCAAGAGTTGGGAAGATTATAGTAAGCATTCGAGATGGTCTGATTGGTCGGATCAACACGTATGACTCTAACTATGCCTTTTATGGTATAGTACAACTTAATATGGACTAGTGTTCTAACAGACGAAAAAGTCACGTGCTGATAAGATAAGGCGCGGCCCATCCACAAATTTTTGTTATCTTCACATCTGGGATACTTTATACCAACGAGACTATTCTCTTGCTGTCATATCAAGTAGGAGTGATATTTGCCAAGATAATAAGGTGTTTACAATGGGCAAAATACAACCCAAGAAGCGCAACAGCTCCTCGGCTGGATCGCCATATACGAAAAACTTACCGAGCGGGTCCCTCAAGAAGAATCCCATCTTCAAGTTCAACACTGATATTGGTGTGTATATTGTTCTTATTATATGTTCGTTTGCTGATGTTTGCAACAGGTCAACACATTTTAAAAAATCCCGGAATCGCAGATGCCATTGTTGACAAGGCAAATATCAAGGAGCATGAAGTGGTTGCAGATATGTTATCCATATCCTGCAAAACTCGAATTGCGCAAGCTGATAATATAGCACAGGTCGGTCCTGGAACGGGTGTCTTGACGCGGCGTATACTTGCAAAAGCCAAGTCATGTACGGCGATAGAGTTGGATCCTCGTATGGCTGCTGAACTTACAAAGATGGTTCAGGGGACGCCGATGCAGAGGAAGCTCAAGATTATTCTGGGTGATTTTATCAAGGGTATGAACCTCTTTACTCTATGCTCGGAAAATTTTCTGACCGGATTTGATTCAGTTGATCTCAAGGAAATTGGTCATTTCGACGTGTTCATATCCAACACTCCGTATCAAATTTCCTCGCCGCTTGTATTTAAACTTCTTGCTATGCCGCGACCTCCGCGTGTGTCAATGTATGGCCTCTGCTCTCTTTTATATAAGATAGAAGACCTAACGTCAAACAGATTGATGGTGCAACGCGAATTCGCCCAACGTTTGATCGCCAGACCCGGTGATGCCATGTATAGTGAGTGACTCTGTCCTTTTGGTTGATTATCATGCTGACAGTTGATCCAACTCAGGTCGGTTAAGTGTCAACGCACAATTTCACGCTATTTGCAGTCATATATTAAAGGTAAATTACATCGATATTGTCTCAATCAACCAGCCTAACGTTACTAGGTCGGCAAAAACAACTTCTCGCCACCACCCCAGGTCGAGTCGAGCGTAGTAAGAATAGAGCCACGGCCTGATCGACCAGACATTTCATGGGAAGAATTAGATGGCATGCTACGCATCTGCTTCAATCGAAAGAACAAGACACTCCGGTCGAGTTTCTTTGTTAAGCAAGTGCGAGAACTCATTGAGCGCAATTGGGTGACCTGGGCATCCATGTTTCCCGATCAGGTGAAAAAGGAGGACACGGATTTCCTACAGGGTATTGGTGACATTGCATTACCCGATGTTGTAATGGAAATCGACGGCGAGGACGATAACAATAACAAAGATACCCAGCTCGATGACGAAGATGACATGATGCAAGACATGCAAGATATGATATTCGGGACATCTACAACGGCCGAAAAACAAAAGAAAGACGCACCAAAGCTCTCCGGAAAGACGATATCTGTTAATGGCATCAGCGTCGATAGGGGACGATTAGTTCAACTAATTCAACTCAAGATCCAGCGCGCATTGGATAAGTTTGGATTATCGGATAAACGGAGTCAAAAATGTGATGAGACGTCATTTTTGCAGCTGTTGCATGCTTTTAATCAGGAGGGGATACGGTTTTCTTAGTGGCTTTTTTTTTCTTTCGTCTTTTTTCCGTTCATGGTCGCATGGAGTTTTGATACCAAAAGTACATACAGTTTCAACCGACAATTTCCCAGTTTCTAGATCAGAATCTAGAATGCATTTGAAAATAACTTATTGGCATTCAAGCATCACCGATCAATAATCGCCATGTGTCGAACTAATGACAATGATTTCTCGTTCACAAGGCTGGAAGAGATCATCAAGGGGTCTACCATACCCTGTGTATGCTACAAGCATCTATTAATTTCATATAATAGCTGGCGTTCAAGATATCAGCAGTGAAACTATATGACTTGAAATCGGAGGTAAAAATGATTTCCCGGCATCTATAACAATGGTTGTGCAATAAAATAGTGCAACTCAATCATCCTTTGAAAAACTGGGGTTTCAGGACACTTACTGTGACGGCTGCAAGAATCGCTGTCGTGTGAGCTCGGTCCTTTGTAGTGCCGCTCCGTGGTCTCGTTGAGCCCTAAGCCCTAGCTGGCCGTACAACGGGATATCCCTTTGTTGTTACGACTTCCTATTTAGGCACCGACGAGACGATACGCGCTTACAAAGGGCTGTAGCGAGCTCACACACAGATTCTTCCTTTCTCCTTCTTTTCTGTATGCTTAGTTTCTTGAAGATGAGCTACCCTAGAGTTTAGGCCTGAGCAAATGTCACACTTACCCTGTTTACCTACATTCCAAGGGAACACAGCCCGCGACCTCATCATCAAACCCCCTTGCAGCATCAATGCTTCTTTTTAGACATGCTACTACTAATAACCGAGAATCCGGTAACGTCGATTGGCGCATCACCAATATCAACAGAAGAGACCGCGCTCCTACATACCAAGTCCAAGGTTCATCATTCCTTCTTCTGGTAGAATATTTACGAATATTGAAAAGTCAGCATTCATCCCAGGGAAGAGAAAAACAAGTAATCGCGCGAGAAGAATGTTGCACTATGCACCTTGATAATATGAAGGCGATGCCCATTCCTCATCCTCCTTTCTGTCTCTTTCCTCTCTTTTCTTCTTGTTTTTGTTTGATGATTTTTCGATTCTTTCGACTGTCGCTCCTTGTCCAACAGTTCTAACTATTACACGCTCTTTTATTTGATCGATTCCTTTCTCTACTGACTTGCGCACAATATGGCGCCTATTCAATTTTTGTTTACGTCGGCTCTTGTGCTGTCGGCGGCCGTTGCGGCTCCTATCAATGCTAACCATGGAAAAGTGGACACAGTAAGAGCAATATTGAGAAAGAGTCTGACTAAAGTGGACTAATTGAGAGACAGACCACTCCTAGCAAGCACCAAAGCGAACCGATACGCATGGCGGACCCTGTCAAGTCCAGCGTCCCTGTGATGAGCATGGATACTCAAGCTATGAAATCGTCTGCTGTTGCGATGGCAGTTCAAACACCATCAAGCAGTGATAATGGCCAACAGAGCGACGGCGTTTTGGGTGTCTTCAACAAGCTCCCTCTCAAACGCGGTGAGGAAAATCGTCGACAGTTCGAAGAGGTCACAGATTTATTGACCAGTATTAACTCCATTGCCAAACGTGATGAGCTTGAGGAACGCCAGTTGGGGCTGGTGAAGAGTGTACCTGAGACTGTTGGTCAGGCTGCGCAGGTGGAGAAACTTGTCGAGGGTCTTCCTATTAAACGTGATGGCATCCTCGGAGGTCTGGGAGGACTGGGTGGTGTCCTTGGAGGTTCTGTAAAGCGAGAGACGGGGGAGGCTAAGACTCATGATAAGGCCTACACCGAAAAGGCGTTGAAGGGCTTCCAGGGGTGGCTTCATCATGGGTCTAAAGATCATAAGGAGAAAACCCCTGAAATACCCTCAGCCGCGGACTCGATTGGTCTTGGTGATGTGGTCAAGCGAGGTGATGCCGCCGATCCTGTGACAGGTCTTCTTAATGGATTACTGGCGAGAGATGCGGAAGAATCTAAATCTCACGATGCGACCCACACCGAAAAGGCCTTGAAGGGATTCCAGGGGTGGCTTCACCATGACTCAAAAGATCATAAAGAGGGAACTCCCGAGATACCATCAACAGCAGATTCGATCGGACTGAATGATGTTATCAAGAGAAGCAGTCCCGCCGATCCTGTGACCGACCTACTCAGTCTGCTTGCTAAGCGCGAAAGCATGGAATCCGACGAGAACGCGGTCGATGGACTCGCTAAACGAAGAAGTCCCCTTGATACTGTCACCGGACTTATCAATGGACTTGCAAAGCGCGAGCACATGGAAACTGATGAGAACATAGTCGATGGACTCGCAAAACGAGGCGGTCCCCTTGACACTGTCGCCGGACTTATCAACGGGCTTGCAAAGCGTGAAATGGTTGATTCACTAGCCACCTCCGAGGATGTTGCAGATGCACTTGATGGACTCGCGAAACGCAATGGGTTGGATTCCGTCGATCAACTCATCAAGGGTCTCACAAAGGGCGGGCAATTGAACAACGGTCTCAATATTCGTCAACTAAATGTTCTCTCCACATTGGCGACTGGTGCATTGAGTAATGCTGGTTCGGCGGCTGGTCAACTTGGAAAGGTAGCAGCTGGCAAGTTTCGTCGTGGTAATGTCGATGCAGGGTCGATGGCGGACGCTGCTACGGCTGGAATGAATGTTGGAAATCACAAGGCAGGGAAGGATAATGGTGAGAACAGCAGTGACGTGAATGATGTCGCGGAAGAGGTTGCTGAAGGGGAGCATGCATTGCACGATGCAACTGCCTCGCCCGAAGGACGTTTGGATAGGCGCCAAGTACCTCCCATTGCTGGTTCTGATGCACTGAGCATTGTCAAGGGATTGGTTGCTAATCCAAATGCTGCATTAGACCCGGTCACCAAGGGTATATTGGTTGGAGGGACTGCATTGGGTAATCTTGCACCTCAGTAACCATGCCTTTGTTTGGATGACACGTGGAGAGAGGTTTCCAGAGCCGAGCCGACGTATTAAGTGTTGAAATATTATTATGTTTATTTGTGAATTGGGTTTGAGTCCTGCGTGTCATCCTGTGAATGACTTCAGTTCTGGCAGTCCGTCCTGAGTGAAGTTAACTCACTCAATCAGGCATTTTGAGTTGAAGAGCTGCGTTTCATACCTACTCGGGCCGGTCAATTTTGTTATATATCGTTTGAAGTTTTGAATTGATGTTTCATAGTTCAACATGCTCTGTATAGGATGCTAATTCCGATTCTGTCATAGTGAAAGCTGATCGAATGCTGAGTCAATTAGGCCACTAATGTATAAAAGGTCAATAATGAATTTGTCAACGTAGCATTTTTGAAAAAAGAATGTCACCAGCATAAGCTAACGCACTCCAAGCGAAACGGATTAAAAGTATACAACCAGGTAAAAGTAGGGTATCATCACAGAAAGCATTTGCAAGAAATTAGGAACCAAACAAGGCCATTAGTCATCAAAATCCATATCGTCAACCTCCACACGAGAACCAAGTGCTTCTCGACCTTCGCGAATAAGTGCTTTGAGTTGGTCGTTCATCTTTTGGAAGCTGGCGTCCTCCTCACGCTCACGCCGACGAACTTGAGCTGCGAAACGCTGGGCTTCCCTAGACGCTGGACTTACTGGGCCAGATAATCGCGTGGGGCTAGTGGGTTGCTTTTGGGGAGTAGATGGACAGCCGGTTGGCGATAAAGGACTGTTGGATATAGGTCGGGAACCATGTAGAGTAGGCCGTTTAGTGATTGGTCGCTGAGGGTTTACGGGTGACCGTCGTGACTGGGGACGATGAGCTGTGATTCGTCGCGGAATTTTGCGCGAAAATTGCGTAGAACTTGGACTTTGCGCAAAGAGGTTCAACGACGATGACTCTGGGACAAAGACCCAGGTCTCTTTGTCTCGCAGTTGTTCCGCATCCTCGTCGGGATATTGTCCAGGAATTGATGTCGATTCGTGTGCCGTGTCTGAAGTGAGTTGAGACGTTGCTTGCCAAGTACTCGCTTCTTTGGGTGCAGGAGTTGGCGTTGAGACCTGATAGCTATTACCACCGCCAGCTGAGAATCCACGGAATGCATTCGTCCAGCAAAAATCCCACACTTTCCCCACGACGGTGAATACCGCTCGACCCCAACCTGGTGTCGTTGAAGACGGCGCCGGTATTTGTTGTGTAGTCATCTCGGTAGCCTCGCTGTGACTACGCTTGCGACTTCCAACGTCTTTATTCCCAGCTGTAAGTGCTGGTTGCTGGTCCCCAAGAAGTGAATTATAACGATATCGGTTTGGTCGATAGTCTACTTCCTCTGCTAGCTTTTCTCTCCTATCTTTTAAGTCGAGTTGTCGCTGGTCTTCACCACCATTCGCAAGAATATAATCTGTATTAATCAACAACGATGGGCCTTCGAGTTCGGTAGAGGACATAGGATCCCAAGCTGGACTGCGTACGACTGGTGCATCACGCCGCACGCGTTTTCGGGTCGACTCGGTGTCGGGCGAATAATAAATCGAGGAAACAGAAGATGGAGTGTGAGGAGGGCGAAAAAGCTGGGTCCGCATCCGGAAGGGCGTATCGTAATCTGGAAATGAAGCCATTCTTTGTCGGACCCTGGCCGGACAGGGCGTAATCGGTGAATAAACGCTACCTCAGTCGACTTCTGGACAGTACGAAGGCGAGTCACGAGACAAAGTCATTTAACGAGCAGAGATCTCTGGGTAGTAAAACGACGCCAAGTCTGCGGAATGATGATATGTATGTCGTGTATATCGTATGTACAGAGATGGAGAGGTGTTGGATGGAGAAAGTGGATGGAGGAAGGCAGTTCGTGAAGCATCAGGCTTGTTTACTTTTTGAGCTTGGTTGAATTGTAGCCAATTAAGTATTGCTATTTCAGCTAATGCGGGGCTTCCCCAAGTCACTTGATTTTCCCCAGATCCACCAATCAGAGTGCGGCTAGTCATGTGCTCCTGCTTTTTGTCTTCTTTCTCCCTCTAGAATATATATATATTGCTTTCAGGGATATAGGAAGACTCCGGTTAATGCAGTATGTTCATCAGCAATCAAACGGCTTGTATTGGTCAACTCTATCGAATGCAACTACACTGCTTGAATTCACCCTTACAGCTTCTGCTGCTTCCAAGTACGACCAGCAGATTCAAGTCCATCTTCACCGTCAACCAAAACACACCATCCCTCGCTGCCTGCACCTCCGGGACCCCCAATCACGGCCTCAAAGTTGGATCGCGCATAGTCCAGCACCTCGTCGTTGTATGTACCGGGTTGAAACCATACCGCTGGTATACCTATCTCGTGAGCCTCTTTCAACAGCTGAATTGTTACCGGAGGTGGCGTGACAAACGACAGCGAAGTCTCGGTAGGCTGAGTTAGTGATTTCGGGGACGATGCGACAGAATATTCTCGCGAGGGCAATCTGATGGTTTGTTCACGGGGATGGATCGGAGTCACTGGTAACGAGTGCTGGTGATACCATGCAAAGACTAATTACAATCAGCAAATAGAACTAATCTTAGCATGACAGCTGTACTCTTGCATGGAAGAACGCACTCCTATAGCCAAACCTGCTAGGATCGTTATTCGCACCCGCCACGGCGAACTGAGGCGACTGGAAGAAGCGCGTAACTGCAGCCTCAGTCATTCTGAGAAAACGATTTCCTGAAGTGGACTGTGATCGAAATGAATGAGAAAGAAACCTGGTTATGTGGCCTGAATGCATCAATTAGACCGGGCGGGAAACGTTGAAGGTTTGTAGATGCGGGGCGGATCACTAATGATGAGATATATATATATGGCGCAATGGGACGAGATTAGTAATTTGTTCACCATCGCCAGCAATGCATTTGATTGACATGCGATGAGAATGATATTCGAAGGTTCCGGACTGATCCAAATTATAGGCATTCTTGCTTCTGGTTGCAGCAACCATCGTGTATGTCCTGATTTATACCAGAATTGCTTCTGTAAGTTGCTTTGTCTGTATTGGGTTGTTGTTCAACTTGTATACACTTTCTGATGTAGAACCTCTATGTATGTAATATTGCGAGACCCGCATCGCTTTAACATCTGAATGGATTTTCTTAAGAAGCTGCCTAAGTAGTTCATAGTAGAAATTAATTTGTTGTTCTAGATCGAAGTCTTCTGTATGCGCCAAATCTTAGCCGGCATTGGTCTTATCTTATCGGCCCCAGGCACCCACTCCGGATTTCTCAAGAAGTGACGCCACGCATTTTCTTATCCCTTCAATACACCAACACACATCGCGAATAATCAGAGTTTCTGTGTACACAATACACAGAAGTTCTGTCCACAAAGTCGATGCCCCCGTTCATACCAACGAAACGGTCGATATCTCCTCCAAATCGACCCTCGCCGCCCGCGAAACGGCCCGCAACCAAGAAACAGGTCGTACAGATTTTAGAAAGCTCAGATTCATCGCTCAGCGATGTATCAAGCGATGAAGAACGGTCGGATGTTAAGAAACCGCTGATCAAGTCAAAAGGAAAGGAAGACAATGTTGACAGCGTAGAGAACGACGACCATGATGAGGAGAGTGTGGATTGGGAAGATGCGATGGATACAACTACCCCCAGTGCTTATGCTTCTCATGCCACACCCGCTCAAGATGTTGAAATTAGAGATCTTGAGTTAACGTTGGATCCGATGGCGAATGTGCGGGTTACTAGCTTGCTCGATACGAAGAAGGGCCCGTCTCAGATTGAACGAGCGATTCGACTGAATACTCATAAGGCGCATGTACAGTGCTTGCTCTTTCACAATGCTATTCGGAATGCTTGGTTGAACGACAAGAAGGTCCATGATATACTACGAGGGCAGCTACCTGCCGGTATTCAAAAGGAGGTTCAAAGATGGCGAGTCGCGTCTGCATTGGATCCTCCTCCACCGCCTCCACCGCAAAAGAATGTCGATACAAAAACGAAGGCTGATAAAAAGAAAGGCTCAAAGAAGAAACAAGCTGCAGATACTCGTAACTGGGGAGAAGAGGCAAAGCGATTAGAACCAGGTCAGCCAGACATGAGTCACGGTGATCCTATACTACAACTGTTACGGGTCTTAGCGGCTTATTGGAAGAGGAATTTTAAAGTAACAGCTCCTGGCCTCCGGAAACATGGATATTGTTCTGCGGTGAAACTGGAAGCTATCGTGTCATCTTTTAAGAATGGAGATCACAACCCACTTGTACACGGCGAGCGTATATCCGACCGACACGAATTTCGTATACTTGCCGAGAAACGACAAGGCTCGCGTGATGTTGGAGCCCAGCTTTTCACAGCGCTTCTTCGATCATTAGGAATTGAGGCTCGCCTAGTCTCAAATCTGCAGCCGCTCGGGTTCGGATGGACTAAAGCTGAAGTTGACACTTCGGAGCCTGTACAGTCGTCAGAAAACGCCAAGAATGCCGTCGCTGAGAGTAGTAGCGATGAAGAAATTGGAGCAGACGAAGAAGGTGACGCAGAAGGAAAGTCTGCTAAAGCTAGGCAGTTGGACCGCGATCTGCCATTCCCCGTTTACTGGACTGAAGTAGTGTCGCCCATCACACATGAAGTCATTCCAGTCGACCCGTTGATATTAAGCAACCCAGTAGCTGCCACCCCTGAAATGGTGGCTGCTTTTGAACCCCGAGGAGGGCGTGCCGATAAAGCAAAACAAGTGATAGCTTATGTAGTTGCACATTCTTCAGACGCCACTGCCAAGGATGTTACCACACGCTATCTACGGCGTCAAACATGGCCAGGAAGGACAAAAGGATACCGACTGCCAATGGAGAAGTTGACTATCAAGCCTTTTAGGAGAGGTCCCACGTATACAATCGACTACAATTGGTTTCGGGAAACAATGAGAGGTTACATTCGTGCTGACAATCAACGGACAGCTGCCGATGATATTGAAGATGCGAAGGACCTTGTTGCCAATCAGCCCGAAAAGAAAATTGTCAAGAAGGAAACAGATACCCTACAGAGTTTGAAAGCATCCACCGAATTTGTTCTGGAACGTTTTCTTCGCCGGGAAGAAGCACTGCGACCTGGTGCCAAAGTTGTACGAAAATTTGTTACCGGAAAGGGCGACAAAGTCAAAGAGGAGAATGTTTATCGTCGTGCGGATGTTTTGAGATGCCTGTCCGCCGAAAGCTGGCACAAGGAAGGTCGTCGACCGAAAATAGGGGAAGCGCCCTTGAAGCGGGTACCTATAAGAGCAGTTACCCTCATGCGGAAGAGAGAAGTAGAAGAACTTGAGCGACAAACGGGAGAGAAGCCTCTACAAGGTTTATATGCTAGTTACCAGACAGAATCTATTATACCGCCTCCCATCGAAAACGGCATCATCCCGAAGAACGAATATGGAAATATTGACTGCTTTGTTCCTACCATGGTTCCTCGAGGGGCAATTCATATCCCCTGGGGTGGAACCGTGCGAATCTGCAAGAAGCTTGGTATCGATTATGCCGAGGCTGTTACGGGATTTGAATTCGGAAGCAAAATGGCCGTGCCTGTTATTGAGGGTGTTGTTGTTGCGGAGGAGAATGCAGACTTGGTACGGGACGCTTGGCGCGCAGATCAAGAGGTACGCCGCGAGAAGGAGAGGCTCGCACATGAGAAGCGAATTTTGCAGACTTGGAGAAAGTTCGTTATGGGATTACGCATCATGGAGCGTGTTCGCGCCGAATACGGTGAAGATGGCGATGCCGAACTTGATAACCCGTTCCAACGAAGACGGCCGACTGGAAAATCTGCGGATACGGTACAGAAGCCGCCTGACGTTGAACGGCATGAACATGACTACGAAGAAGATGAGGATCATTATGAAGATGCGAATGCTGACCTCGGCGGAGGCTTTCTATTGCCTGATCACGACGATGGTACGAATGATTTTGTCGTCGAACATGGTGATGGACCTCAGCGCCAGAAAGTAGAAGCTTCGATGGACGTTGAGGGGGAAAATCATGAGTCTGATGTTGGTGATGTGGAGATGTCTTCACCAAGTGAAGAGGAGTATGAACCGCCCCCTCGAGGCTCAAATCGGAGACGGAGACGTGGTGGTTAATACTCATGAGATATTGTATACAATTAGGTGCAATGTAAGATATAACGTTTCTTCAACTCATCAATGCATGTAAGGCAACTACTAGTTAGAAATCTATATAGTAGAAACAATTCACGAACATAAGAATCTTATCTTATCAGATATCAGCAGTTCTCCACTTAGCTTGCAGCCAAGGCACGCCTGACATCTGATCTGTTTCTCACAACCCAACACTCGTTTCACCGTGATACTATTTATTGCGACCTAGTTCAAATATCGAACTTGAGGAACTAGCAAATTTGACAAGAAAGAGTTACAACCAATGGCACCCCTCGCCAAGGGACCGATTTATTTTGGTCCCTTTTTAGTAACGTCACAGGTGAAACAAATCAACACAAGTATGAACCAGCACATTCTCATTCTGACTGTCTCTATGACGCTGAATAGGTTTTTTACCTGACACCTCTATCATTCGCCCTCGTCAACCTCAAACCCATCATTCCAGGACACGTCCTCGTCTCCCCGCGTCGCTGCGTCCCACGAGTCTCCGACTTGACACCCGACGAAACTACGGATTTATTCCTCACAGTCCGCAAAGTCGGGCGCATAATCGAGCGCGTTTACGGCGCAACAAGTCTCAACATCGCGATACAGGATGGTGTAGATGCGGGTCAGAGCGTGCCGCACGTTCATACTCATATTATTCCGCGAAAGAAGGCCGATTTAGATCATAAAGGTGGTACCGATGCGATTTATGAGATGTTGGACGGGGAGGAAGGTGATATTTGGAAGATACAGAAGGAATTTAAGCAGCTGCAGGAGAGTTTGGCTTTAGGGACGACAGGCGAGAAGAAGAGGAGGACGAATTTCCCGGCTGTGGATAATGAGAGCAGGACCCCGAGGACCGCGGAAGATATGGAGCAGGAGGCAGTTATGTTGGCTGCAGAGATGGAGATGGAGCGTGATGATTGAACTCATACGCTAATTGTATCATTCGCAAGTACATATTTGCACCGTCCATGACAGTCAATCGCCTTGAATTCAATGCCAATGTCTATTTATCAGAGCCGAACTAATACAACAGACAACATCCATGCAGCGCCGTGCCTCTGAAGTGTCACAAGTTAAGAATATGAACAAATCTATTTACAGCAAGACAAACTCCTTCCCTTTCCGACCATGGAATATGAGAACCTGAAAAGAAAACCTCGATAACCGTATGACGAGAGTGAAATTATGACTGGTTCTGCCAAACATGTTTCCGCTCGTTCATGATTGCATCCGCCCACTCCTTGATCTCTGGGAGAGTAATCCGATTCGCAACATGCGCGAATTCCGACAGGTCTTTTCCATGTTCCCGCTCGTATTCCACCATCTGCAACAAAAGCTCAATCTTATCCACATCATGCACAAACTTCGATTCCAGCGTCTCACTATCCTCGTATTCTTGGAATATGCGACGAATCTCCGGACCAGAAAGTGTGCCGCCAGGAACATTGCGCAATAACGTCTGTTCAATATAATCCATAGTCGCTGCTTCGCGGCGTGCCTTTTCGGCTTTTGTCACGGATGTGTCGACGGGGGTGATATCGCCGACTAGTGATTCGGCCATATCGTGGATTAAGGCCATTTTTGTGCAGTGTGGGACATTGAGTCTGGAGGATAGAGAGGGCGGCGCAAGCATAGTGATGATTGCCATGCGATACATGTGGTCGGAGATAGATTCGGCGCGATCCAGGCCGAAGCGACGCCATCCCTCGCGCTTGGTGGTTTTCAGGCGCTCTAGGAGGTGGAAGAAGGGGATTGGGGAGGAGCTGTTTTCCTCTATGGGGTGGGGGATTGTAGAAAGCACTGTATTTTTTGCGCAAGTGTTTAGGATATTCTCTGCAGTGCAACGAGATTGGAGGAATCTCTACCTGTCCATGGAGTCCATTCTCCCTTCTGGGAGTCCGCGGAGCCCATTGCGAATTAAACCACGAATTGAAAAAGTCCAACACAATTCTAGGAAGTGTCTTCTGATGTGATGCAGGGTAAAAGGTCCGAGGACTTTTGAAATAGCGAATATTAGCGTAAAGACTGCAATTAAAGCGAAAAGACGGAATAAGAAGCAGAGGGGAAGCGACTGATAAATATGCAATCAGTGGGGCCTGATAATCCCGCTGCAAACACTGCAAACACCATCTCTTTGTTGACATCACTGTGCTGGAGGGATGTTCACTTTGTCACTTAACTACTTACATTGCTGCTGATAAACAGATAATGCAGTTCAATGCTATGCAAAGGATATTGTCTGTCTATTTATTATTTGTCTGAAGGGAATAGGACAGAGATGTGCACATAAGGGCCTTTGATGTGGATCTACGAAACAACCAATCAGATTGGCTTCTGCTTTGTTGACATCTTAATGTCTCAGGCATACCAATAACTTACCGCCTCAACAGCTTTCTTCTTCTCTTCCTTCTTTCTTGGAAGCTTTTCATGACCAATGATTGATATTTTGTCACGGATTGATTGATCTCCTGTCCCATCCTATGCAGACACCCCATCCATCAACTCCATCATGGCCCGCCCCATCTCCAGTCACCATCTTCCTGCGCAATGTCCACCTACTACGCCTTGACCAACAACCAGATTGGCCGGGCCTTTCTTGCAAGCTGTTTTCAGGTGGCCAAAAGAGCCAGACACAACGAGTGAAGAGCGTGGAATGGGTGCTGTACCATTTATTTCTCTTGTGGGATCCCACCGAGACGAAAAATGTACATCAACAACCCCCGCTTTACTTTCAGTCTGTGTCCGATGCTTACTACTTAGTGACCTCAGAAACTTCGTCCGTTTTTCCCACCATTAGAGCCACTGCAGTCTGTCAACTTACGTGCGGCTTTGTTTCGGGCCTTGTCAGACCTCAAGAAAAATGGCGATCTCGGACGAGAGACCACTGTGCGCAAAACCATGCTGGATGATTGCAAAGGGTCGAAATTCGAGGAAGTCTTAGCCGTGTTTTCGACAGCAGTACTACGAAAGGTAGTTTGTGAGAATCGACGAGAGCCTGGACTACGACTAGCTTTTTCTAAAAGCCTGACTGACACTGAATTGGAGGAACAATTGGTTCCTTTGATACTAGCTCACCATTCCTCCCTTGACAATACGAAGCGAGATCAGGCGAAGACACGAGAAAGTCATACCCAATTTTCGAAGTTTCTTGACGAAAAGACAACGGAACTATCATCCTGCTCGAAACGTAAACCGCGGCAAGCTGGAGTATCTTCTCATTTCGAGAGACTGGCGCACGACGTTAAGGCTAATTGGCTTGGCAGTCGTAATCTGGTTGATTGTTTATTGACAGGGGGTTCCACTACCGAAAAGGATGCTTTCCTTGAGTTATCGTTCGAAAAAGCATGGAGTCGTGTCAGAAAAGGGAACATCGATCAATTGGGTCTTTCGCCCAATGTTGGCTTGCTACAGGATCTGGAGACTCATCTTACCGATCAACGACGACGGTTACAGCGACTGAAGGATTATAAGAAATCAACATACCGAACTGAGAAAGGGAGTGAAATGGTGCAGACAAAATCTCACGACAAAAGCCAAAGTATCACGTTCAGAGACCACCGGACATTGACAGTGGCCAGCACTTCTAAATTTATACGGGATGCAGTCGAATATAGGAATCTATTTGGTGAGCATCAAGCCATAATATCGTCCCTTAGAGACGCTTTATCCGAGGTCAAGGGTATACAAAATCACTATTCTGCGACCTTGGTAGAGCCTTCTAAAAAAAGGAATCCGAAGAACCACCTCACATTATCACCCATACCGGATACTGAGCGATTCTCTCCGTCGCCCTCACCTAGTGTCCAAGTAACCGATTTTGAAAATGAGCATCGCGCGTCTATTGACCCAACTATAGACGATACCGTGCTACAACCACCGCACGATACTAGCAATCAGTTTGATTCCTTTATCAAGGAAGTCCACGACCCCGTTTCTTTTAAGGCCAATACCTCACAACCTGAACTACCATCCGACAGGGAAGGGGAGGTTGATGTTCCTCCCCTTCCTCACTTTGAGCCCCACCCGGCGTCCTTATTGGAACGAACAAGGCAGTCAATGTCTTTACTCCCTCCCCAACCCACTTCACGATCCCGGGCTCCTCGAGAATCCCTTGCTGCGCGGCGCCAATCGCAGCGTTTCCCTATCAACCAATTCGCTACTCCACCAAAAGAACAACCAGAGCCATCGCGTTCAGGGGCCTCCACGCCACGAGATGAACTTTTTACCGAGGAAGCGGAGTATGCTAGCATATTCAAAAGTCGACCTCGTGTTGCGCATAGTCCGCTTATGTCACCTGCTGTTCATGTTGGATTTGATGATGGTGATGATGGTGAAGATTACATGGAAGATAGTGAGAGTGCCCTAGACCTGGCGCTCATTGGATCACCGCTTGCAAGTAAAAAGAGATGATTGTACGAGTAACGATTATGTTGTATTTCAATGTTTGCTTTTCTTCTTCAATATATTGATATACAGAGGGTCGGCTCAAGCTTGTAGAGCGTGAGCGAAACTCTCCTGCCAAGGACTAGCCAACGTACCTAGATCACGGCCAATGATAATAATCTTGCAATGATCAGGTACATCGGTCTCATCGTCCTTGCTTTCTCGATTCTCGGAATCTCTTATTTCGTACATTTCCCTCACAGCCTGAATGATCTTAAATGTACCATCGGTCAAGGCTAGTATACCCTTGAGACGGTGGATCTCAAAACCCGGCTTCTGCGTATTCTGCGCATCACCAGGATACTTTATAACGCTCTTCCACAACACCGACATCAGCCATTCATCGACTCGCGGTATTTGGTCTGGCGAAATCCTGGGATGCGTTAATGCAATAGTAGAAATTTTGGGATCAATATGCGCATGTCCCTTTTCCGAGAAATCCATCTTTGATAGTTGGTCATAGGCATGTAGATCTAGGACGACGCCTTCGATCTGCGGCGTGCGACTATGATCCGTGACATGAATCTTCGCGGCACCATTGATGGACCCGATTCTTTGGCGTGTTGCCTCTAGTTCAGCCGGCGTTACCAGATCGGCTTTGTTGAGGACAATAACATCTGCATGCGAAATCTGTAGATGGGCCATTGTCAATGCTGGGCCAGTATGATCACCATGTTCACCGGCATGCGTTGCTGTCGTCTCTTCTGGAGTAGGCTCATCTAGTAATCTCAGAATATTCTTCGCGTCTACAAGTGTGACAATACCGTCGAGGTAGATGGAGCTTCCGAGGCCATCGTCGACCCAAAATAAGGGGGCAATGTTGCCGGGGTCTGCAAGACCGGTGGTTTCAAGCAGGATGTAGTCAAAGGTTCCGCGACGGTCCATTAGGGACTCGATCGCTTGGACACCGGAGTCTCTGCGAGTCAGATATTAGTCTATCGCAGTCTTGAAAAGAACTAAGGGTGAAGGTGAAGGAGCGAACTACTTGACTGAGCAGCAAATACAGCCGTTACCGACATCGAGCCACTCGGTAACTTCTTGGCCGTTTTGGTTTACTGTTAATGACTTTTCGATATCGGTGGCTGATGTAGTATGATGAGTGAGAGCATGCGGGTATTGGAGAGATATATGGCTTACAATCTCCGAATTCTATGTGACGATTAGAACATATTCAAGATTTTATCATGCAAGTAACGCACCATTCATAATCACTGCAATCTTCTTGCCATGTTGCTCCGTGAGAATGTAATTGAGTAATGTTGTCTTGCCAGCTCCCAGATATCCTAGATGGAGTGTCAGGAAAGAGCTATGGTGATGCCAGATATAGTGCGTGCCTACCTGTAACCAGAGTTATGGGCACCCGACTGACGACTTCTTCATCTTCTGTTTTCTTTTCTTTTTCTTCCTCTCTCTTTTCTTGAGACTCTGGGAATGCCGTCACGTCTACCAATTCTGGAGGGGCGTCGTCGTCATCCATTTTAAGTCGTTTGCTTAAATGTGAGGATAAGAGGGAAGACTACTGAGGAACAGTTCAAAACAAAATATTGACTCTGCAACTCTTTTTTTTCCGCACTGTTCCTCCTCTTCTTGGGTGTTTAAGTTGAAGTTGTTGAGTGAAGCTTGAAGCTCTGACGCAAAAGCGGCAAACGGATGCCTGATACCTAGGGCAACAAGGCACCCAGGCGCCAAGGCTCCGCAATGGACTTCTATTTGTTCGACGAGCCGCCGCCCGAATACGACGACGGGCTGGACGAGCTCGACGATTTTGACCTGGACAGTGATCTCGTGGACAGTCACTATCCGCTCTTTTATTCTACTGCCCCGTTCATTGCGCCTCCCAGGTCAACTTTCCTGCGCAAAGCTCCCACAACACTTTCCGTGTCCAATAAGATGGCTGCGACTGCTGCGGCCGCTGTGTCTCCTTTGAGCTCTCCACGTCTGCCCAGCCCTCCACCATTTACGGAAGTTCAGATCGGGCCGCAGTCGCCTACGGTTGGGGACAAGGGAGGTGATAGTCAGCTCTTTACGCCTCTAATAGAGACGGATGATGGGTCAACAAGGAGAATCAGACCAGGTACCAAAGCTGCGGATATGGCTTCAGGGCCGCCGCTCGTTCCGTTGTCACAGGTGAGTGAGCTGGTATAAGATGTTGTGTGAGAAATACTGAACTCTTTGGGTCGATGTCTAGCTTGACTCCCCCTTTCAGCTTCAAGAGCATCTGAAGGCTCTCTTCCACAATTACACTATGCCTAACGGATCGTCCACTATTCACCCGATCACACATGAGGTCGCAGTCTCACTCGCTCATCCTCCTGAAGGCGTCGAACGTTCTTTATGGCTCTACGAGCTTTGTCGCTTCTTGACTATGAAAGTGAACAACTTAATTATTGCCTTTTTTGCCGAAGACCCTCCTTGCTCTCAACAATCGTGTCCCGAAATGCGCGCGTCGGAGTGGCAGTACCTTTGTGCTGTGCACGACCCGCCAAAGTCATGCTGTGCGATTGACTATTGCTGCCATACGTTGGACTGGGCGACAAACATCTTAACATCTCCAAAGTATTTTCCTAGCAGGCTTACTCTTGGTTCGGAATCCGGAGGTGGTCCACAGGCGAGCATGCGGCATTTGACAAACATATTCCGTCGGTTGTACCGTATTTTTGCACATGCATGGTTTCAGCATCGAGATGTTTTTCGTCAGGTTGAGAATACAGACGGATTATATGTCTTCTTTAAGACGGTGTGCGACGTTTACGAGTTGATACCCCAAGACAACTATACTGTCCCGGAAGAAGCAGAGCGATTAGCTGCATCTGACGATGCTGCCGAAGAGTCACAAGGCCGTTCTATCACCGCAGTAGTACTCCCGCCTGAGAACAATCGCCGAATTTCAGTACTGCGAAATGATTCTTCTAGCACTACTCAAGCGCTCTCTCTGGAACATTCTGGTGACGCACAGGCGTCGTTGAACATAAGTACTGGTGCTACGACGAGGCGACACAAGCACAGCCCATCAACAGGCTCAAGCGTATCCACCATAGCTGAAGTTACAGAGGATCACAACAGTCCCTCTCCCAAAGTCGAACAGACCTTACCCAAGGTTGAAGAGAATGCAGAAGATGCAAAGTCTAATGTACCTGCTGAAGATGCAGAAAAAGACCCCTCGACAGCGCAATCTGAAGCTCCCGAGAACAATAAGATTTCCGAGAAAGAAGAAAAAGCATCTGAAGCCGAAACGACACCTGAAGAGGCCGCTCCAACTCAAGAAGAAGCACAGACAACAGAAGCTGCAGAGCCAGAAGCCGGAAAACAGGAGGAATCAGAAACCAACGAGTCACCCTCAACAGCTACAGATGCTGCCCCTGAAGACCAACCACCGACTTCCGAACGGGAGCCCTCTAGTGGAAAGCTCGAGACCGACTTCAAATTTCCAATTACAACCAATGAAGAAAAGTCCACAACCGAGTCCTCCGACTTCCCAACCTCTACAGAATCAACTGCCACCGTTTCCGTGGTAGAAACAACCGAGGAGAAAGACGAGTAATTTCTCCAGTCTGCGCGTACGACTTTCACGACTATGTTTCATATCATTAATTTTGCATATATGCCCTTTCTTCGTTTTGTAATGTCTGTATTGTACTACTAGCATAATTATTTCTCTTTTTCCCCTTTGGCTTACACTTCATTTCATTCCCATTATTGACCTACCCAGGTCTTTTTATTTGCATGCTTTTGTACGATACTATGAGTGGTTTAATTATTATGGTGGTGACCGAGTCACCGTGGGATTTGGAATTGGATACGAACACTAGTTGGTGTTCTTAATGGATATACTTTTCTTATATTGGCATTGCTCGATATTCCAGTATCGGCCTAGGACTGGAATCGGCCTAGGTACCATTGACCAGAGGAATTTCGCTACTATGCCCAACATTTGAACTACTGATGTCTATATATAATGGGCTATCAGATGCCTATTCGTCATAGTAGTTGATATACCAGGTAAGTTAAAATCATCTTGAACCGACAGAGGAACGAAACTGCTAATGAATTCGTACAGCTTCGCTATGAAGATTCCTGTTCCTGGCCGGTTGAAGTGGAATATAATGGATTAGAGACTACCTAATCATTCAAAGTTGCTTGCATTGCTACTTAGGTAGTATCTAACTACTTGCTTTAAGCATGGCTGGTATGATTAATGTTCGTTCCCTAGACTAGTCATTTTTTTCAGACTCGCCGTCAAACGTGCTACCTGCAAATCGTATTATGTTAGACACCCCTTCGCTTCATAGCCATCTTGAAAATCCTAGCAAAATCAGCCATATGCTCGCGATTCAACATCTTAGCATGAATGCCAGCGCAGTCATGAAATTCTACACTGCTTCGCACAAAATCTGCCCAGCGACCCAGCTTCTTGTTCTTCCAATCTTGACGATCGAGTGCTGCGTATGAAGGTGGATCGGCTACAAAGACGTCCATACGATCGACTGTACCTGTTGGTTTGTAGTCTAGAAGATTGACGCGAAGATTTTCGGTAATACCGGTGATCAGGGCCAGGCGCTCTGCATTGAGACCCAGTGCCTCCATGCGTGCAGGATTGCTGATGTCTAGGATTCGTTCAACAGCTTCTTCACGGTCCAGGGTATGCATGTATGGCGAGATATGGAGCATGAGGGTTTCATTGATGAGCTCCAGATAGAAGGAAATGTGAAGCAAGACATCAATCCAGTCGAGACCTTGGATGTAATGCGTAATGTGAGGTGGGAAGTCAATACTAGCCAAAAAGCGAACTTCTTGCCCCTGAGCTTCAAGCTCCTTGGCTACCTCGTACGCAATTGTTGATCCAAGCGAGTACCCAGCTATAGCGTATGGTCCTTTGGGCTGCATTTGACGGATATGGCGTACGTACGTTTCAACTGTCTCGCGGATTGAGGTGAAGAGACGCTCGTTGGGGTTGTAGCCTCGGGTGCGAACCGCATAGACTGGGCGGGTTGGGAAGTGTGCGGCTAAGGCGATGAAGACGATTATATCGCCACTACCTGGGTGAATGCAGAACAATGGTGTTTTGGTGCCTTGTGTTTGCAAAGGGACGATGGCATTGTAATCGGGAGTTTCGGACAGTGCCTTTTCGATCAATGTGGCGATGGTGCCCACCGTGGGCCTAATGTGCGGTTAGCTTGCTTTCAAAAAAGTATACAGGGGAAGGGACCCTGATCCTTACTCTGTTAGCAACACAGACAGGGGAATTTCAATCTTCGTTTCCAGTGCATCCTCAACCCTGGCTTTCAGAAGCATCAAATTGAACGAACTGACGCCCAAGTCGAAAATGGACGAATCCAAGCTGATGCCTTCAGCTGGAATCTTGAGAATCTCGGCCAAAATTTTCTGAATCGACTTAGCTGTCTCTGTTTCTGGGCTTCGCCACTTGGATTCCTGGTAGCGCTTGCGAGCTTCCAAATCCTCTTTCTCAAAAGTAGCATATTCTCCCTTTTCAAACGCTGAGCGGACCTTGCTGCGGGAGATTTTGCCCAGGGTAGACTTTTCGAGCAGCTTTTGAGGAAGTGGGATCACATGGGCTGGTTTCCAACTTGTGTTTAAAGCCACTGTCTTTGCAATCGCGGTAGCAGTTTCGAATCGAACCTGGTCATCTTCCGGAGCGTACGCGGGAGAGTAAATGATGGCGATATCCTCAGTTGCTGAATCAGCTGCTCGGTGAGGAATTGCAGCGGTGAAAGATGGCACGATACCAGGAATTCCCTCCTCCTCGATAGCTATCTCAATATCAGTGGAACTCCACTTGATGCCGTTGATCACAATCAGGTCTTTGGTACGCCCAGCCAGATTCAAGTTTCCCGATTTATCGATCCAGGCCAAGTCACCAGTGATGAACCACCCGTCCGCTGTGAAAGCGCTGGCAGTTGCTTCTGCGTTATTGAAGTAATGGTCAAATACCACGGGCCCAGACACTTGAAACTCTCCCACTTCGCCGTCACGTACTCTCTCGGATTTATCGGTCAGATGCATGACTCTCATTTCGATACCTGGAATACATGTTCCCAAGTTGGCAAACTCGAGGCCCGCTGCAAGGTCATATGATGGACATCCCGTTGAGTAAATGGATCCTCCACATATCTCCGTCATACCGAATCCAGGACGAATGACTTCTGTCTGTACGCCAAAACGACGAAGTTCGCGAGTCAGTGTATCACAAGTTGTCACCACACTAGCCTCGGCACCGGCGATGAAAGCTCGCAGGTGCGACAGATCCGCCTTCATGGTCGGGTTTGCAACCAGACTATCACGGACTTGCGCCATGAAAAAGTTTGGCGAAAATGTATAGACAATCTTGTGAAGGTCGAGAAGCTCTATGAAGAGTAAGGGATTGCGCAGGAGCTCTGCTGCAGGTACTTGGACTTGGTCGCTTCCCAGGCTCATGGCGTGCAAATGAATTTCAGTCAGGTTTGCGACGTGGTCCATGCCTATCCAGTTGAGGAATGGATCACCAGGATTGATGCCATGAAAAGACGTCTTGCCTTTCAGTGCCTTTAGGATCTGACCATGTCGAAGTGCGACTGCTTTGGCGTTGCCTGTGCTTCCTGAAGTCAACATGAGCACGGCTAGCTCCTTTTCTTCCTTTTGTGCACCAGCCATGAAGATCGTTGATGCTGTGGAACTGTCATCTTGCAATGACTCAACTGCGTACAGATGTAGACCCTCAACACCGTCAAATCCGGATAACAAATGCTTTGCTGTTAAGATAATAGGCTGTCGGAGCAGTGTCTGAAGGTGATTGAGGTGTTTCTTTCTCTGGGCAGCATCGTTCACAAGAGGTGCCGACATTGCAGGTAAGAACCCTGCAATTGTTGCCGCCCAGAACCATAGGATGGCTTCATGCTGACTGTCAAAGTGAATGAGGAGAATGGTCGAAGGCGTGAGACCCTCGATAGCACGCAGCAAGCGAGCCTTTTCGGTTGCATCCTCTAGAAGATCCGAGTACGAGACATACATGGACTCAAGTAGGTCTTCAACAGGCTTGTAGAATCTCAACCCGCTTTTTGATTTGGCTGCTCCCTGCAGGAGCTGGGTGAGATTGTTGATTGCCTCCATCTTGGTGGTTGTTGTTGAGGGTGAGAAGAGAAGATTGAGGGAGAAGTTATCCTATCTAAAAAGAAAAGAAATAACCGCGTTCTCTTTGACCATTACCGGCCTCTTGCGCAAATTCTAATTTTTTCTTCTTCTCTTTTCCTTCTTGTTTACATGTTTGTCCAGGATACGCCCGGTGTTTGCACTATCACAACGGGGCGTTGGTTGCTAAGTTCTGAGATAATACTGGTCATAAAATTGATTCTGTAGTGCTATTATATCTAGGCATTAAAATACAAAAAATCAACCACTCTGTAAGCTGCTTCTTGGTTATCCTAACCACTCATAGTGCACACTATGTCATCTAGATTCTTGATCAATTGATTGTCCTTACACACAATGTCAGTGATAGAGAATTGGATACTTTGGCCTGTGAAGTGGGTCAGAGTAGAATGTCATCCTTTGTTCTTTTGTTATATTCAATTAGTAGCTTGTGTGACCTGTCAGTTATCGACCTTGCTCCTTTCTCTGCCTCTGAACTAGCTTCGAGGCACATCTGGATATAATGAGGATGAAGAGGCAAGTGAAGATATTTTATGCTGCTTAGAAGCCAAGTATCTACTCTGATAACTTGTGGACAGTACTATCGTGCTGTATTTAAAATGCGATGATTACTCCTACGTATCATTCAAAGGGCGGCTTTAGGGCTAACTCCTTGAAACCCTCCCCTCAAATTTTTATCTTAATTTGAGGCTTGTATTCAATTATTCTAAATGTCTTTTTTGGTAAATATGCTTATGAAAAGACTGTGGATTCCGGGTCTATACTTATTATTCATCCTGTAAGATAGCTTCTGAATGGCCTTTATATTGAACATCAGATACCTATATACCACGCCAAAGCCACGCAATACCTAATGCAATCTACAGAGACGTTGAGCTTCAATATACTCGTATACTCGCTGCTCTGATATATGACTGGATAAAGCGAGTTTACGGGGCGTACCGGCAATTCTTTCTTGCAGTCTCACTACTGACCTGGTAGCCCACTTCATTTTCGTTCCTCCAAGTTCTATATCTGAGATTGAAGTAGTCGCTGATAATATGAATGATATATCCCTTATCGAATGGTATCTGGTCCTCATAACTGCATTTTTGGTCTATCGACCGACGTGATTGTTTTCAATCTCTGGCATCATCAAACTAGCAACTGTAAATGTTTGCCATCCAGCAATGCTGTTGTGCCACCTGTTGGGCTGAAACTGCATATAGTCTTTCTGTGCGTCGTTTCTATTGACTGGGGAAAGATGGATCCAATTCATATTTTGGTCCCCAACGGCGGATTGTTGCGTGTACGTGTTTGGAGTCGTTGTGTCTGGTTGGCCTGCAACACCGACTGTAAGAAAGAAGGATTCAATTTTTTGGAACTTTCCGCTATGTCGTTCTCAGTTCCATGTACTTTTTAGTGTTGTGACTGTGCTCGACCTTGGCCGTGATGGATCGACTCTGATTGAAACAGCCTGGAAACTGATGCTGCTACAAGCGAGTGACGCGAAAGTAGGGAGAAGGACTGTAAACCACCTTGTTAGCCCGTTAGCAGCTAGCCGTACCCCCGCCCCAAATGCGGCCCCAATATTGAAAATTGATGAAGGGTCAGGCATTTTTGCTCCAAACAGCGCAGTCGTTGCATGTTTGTGATGCGGATCATGCATGGTTCTAGAGTATGCAACAGTATATCGTTTCGATGGAGGTGAGATGGGTAAAATGCGAACTTCCTGACCTGGCATGTTGTGCAAGACAAGCAACAATCGAATCCCTGAGTCAATGTCGCTTTAGCCAAGTTCAACATTCAAAACATTGCCTAAAGTACCGTGCAGTCCAGAAACGAGGGATTTCAAAGCGTTCCAATGCATATCACCCCTAACCATAATCTACTTTTGAAACTGATCTCATAATCTAGAAACAACATCCATTATGACCACTCAAAGGATTATTTTGCTAGATTTCTGTAATTTGATAGACTGAGAATTTTATAACATTGTCCTTATTTCATACTTCCAATATTTCCCATGCCCTGACTGGCCGGGAGCTGAGCGTAGAATTCATCGTGCCATCCAGCCACCATCAACCTAACTACAATCAGAAACTCGTGGGAAAAAAAAAGAAAAAATCCAACATGCAAACTAGGAACTCACCGTAATGATTTGGCCAGAAATATATGAGCTGGCATCGGAAGCCAGGAAGACTATTGGTCCCTTGAAATCCTCAGGCTTTCCCCAATGTCCTATTGGGATACGGCTCAGGATCGACTCATAGTAAGCTTGGTCAGGGTTGGTTCGCGTATCAATGTTCATATCCGTTGCAATATAGCTGTTCCATTCCTGGTTAGATGGTGTCTTCTTTCCTTTGCTGAATGAGTTTTATCAAGACGCAAGTACTACATACCCCGGGGCAATTGCATTGACACGAATGTTGTGCTTCGCCCATTCATTACTCAAGGCCTTGGTAAGCTGGCCAATAGCCCCTTTACTAGCAGAATAGGCTGCCATACGGACGCCACCTTGGAATGTTGCTAAACTGGCTGTGTTGATGAGGCGGCCGTCGATCCTGTTTTCTATCCAATATCGCCCAATATCGCGGCACAGGAAAAACGTGCAGTTAAAATTCACTTCCATCACTTCATCGAATGCGTCCTCAGTAAAATCAGCTGCTTCCATCCGATGCATGATACCTGCGTTGTTCACCATGATATCGATGCGACGATCCTTCACCACCGATGCGATGAGGCCCTGTACATTTTTCCTGTTGCTTAAATCAGCCTTGACGAGAAGGCATGTGCGACCGGCCTTTTCTATTGCTTCTTTTGTGGAATTTTGATAAAGATCCCGCTGTCACGTCTCAGTCAAAAACTCAACACTGAACGTCGTGGGAGATGAGGCGACAGTAGTACTTACCTGAATAAGGACAATATCAGCTCCAGCTTCGGCAAGGGCTACGGCCATGGCCTGGCCAATGCCTCTACTAGCTCCTGTGATTAAGGCTGTCTTGCCAGTCAATGAAAATAGCTCCATCATCTGCAATGAGCGTGTCGTTGCTAGCCCCTCGTCTGATATGGTGGGCGCAGTGTTCTAAGTGTATTGGTTGTTCTAACTCCCAAGTGCTACTGGCCTTTTATAAATTTATTTTTGTTTTGCCAGCTTATCCGTGCGATTCTGACATAGATCCACATGCAATCAAGCTCCAAAGCTGCCCCTCCTCTCAGGTCTGAGAACCGAGCTGAAGGAACTCGGCGTTTCGGCACGAAAGATGACGGGCGATGCGACCAAAAAGCCCTAATCACGAATACAGTAGAATCCAGGTACAACAAAAGGAAGGCCACTCCACACTTCTACTGATATGAGCTTGGGTGTCTTTATTATGAGACTGAAGAGCATCCAATTTGTTAATACTAAAATAGATTAATAACATATTGGAGGTGCCCTTCATCCCTTAATCGAACTCACATCTGGATATAGGCTTAGGCCCCGAGAGGCCTTCTGTTCGTTATAACCAAGTCCTACTGTATCGTACGATCTTTCTTCAGTCAAGACACCTACGCGATTTGAGCCACAGTTGAGATTATCTCAAGGCCTGGGGGTTTTAAGTAAATAATATTGACTCGAATATTAGGGATGGCTTTCGATTTCAAAATAATCAATCTATGCGTATTAGTCTAGAGTTGTCGCCATCCGACGCCCCGTGCATTTGCACCTTTCAAATCAGCCAGATACAAAGTTAATCTCTTAATGATACCATCAGTATCAAGGCCGAATCTCTCATAGTTGCACTCTTTTGCAGCCGAGCATCCGAAACCAGTCATTCCAATGCTTGCAGTGGTATATCGAGCCCAAGTTGTAGCAACGTATTCCTCGATGCTTACCACCGGAGTGCCATCTCGGGGTAAGATTTTGTCTCTATATTCCTGAGACTGAGCATCGAAGAGCCGTAGACACGGCGCACTAACAACGCGAGTGGGAGTACCGGCTGCTGACATATGTTTGGCAGCTGATACTGTGTAGTGGAGATTTGTACCACTGCTAACCAGAACCAGCTTGGGATTTGGAAGGTCCTGTATAATGTACGCACCCAAGGCAACTTTGTACCGGTCAGTAGCAGGAACAGGGCCTACAGGATCACGGCCAAGAGAGAGCATAGTAGGACCGTCGCGATTAGCCAACGCAACCTTCCAAGCACCAATTACTTCCTCTCCATCACAAGGCCTAATGTATGTGAAGCTTGGCATTGCACGATATAAGGAGTCCAACTCCACTGGCTGATGGGTCGGCCCATTCTGCCCTTCAGCGAACGAGTCGTGAGTGGCTATATGAATCACTGGAAGCCTACTCAATGCACCCATGCGAACACTTGGCGCCGCCTATCAGGGGATCAGTCAACTGAGCCACACTTGGGGGTTTTATATTGAATGGGCCACTTACATATAGATAGAACATGAAGAACGTTGCAGTTATAGGAAGGAAAGTCCCCTCGTTATAAGCGGCCAAGCCGTTCGCGATACCAGCCATCGCATGCTCGCGGATTCCGTATCGAACGAAACGCCCAGAATAACTAACTGAAGGATGGAAAATATCGGATTCCGTGTAAGGGATTTTATTAGAGTTGACCAAATCAGCTCCTCCAGCAAAGACACCGGGGTGCAGCTCCCATATTTTTGACATGACAGCGCCGTTAGATTCCCTTGTAGCCTTGCCGTCAAATCCCAAGGAACTCATATCGCTCAGTGCTTTAAGACAGGGAGTTGGATCTATACCAGCTCGTTGGTTGCGAAATTTGGTACCAGTATCAGGATGTGCTGTCTCATACTTCTGAATAAGAATGTTCCAATTTGCCTCAAGTCTCTCCCCGAAAGTCTTCCGCTCACGGAAGAACACAAGTGCTTGCTCTGGAACGGAATGAGTCGACGAAGGATCCTGACCAGCTCGAATCTTGGATAACCTTATGCTTTCAACATCGATCAAGCTATGATGTGCCTTCGCTGTACCGGCTGACTCGGTGTCGACGCCAATAACAGTGCGAATGTTGATCATTACTGGTTTTCCCCGTAGACTGGACGCATGGTTTAAAGCTGCAACGATGGCCTGGACGTCATAGTTGCCGTCTTGTACATCAATCACATCCCAGCCGCTAGCCCTCATCTTTGCATTGATATCCTCAGTATTAGTCCATTCCAGGGGACCATCGCACGTAATATGGTTGTTGTCGTATATAAGTACTAGATTGTCCAATTTGAGGGAGCCTGCAAGAGTAATTGCCTCCAATGCCACCCCCTCCATCAAACATCCATCACCTGTCATACAATAAATTCGAGCTTTGACAATGTCATAGCCTGGACGATTGTATCGAGCAGCAAGCTGCTTTGAAGCCATTGCAAGACCAACAGCATTGGCGATACCCTGACCCAAAGGACCAGTTGTAACCTCAATACCCGGAGATTCCCTCTCAGGGTGTCCGTATGCCATAGTTTTATAGCCCTTGGGCTTTGGGCTGCCGTAACCCTTGAGTTGCTCCATTGTCCACGCATCATATCCGACCAAATAGTTGAGGGCATACAGAAGCATAACTGCATGGCCTATATTTCCGATTTATCAGGTTAGTGAGGATGTAGAGAAGTGGTTTTGGTTAAATACCATTGGAGAGAACGAATCGATCCCGGTCAAACCATTCAGGATTGGATGGATTATGTCTCATAATGTACTTCCACAAGGCAACACCAATTGCAGCCATTCCAATAGCGGAGCCGCCATGGCCTCCGCCATTTTGATTACACATGTCGAAGAGGAGGTTTCGCAAAGACAAGACTGCTAGAGTGTCCTCTTCGGAATAATCGGTATCATTGATCCTCCTTCCCTTTTCTGAAAACTGAGAGTTTTCCCGATCATCTTGACCCAATCCTTGCTGTTGTAGAAGCTTGTCAGACATTCTATTTTCTTCACTCACTCTTATTTCATGAGGCTTAAATAGAAAAATTTGGCGTTCCTTAATCTGAAAAGAAGGGTTGGGGATTCTCAATGAAAGTATTGAAGAACAAAAGAAGACACCAGATTTCAATAATACCGACGAGTAACCGAGATGACTTACTCAATTTATTAATTTTTATCGATTTGTCAAAACTGGAAAACCTACAGTAGTTTTCTGCAACAGCCGATACCACAGAGCCGCATACTGTTGAATCGGGACATGGGAATGGCCAGCTAATCTTGGACATACCTTTTCTCCACGCTCTGCCCCTCGATCTTTCACGCCTGTCTGGAGTAATTGGAACTGGAGGCCATTGTTCAATTGCAGTTCCGTCTGTGGCTGCTAAATTAGCATTTGAGTACCTGAGTTCCGAGACAAGATTTGAGTTCCGCATCTCGGCATCATCCAGATTCTTGTTGACCCTATTTGCGCCTTCAGAGCCGCCTTTGTGGCCAGAAACATTATTCTAAAATCCCGCGGATTCAACACTGGACTGAATTCCGTTCATGTAGTGTTAGAAATTGTTGGGTATACTGACAACGTCCGAGGTTTCTGTTATCTAGGTAGTCTGCCTCGCATAGGTAGAATAAATCCACCACACATCAATCTCACATAGTAGTTGACTGGCGTCGCAAGAACCTAAGTATAGAGAGAAATGCACTTGTCCAGCTTCCCGAGGATACAAATGCCAATAGCAGTAATCTCAACTCCTTCTCAACCATCTGGTAATAGCCCACCACCGTGTAACCGAGAGCGAAAGAAGCGTAAGAGGCACTGCTACGGCGAAGAATATCCAAAATGTGGTGCGCAAACTCGCAACATCCGAAGTCATACTAAAGAAACTCGAGACAAAAGACAGAGGAACAAATACAACAGCCAAGTACGTCAGACGGGCGAGACTTCTGTTCTGTTCTGCGGATCGTTTGGCTTCTTCGATGGATATGATAGCCGTGACAACCCGAACGAGGTCTTGGACTTGGGCTTGGAGCGTATCCAGATCTCTTAAAATAATGAGAAAGTCCTCTCGTAAATCTCGGAGAGCTTGATCCTTGGACTGGGAGGGGGACAGGTTCTTGTCGCTGAGAATTCCGTTGAGAATGTTGGTAACCCATTTTCGATACCTAGGCACATTACGACGGAATGGATGCAGCCATTTGAGTGAGGCATCTAATCCGTACTTTTCACCATGGCCCCGGAAATCGGGAACTTCAAGTTCCCACTCGATCTGAGTTAGTCTTGTGGTCACATACTCCTTGACAGTCAGCCATTCGACCGCAATAATACTGAGAATGGCGATGGCAAAGTTGTTGGGTTGCTCTTCTAACTCCTTTAGTTTCTGCATGGAAACTCTCGTTGTCCAGTGTATTACTGCCTCGAACAAGGAATCCTTCGGGATGGGAGCAGGCGTAAGGTTTGAAGCAAGACTTGGAGGAGAGTCAAAGTTATATCCTTTACCCCAAAGAGGATGCCCTTCCTTGATCGAAGGGTCGACAACCAATATTCCTATGCATAAATGTCAGGACTCAAAGAAAATATAGAACCGCAACGGAGGACTCACCTAGGGTATGTTTTTGATGTCTCTCGTTACGTCTAAGCCATAAAGATGCTTTACTTCGCCACATGTTGACCGACGCCTGGTCATCATCGAGCATACTTGCACTTATACGATCATCATCGAGCCGTCTCAGAACATTCATTCTGCGGGCTTCTTCAGTGGCTCGCAGTTGTGATTCCTTACTTTTGAAGTATCGTGGGTGAACGTAACGAAAATGATAAAAGTTCCGACTTCGAGTAATATGTGGAAGTTCTTCGAGCTCGACCCATGGATCGCGGGTATTGTACCATAAATAGTCACTGATATGACCTCTCCAAAAGAAAGGGTCGATGTCATATGCAGATCCGAAAGCTTCGATGACATCTCTTGACAGGTCCTCGATGACAAATAGTCTGGAATGATCTGGACTGTGATTGAAGTCGTATCCTTGAAAGAGTCTGCGTAGCTCCTCATTGCTGTTGATTAATGTTTGAGTAGGCTCTCCGTCGTTATCTCGAGGGAAATCTATCATTACTACTCGTGTGTGTTTTGCACGCGTTTCTCTATCATCTTCTGAGAGATACCTCCATTTGACGGGCGACGTTGTCACCTCCATCCAGCTTGCCAAGTACGATAACGAAGGCCATGCTTGTGAAACGTTCTTGATATGTCTAAGATACGGCATGAAATCACTTGACAAGGTAAGTGGTAGCCAAAAATATAGTAATACCAAACTGTGGAGAAGGTACCTACGTGTTTATCTCCCATGGCCGCTTCTGCTCCAGTGGTGTATATACATCACCAATTTGATATGTTCCAACTTCATTGGAATGAGGTAACACAATATGGCCATGAAGACGATTTCGTATTTTGTTATGATGGGAAACTGGGAGAAGATGTCCTGCATGACTGGCCCATGACGGGGACGGGCCCACTTCTTTATGAGGCCTATCGCCGAAGACCATTATATACCATCAGTCATTGAAAAAAGGAAGAAGATAATGAAACATCAATGATTTATTCAAGATCGCGACTGAAGAAGAGTGATCGATTTAAGCTTATTTTTCAGGGGTTCAAAACACTCTTTGGGACTGCCCCACATCAGCTGAACATTCCCGGATTGCCATTGGTCCGGGTAATTACGCTGGTGAAAATCTGAATGTCTTAGGCATCAATTAGGGTTTCTTGCCCTACTTCGAGAGGATATTCACTGAGGTGCTTTTAACAAATAAAACATGATATAGAGAGATGATAAATATGAAATAGCAAATGAATAGAAATATTCAACATTTTGACTTATTCACCAGCCCATTGAGGAAGTCCTGCACGCTCCACAGCGACCTTGGTTGCTTCATCAAGATCCTCCTTTGGCAAACCCAGCAAGCTATTGAGTGTGCCCTCGTTATGCTCAAAATCACCGAATCCATCTGGATAAAATGCACGTGTATACAGTTTCTTTGCAAAGCCGGAATGTTTACCTTCTTGGATTTCCTTCAGGCCCTCGGCAAGACGCTCGTCAGCTGGCACCTTGGTAATGTTCCAGTCTTCTGATTTGGTGCCAGTCACGCGGAGGAGGGATTCGAGCATTTCTGTCTGATTAATTGTAAAGGAGTTGATATACACGTCTTTGTTGTTCAGGCTTTCGAGGGAACCATCACCTCTACCACCTTCGGCGTTGATGGGTAGGCCGAGGAGAGCAGCTACAGCACGGCCAACCTAAGGAACGTCACACAGGTTTGCAACCCTTTTCTACGGGAAGAAATTGAAAAACTTCATACCTGTGGCCATGTCGATACAGATATCTTCGCTTCACCGTCGTCGAAAAAGGTAACAGAGCGATTGATGATGTCGAATCCGAATGCAGAGGGCATGGGCAGACTCCATTCATACCAGAAACCAGTTGAAACTGCAATGTAAGAGGAGCTCTTGAGTTCCCCAGAGCTTCACGAGCAGCGCATACGAAAAGTATTAGTCAACCGACCTTAGGATAAAACCCTATTATATCCCAATTTTTTTATCCTCCATTCAGAACTTCGATGTGGATTTGCCAAGTCTCACTTTTCATTTGGTAAAAGAGCATATCTTTAATGAGCTCATGAGCACCTGGGTATGTGGACCATTCATTCGGCAAAATCCATTGAACGCCAGCCTCGTCAGCGGCTACAATGAGCTTGACCTCATTGCTCAAGGCGAATGCCCCTAGAGTGATGACAAGTGCGTCTTGGCCTTTGAGAGCCTCCACGATCGTTTCCGGTTTTTCGTAATCCACAACTTTGGGGATTACCCCTTCAGGTAATTTGCTCTTACTGTCGGGGCGTGTAATGGCTGTGACAGTATGCTTGTCGGTCCTAAGGAGAGCCTCGGTCATGAATTTTCCGGAGTTTCCACCTGCCTATGATATGTAGTGACAGAAACCCAGTATTTGACTTACTCCGACAATGGCCACTTTAGTAATGTAGTTGCTTGTTACTTTGATGGCAGCTAGAGATCGCTTGCAGAGGGAAGGTTTGAGCAAAGTCGACCGAACGGGATCAGACAATTCAATTCCTCATTTGTATTCGTTAAAGATTTTAGAGACATTATCGTATGGTATAAGCTGCCTTTATATAATATTCTCAATTGCCATTTCGCTGCCTATATCCAGTGGTCATTTGACCGATCTCAACAACCTTGAACATTAACTAGCCAATCCCCTCATCAAAATATGCATTTCTCCAGTAATTTTAGAACATGCTCTCGTATAGCAAAATATACGAAGCTTTGAAACAAGGAAGTGGATTACAAAGATTGGATCTTCGTCAGATGCTCATTGTCCGGAAACGGACGAAACTGGCCGTTAGGGTTATCGATGGTGGACTATATTTCGTCCAGTAGGCAGGTGAAGGAAAGTAGCATGAGCTGTATTCTAAGTCTTTCTACTTCGAGCGCACACGTTTGCATTTTACTCCGGGAGGGTTTGGTAAGTACAGCTACCAACACCATCAATATCCTGATCTTCGTTTTGAATCCGGTAGCACTTTATGATGACACTTGACCCCCTCTTATAGGCGGCTAGCTCACATGATGCCAGAAACTTGAGACATTGCCTTGCTGGGCCTTTCATTTTACCGCCGTTACAGGGTCTATTCATGTCAACAAATCATGATACGATAACAGTACAGTAGATACAGATAAAGATATCTTGTCAAAATAGCACCAATAGAACCCAAATCCAGTCACAGCATAAGACTCCGAGTCTAGAATTTATGTCCGTGGGTTTACATCCATGGATAGATGTAGAAGTTCACCTGGATAACGCACGAGAGACGAATTCTTAGGGTTAGTCGACGTGACTTGTATCAGAATCACTGGAAGTTACCTCTTCTACAGGCAATATATGCATACATGACGCCACCAGGTTGCGCTAAAATTAGACTTGAAACTGATATTAACCGGAATCCCATCTCTTACATCCGGATGCTTGAAGCAGTTCACTAGAGCTGCAAAAGAATAGATAAGCTTCTCAAAAGTGGTGCATGAAGAGGAAAAAAGGCAAATCAAACCGTTTCCCAAAGATTGTTGGATAAGCGGTTTATCGGCCTTCCTTAAAAGAGCAAAATGCACCGGTTGTTGCCCGAAGTCTCAAGGTGAAGCGGTTCGGGCATCAAAATGCATGAGGCTGACTAGATACATGATACGCACTTGAAATCGGTAAGCCGGGCCCACGGGAGATGTTAGCTCGCCAGCCCTACAGGAAGTCCAGTGAAGACATGCCGATTAGTCTGTCTAGGCCGTAAATACGGATATGAGTTCATATTCTGCTCCTTTATATATTGGCTTGAAGTTTACAGGACCTTCTAAGTCATTCGGTCATGATTTTGAGGCTCCTTTGAAGATACCAACTGGGCTTCAAGGACAACAATTCATCAATCACAATACAATCGTAGATGAGAGAATGGCCAAACAATAAGCAGGGGTGACTTATATTATGGGCAAGCGAACTGCTAGGCAGCTCATGAACACTGGAGCTTGCACATTTATTTCCCAATCAGGAGATAAAAGCCATCCATGTGTACCTAGGTGACTGACGATGAGACACCACTGATTGATCCCCGGGCCCGAGATTCTCAATCATCCAATCCCACTCCATAAGACAATGGGTACGTAAGTAGTACATCAATGTAATCTAGGCACCTTCCTAATTAAGCAACAATTCGAACTCCATTCTATCCAGGAACTTGAAGATGCACTTAAATTCGCATACCATCAAAATCTTTACAACGCATAGCTCGCCATCATCGATGCATAGAATAAAACTGACTTGTTTGCATTGCAGTATTGCACTCTGTTATCTCATGCCGGTGTAATTTGATGTAGTTATTTATGCATCTCAACGAATTCGTCAACCAGGTCGAGCACGTTGTTCCAGAAAAACCACGATTTATTGACTAGCTTCGAACCACCCTGCACCAGAATTTAGAATTAGTGCTGTACTTAGTACTAGATTCAACGTAGGTTGCTGCGCTTAATGATGGTCGACCTAATATAGTTATAGGAACGTATCTGGCTATTGGTGGTTGACATGCATGTCGTTGAACAATTGGAAGCATCACTTTGAAGAACGGTACCTACCCACGAATCTCAATGGATCCCATGCGATTTTAGCATATAAAAAACTGTCCTAACTGGATCTTCAGCATGTCAAAAACATGAAAACAATTGCTGACGAGCAACGTTTCGCTCTTTAGATTCCTCTTTGATACGCTCGGTCTGCGATGTTGCATGGGGCCAAACGGCCTCGGGTCGATTGCTATATCCGAGTCATATTGACCCTAGTGATTGGGAAGGGAGGAAGTCGTTATTATCGTGCTCTAGATTAGAGATATTAACCAATAGAGTAGTATTCACCCGCGTCTCATGGACTTTTTGTTGCGATAATTGTTGTTTGGTAGAATTAAGAATGATAAAATTGGTGGAAAAGTGGGTCGATCGGACCATCCCGCGTCGGCCCGCGATCGAGCCATCCTTTGATTTTTGACAACTACGTAACTTACCGTTTACACAAGCTCATACGATATGGACTATATCTTCGTAAAAGCTGGCCGCGATTCAATCACCGACTGCAAGATAATACAACGTCTCAGTGAGCTCGAAACGACAGCACAGGCTTCACTATCGTGAGCGAGCTTCTCGATGACAACCTTCCTATTTCGATTGGAGGGAAGGAAAAGAGGGGAAAGTAAAAAAATCCCCCGAACATGCCAACCGATGTCGGGGCTCTCTCTTTCTCTAAACAAGTTTAGATGCAGCACTGACAGAACATTGAACGATTTAACCCTCTTCTTTTTTTGTTTGTTTGCTGTGCGGTCGGCGGGGCTTGTTGGTTCATGGCTACATGGTGCATGGAGGGCACTCGCATTGAACCATAGGGCCCCAGTCAATTGGAGCCACGCATAAGGCTAACGCAACATGTCACATCGATCGAAGTTGGCTATATTCATAGTATTACCAGTTGTCCCCCATCGCTGAAAAAAATTGCCCTTCTATTTGCAACGCAACTATACAGCCAACCATCCAATGGCACCAGCAACTAATATTTCTGTACAGAGATAGCCCTTTCTCATTCCTGTTCGAGTGACTAATTCCTTACCACTCGATGGTGGGCTCTTTTTGGAAAGAAACCTGAATCTTTCTGTTAGTGGGAATTCTGAACAGGGACATCGGAAGATGAAGGAAGGAATGTTTTTCAAAGTAACCCGAGGAGGTGACAACCATCAGACAAAACCCATGTTGTTTCCTTCTTTGTTCTTGATATTAATAATCCTTGGGGTGGCATATTTCGGATGCATGGAAGGAAATCCAGCTCTAGCCATGCACCTAACAGATTACTAGATGTAACTATGGCGGTTCCGTTCGGACCATAGGTGTTGCAAGGAAGACTCGAGCGTAGAGTAGAATATTAAAGACGAGCATTCCGGCTAAGTTTATTATGGAGTAGCTAGAAGTGATGTATTCAAGTAGGAGCATGTACGATCGCATTAGTTAGTCCAATCACTATCCTTCGTCTGCCCTTCTTCTAATAACGGCCACGTCGGATGCGCGGGGATACTCGTTGCGAGATCAGCATATCGGGTCGTCTCTTCTGACTGTTAATAATTTAGTTTCTCAGATGAGAGACTCGTTTCATTTTTCCTTCCTTATTTTCCTGGCACAATCTCACACAAATTCCAAGATTCTTGACAAGGACTGAAAAAAATTTTCTACTGTAGGCTGTGCTATTTGTGCCCTATCAACTATTTGCTCTAGGCTGTGTCCAGGTACACCCAGACCAGCCGATGACACCAGCGCCCCCTGGTCAGGCCGCAGTGCAGCACAGGCTTTAGAGGGAAAAAAAAATTATCGCACAGTGAAATACTTTATGCCAGCCAAACATACTGCAACAGCAAAACACCATTCGTTGCAACAGCATGATACAATCACTAATCGAACGACCGCAGATTTTTCCACATTGCTATTAGAGGCTATACAGCCCTACGATTGCTGCCTAGTCATCTGGGATTAATCCTGTTACTCTAGAAACGCGCTGTTCCTGACCCGAATTAGCGGTCAGCTTTTCAACAACATCACCACGAGCAAGAAAAATTTTTTTCCTGTGTGATTGCAACAAAATTTATCCTGCCTCTGACTTATTGGTCGTCTACTGGTAGTCCGTCACAGTCGAATTTTCTTGGGTATTGCATTCGCCCATGCAATTGTTGCACTAGGCCTTCCAGCCGCCGGCCGCATCTGACCTCTAACATTGGCATTGGCAGTGACTCTGTCCTACTTCTGTGTGTTTCTGTGCTACTGAGAATTCGGTTCGGATTCCGATTCCACCAAGTGAACGCTTCGCTCGAAAAATCATAGATCGCTATATAACGACATTGACATAATAGTGCTGCATCATCGTTGGTCGATCCGCGCCGGAGCCATCACATCTCGCTCATAGGCCTCCCACCTCGTCTCGCCTCTTTATATATTTACAGGCCGCTACGTACCCCTTGCGCCTCAGCTCTTACCGACTAAGGGGGCCAAGGGGTGAACTCCCCTTCGGCGTCTGTATTTTTATCAATTCGGATTTCTTGGCGAATCCCATTGTCGACTTCGGCGAAATCTCATATTCATCTGCCTTTTGACGCGGGCGCCTGCTGCCCAGTTAGATTCCCATTCTTATGGCCGCGAACTGCTGAGTTTTGCCGATTGTCCAGGTCCCTTGTGCGTGCTAGCGGACGCGTTTGAAATCCAAACCTGTTTCCTGGACAGTCGAGCCCTCCATGGCAATCACTATCCGCGACAACTCGACCGGTAGTTCTCATCGGGGATTCTTCAATCCTCCCCGCGACCACGAGCTCGAGACACGATCCGAAAGCGTGTCGCTTCCTCCGACCGTGCCGAAAGTAAGTATGTGGCATCGATTGGGTTTTGGACGATGGCTTCACCGTGACGAGCATACATCCGGATCGACTTCCCCCACCAACGATCACCGGGAGAACATATCGCGGCGTCTATCTAGAAAAGTAGGCGCCGTCGGTTTGCCTCGACCCGCGACCTTTCGACGTCAAAATTCCGAGCGACGAGATCGATTAGCACCCATCGAGTCAGAACATCGCCGGACTCAATCTGCGGATCGTCGTCGGCCATTGAGTATACCGCGAACAGAGTCACCCGCACCCATAAATGTTGCCCGTCTTTCTGCGCCTGAGGTGGGATCATGGAGCGAACAATTATCTGCCCTGGCACATCGAGATGACGGTTCGGCTCACGAGTTCTTACCGGAGACGGCCACTTTGTCTCATGTCGATTCGACGCCATACAATCGTTATGACAATGCCAGTATACAACAAGAGCCCGTGGATGACGCGCTAGAGCAGGAATTAGAGAGGAAATGGATTCTAAACTTGAGCATGCACTTTCGAGATAAGTCCGAACGGGAAAAGTTCTTCGTGACATATGCAGAAAAACCAAATCGATGGCGGAGAGTAACAGTATCGTGCGATTACCGAAACGCTCCTCCAGACTCTTTGGAACAGGATTTGAAGGAATTACATTACCAACGGGATAAAAGTGCTCGTATCTACGAATCGATTCGAGATTCGCTTCCAGAAATCCAATTCTACGACACAGTCACAAATCTCAAACTGGAAACGAGTGATGGTCGATTGCATGTACATGTGACGGAAGACGTCAACGAAACTATCCCTTATCCACCTGTGTCCAGCGTTCGCCATCTGGGTAGTCGTCTTATTCCGGAGCGTGATCTCATGTTCAACTCTCATCTGTCTGGTTTCGTTTACAAGGTTCAGCTAGACGGCAAGGCTTATATCAAGAAGGAGATACCAGGTCCAGATACCGTTGATGAGTTTCTTTACGAGATCAACGCACTTCATGCGTTATATGGTTCACAAAGTGTCATACAGTTCGAGGGAATCATTGTCGACGACCGTCTCGAACGCGTCAAAGGGTTGCTGATAAGCTATGCTGAACAAGGTGCTCTAGTGGATGTGTTATATGATTTTCGCGGCCAATTGCCTTTGGCGCGCAGAGAGCGATGGGCTAGACAGATTGTACAGGGTCTGTGCGAAATCCATGAGGCCGGCTATGTCCAAGGCGATTTTACATTATCGAACATTGTCATCGACGGAGATGACAATGCTAAAATTATCGACATCAACCGGAGAGGATGTCCTGTGGGATGGGAACCACCCGAAATCGCCGCCAAAATAGAGAGCAATCAGAGAATATCCATGTATATTGGGGTCAAGTCGGACCTTTTCCAACTGGGAATGACATTATGGGCGCTTGCAATGCAAGAAGATGAGCCAGAACGTCAGCCACGACCATTGTTTATACCGATTGATATGAAGATTCCCGATTATTATAGGAGGGTCATCGCTCATTGTCTCAGTGACCGCCCAAGAGATCGCTTATCCGCAAAGGAGCTACTAGCCATGTTTCCTTCCGACATGAAAGATCATGAACACCCTGTTCATGCCGTTCCACTCCCATGGCGCGCTTATAACAGTCCTAACGGTCCTCCATTCTACGATTCACTCCAACATGACGTTCCTCAATCGGTTTGTCTCGATGGAGATCACCATGAGCACGCTAAGCATCCAAGTGTGGTGTATGTAACGCCAGCTGAATACGAATCAGAATCCGACTTTCCTGAAATTGACTTTCCTCCTAGGGGTCGTCGACCGTCAACCCATGGCCTTCCTCCAAGCGATTACCAACCCTCGACATACATACCATCAAGTGCTTCACCCAACCCGGATGGTCGTCGCTCCATCTCACAGAGTGATTTCGAAGTTAATACCAGGCCATCTCCAGCTATGCTAGCTGAACCACGATTCGAAGAGGTTGAGGTCAATGGCACTCAGTACTTGGTCAATCCGGAAATGTTCACCCCAGAAGATCTTGAGGCTCTGAGAGACAATACTCACGAACCTCATGACTCGCAGGAATTGGAGAGTGGGAGAAACTCTGATATAAACCGTGCTATGGTTCCGTCTTCGGTTTGTGAAGGTGGCAAGGATGCTGATGTTGATCGAGATGTGACTGTGCAATCACACGGAGCCAAAATTGAGAATCATGAGGATACTGGAAATCGTCAGAACAAAAGCGTAGTGGAAGACATAGCTGCTATGGGCAGCCATTCGTCGGCGCCGTTGAAGCATGAACACACGCAACCCACAAGGAGTCTGGAAAACCAAATCATCGAACCCTCACCCGCCAGCCAGACATCAACAGTTCCAGCGCCACAGATAAGTGCACCCGAGCCTACACAGGAGACCTGGACCAAAGAAAGTGCAACCTACATCTCACCAGGTCTTGGTAACACAATTCCGCAAGACAGATCACTGTTTGATTCAAACTTGACCATTAATCCGGCCCCTCCAAGGACAACGGCCTCTTCCACGGCATCATCAATAACAGCATCAACGAGAAGACCAAGCTCACTGTTCTCTTCAATGCTCCCGATCAACCCGGCCCTTACCCAGCCAACTCCATCACGACAAACACCGACACCATCAAGAAGGAATTCTCTTTTTGGTTCATTATTACCCATAAACCCGGCATTGGCACAGCCAGCACCGTCACGACCAATATCAAGACGAAATTCTCTTTTTGGCTCAAAGTTGCCAATAAATCCGGCCCTTCAACAGACAGCGTCAGCAACATCAAAGTCCGCCAGGAGTGAGAGACCGTCGAGTACTATGAAAAGACTATCCTATCTCCTCGATTCGGTGTTACCTATCAACCCGGCTTTGACGGTCAAACGACGGGATGGAATGAATTCGAACACTTTCTAATCTTTAAGCTCCCTGGCCCTCGATCGTCAGCAAATAGTTCCTCCTATTCCAAACGTGCTTATATTAACCGCTCACTCGACGAAACCACGCAGCAAACACATCTGGGACATTATCAGTATACAAGCATATTTCAACAATGAACAAAAGTGACCAAATCAACATCGTTAAGCCTCGACGTCTTCATTCAACATTGGGTTTTTGTTTTTTCATCAAATTCGGCGTGATCAATAAAAGAAAGATAGCAGCAGCGCATGCTCTTGAGGAGTTTTGATTTTACACATGACCCGAGATACCTTTTCCTTTGTTTTTTTTCTTTCGCTTCTCGTTGGAATTATCATTCTGGGACGTTTTCGCATTTAGACTTATGACTCGTTTTTGATTTAACTCTCATTCTTCGTTTCGTTTGGCAATTCGGCAAAAAGAGTAGGGAAATAAGGGAATTGGAATTGATATATGGCGGGCGCTTGGGAATTGCATTTTTTTTAATGGAGATCCGCTTTTGTCAAGTTGTTCATGACACCTTTTAGTTTTTGGCGCCTCCTATTTCATCATTTCTTAATCCTTCATTATTTTGCTGTGTTAATATCCTCTTTTTCTCCCTCCTTTGTCTCGTTTTCCCAGCCTGTTTCTGTTCATGTGCCTCAACGATTTCAATTCTTCCTTCTGAGTGTTTTGATATATATAGCATTTTGATTTGACTCTTGATTCTTTATATCCGCTATCCATCTTCCTCTATTCATTCATCTATTGATCATGCAATCCACCCATCCATCCATCCATCCATATAACGACTTTATGACCATTTCCTTCCATTCTCTACTCAGCTGTTCTCGCATTTGGTTTCAAGGTTTCCCAACGTTCCTATTTTTGTCGATCTTGGTGCACACATTCAATACACACATAATACCTATGGTGCAAAATCGGTCTAGTCTTGACATGAGACACATTTCCTTGGGGTTCCAGGTTTAATGATGGTGAGATTTGATAATATGGACATGTTCTTCTGGCTCTCCAAGGTCTTTTAAGGTGTTAGTTTCATGTTATATATATACAGATTTGACTATATATGAACGAAATCTTCATTCTTCTTGTCTAAGTACCGATTTTAAGATTCTTCAATGTGTTGAGTGAAGCTCTAAGGTTGTTGGTAGTAAATCCTCAGGTGCTCTTCATCAGGTAGTAAATTCCAATCATATCTCCCCGTGGAATTCAGGGCTCACAGGATATTTTCCTACCTATATATCTGCTCATGTAATGTTGCAAGTCTGAGAATTCGAGACATAGAATCAGAACGACAATGCATGATTCCTGTCTTCCAAGTTGAGGTTAAACTCGTTGCCTTGGTTCGCGTGGCTTTGGCCTCATAGAGATTAATCTGCGAAGGGGATAGTACTTTCGAAGAAGTTGCCCAAGTTCTCCAATATTGAATCTTAGAAAGTAGGAGAAACAAAGATCGCGTTTCAATTTTCCTCTCGGGGTGCCACTTCTCTTTCATATTGTTCAGAGGCTGAGGGAAAAGAGAGATTCCAGATATCAGTATGGCTGAACAAATTGGAGCAGGATGATTCTTTTGCATTCAGTCTCCGCTTTTCTTTGAATCGATATGCAGTTTCATGTTGGCAGCAAGATTTGCATATCGAGTACGGTAGAACCTCGCTATAAGAAAAGGAAGGCCTCCCCTTATAATCACATTCAAATTGTTTTCAAAGCCTATTTCTGAAACAAATCATTAAAAGAGCTAGTCTATATCAAATTAAGCCCCGTAATAACCCTACTGAGTGGACGTGGTGCTAAACTGTAATATGACTAGGGTACCTGTACGATACTTGTATGTACACCGCACAAAAGTACAGGTAACAACTTGCCCACAGTATAAAACGGTGTACTCAACAGCATTGGGGTCACTAACAACATGATCCTCGACGGAGAGGAAGAAAGTACGTGTGATTGATTTAAACATCATAAGTGTCATACTTTGCCAACTGCTTATGAAAGACTTCACAGAGCTGTCTCCCATTTCTGCACCGACTGAGGCTGCCTTTCGCCAGGATGACTCGTCTCCCGACATGCTTACAATAAGCTCGACGTAATGGAGACCAAAAGCAATAAACGATTGAGCCACAATTTGCACAAGAAGTCCTAAATAGTCGTGTCGATATGTGAACTGGGTAGCACCGGGATACGGAACGTAAACGATTGCAGAGTATTCCCAAGCGTCGAAGGCACCGTCAATTACCGGCTCTTCTTGGTTTTTATAAAATTTGTGAGCTGCGGAAGCAACGATTCCCAATACCCCAGACCAGATTGCGAAAGCTCCGAAATATGCCCACACAATATACCGAATGCGACAAGCTCCAGGGAATACCGATAACATGGGATGCTGCCGTTCCTGGGTCCTGGAGAGAGAGATTCCCACTTGGAAGCTATGCATCACCCCAGAACTTGAAATATTTACAAGCTCTACTAATTCACAAGCTTTACTAGGACGAGGAGCTCTATTGGTACGGCCTACAACACAGAAAGGGAGCTATAAATCTGGAGAGGAAATGCTGAGATGAAAGACTATGACAACTGTTTCAAGCCAAGTGAAAATGGCAGCAGAGTCGCTCGGGTTATGGGAAGTTGAGAACTGCTAAGCCGGACCTTATAGAAGCTAGATAGGGCCATCAGAATATTGCGAGATATTTTCTTCTGGTTTAACGTCTTCAAGATCTCTCTATAGGTAGAACAAAATACCTGGGCCCCATCCACTTCAAGGAATCCAGGCAAACAGAAGGAATGATGGCAAATAGCACCTGGACTGGTAACTTCAAGAGGATCAAAATACTGGAATTTCAAACAGCTTGCTTAAGATTCTCTTATCCTACACTCCGTATGAGTACGGCATCAGCTCAAGCGAAAAGCCAGCCTTGTTGAGCCTCATCAAACGTCATCCCTTTCCATCACGCTTATGGATTTCTGGCTACCACTCTTACCATAAAAGAACTTTTTATAGTTAGGGAATGGAGTAGCCATACTCACTTGCTTGTGTCTAATACAAGTGCCACCGGGTCTTATAATAATAGCGTATGTGAGCACCTGCTTGACTCGTTTTTGGCAAACGCTTTTCGTAACTCGGTTTGCTACGAGAGGGACGACCATGTATGGAACGAACTGATCCAGGATCGCAGCGAGTGACTAATTGCCTTTGCTGGCGACTTCTCAATATGATTCCCCCGTCGCCCTGAGCTGATATGAGCCAGGTCTTCGAGTCCGCTGACTCTGGCTGAGCGGAGGAAGTGACTCCATTCAAATAGAGAATAGAGTTGAAGATAGTCCAAGCAATCGGAGACTAATTGCTGAATGAAAGCCACTGTTATAGCAGCTTTTGTGAAAAGAAATATTCCCCAATGACAATAAAACCGGTATTTGGTGTACTGCAATGGACTCAACTGTTTCCCACGGGTATCGTTTTGAATAATCGGAAACCAGCAACCATATGTATTAATGATAAACCAAAATCCTCGTCTCTACTCGTCTCCGCACTTATGAAAGGTAAAGGCTACTGTTTTCGTCATATGGCAAACTGAAAAACTCGTCGGGAAGCATATCCTCCATGGAGAAAAGAACCGCTGTATCTAAGGGCATCGGGACTTTTATATTCGGCAATAAAGTGCCGTATTCTGATTGTGATGCAGTCGGTATCATACCTGCTAGCACTGTGTTTCCAGCTTGCTGTCCCGCGTCCTGCCCGAATTGGTATTCCTGCAACAAGAAAGAATTTGAAGAAACGGTTTCTGAAATAGGAACATCGTAGGATGAACATTGTTGCGAATTTGACGCTGTAGTTGTCGGCGGAAGATATCTGCTTAGATCTCGAATCGGCGCCAGGTGACTTCCTTTGCTGCTGAGCAGTCTCCTTGATGACTTGATTTTCAAATCGCTTTTAACATCACTGGCAAAATGCTCGTCAGCGACTGACACGATTTGGAGGCGGTTTGACATTGTTTAATAGCTGTAGATTAGACCAAATAGTTTTGGCCGACCATTCACTGCAGCCAGCAGCTTCAGCTATCTGGAATGCGATGAATGGCTCACAGCAAACTAACATATCACGAATGATAATGCATTGTGAATCTTGTGATATGGGCAGTCTCGGTTGATTTTTGTGTAATGTCTTGCAATATTTTGGATATTGATATGATGTACGGAGTATGATATGTGTAATATACAATAGGGTTTGGTCACATCCGTGTTTCGTATTGTACAAGCGAAGTTTCTGAATAGAGAAACTTAAGGAGATTAACCTCATACAAACTAGTTTGTTTCAAGTATGGATTGGTAAAGAAACCGAGTGTGTTCATGAGGGAAACTGATTTTGTAAGGCACTGTAATATGGATCTGTATGTAATGGTTTACTGTACATAGACAGAGAGAGATTAGATAGTGGTATCCTGCATATCGCCTTGGCGAGGGGCCAAGGTATGAACCACCACCACTGTAATATGGAACTAAAGAGCAACCTACCTAGGTAATCATCAATAATTAAATAGATTATTATTTCAGAGTGCTCTTCATCTCTGAATTCCAAATATCTGACTTGGATCCCGAGAGGCCTTCTTCTACTGTACCTAGGTACTTAGTAGCGCCGAGTATATATATGTACAAATATTGACAAGTGGATCAGGTCTATTGTCTTTTTGATTCAAGAGAGGAGAGGATATTTTCCGATGGAGAAAGGGTAATATATATCCCCATCGAATGTGTATATATCAATGTGGAGAGAAATGGTCCACACAAGATGCTGGAGGACTTTGATTGTGTTGCGCGTAGAGACGCGTTCTTTGGCCAATCATGCATGTCGAGAACTTGGTATTGAGATGTGCGATGAAGTGAAGATGAAAAGTAGAACGATAAGAAAAAGTGTAGCATTATGTCCGGATACAAGAAGCCAAGGAAATAAACTCCAAACCATGCACCATCCTCCACAACAGCAGAGAGATACTCGTTTTCTATACCACCGTAAGATTAATAACGGTGATAACGAGGGTTAAAGAGTTCAAAGAGGAAAGAAAATTGACAATGCTTCGAGACAATATATCGAGAAATGCGATTGGTTGTTCTATACAGATTAATCATCATCTTCGTCGTGCTTATCCCTCCTCTTTTTCGCATCGGCTGGCTTGGTAAGTTGTTTCTTCCAGACGTGATTGGCTGCTTCTTTGTCTAGGTTGGAGAAGACGATGTTGAAGACGTCTGAGTACCAGTTGACAGGATGGCCTTCAATACCCTCCTTGATGTTCTATTACATAATATTAGTGTTTGTTGTAATGACCATCTTACAGTAAGGCTTACCTCGGGGAGTTCCAGCCAGTCAGACATATTGTCCGCTGGGAATAGGATCTTCTTCGCTCCGGCACGACGAGCTGCAACGGTCTTCTCACGGAGTCCACCAATACGGAGAACTTTGCCAGTGACTGTCAGTTCTCCGGTCATCGCGATGGTAGGATCAAGAGGATGATTCAACGCAAGAGATAGTAAAGACGTTGCCATTGTGATACCGGCAGATGGTCCTAGGGATCGAATTAGATCAGTTCTGCAAAGTTTATCAAGTGGAAAGGGGAGGAATCTTACCATCTTTCTGCACAGCACCTTCTGGGCAATGCAAGTGTACTCGAGCCTTTTCGAAAAATCTGTTCTCAGGGAACTCTTGAGCCATTACTGACTTGGAAAAGGAGTACGCGATCTGGGTTGACTCCTTCATGACGTTCATCAAATTACCGGTAGTCTCAAACCCAGGCCGAGAGTAGTAGGTAAGCGCATTCTCAAGAATTGACTCGACGTAAAGAGCAGCACCGCCCATACTCGTCCAGGCCAAGCCCATAGTCACACCAGGAGGGAATACATCGTATAGGCGATCGGAAGTGAAGACTGGTGGGCCAACGTAATCCTTCAAAACTTCTTTACTGATACTGACATGTACGCTTTCTGGCACTTTCAAAGCAACGCGAGGAGTCTCAGCAGTAGCTTTCTCCGGCTCAATTAAAACGTCTTGGGGGTCGACGTTCTCCTTGTCAGATTCTTCCTTTGCCTGCTTTCCTTCCGTCGTGAGCGCCTCTTCTTCCGGAAGAGCATCCTCGCCGAGGTCCTGGACAATCTTAAGGGCCGCCTTTCGATAGACCTTCTCAATCTGTTTCTTCAGATTTCGGACACCGCTCTCGCGGCAGTAGAATTTGATAAGTTCCTCGATTGCATCTGGTTGCAAACGAACGTCGACATCCTTCAAACCACTAAGTTCTTTAGCGGCAGGGGCGAGGTACTTGTCAGCAATCGCCATCTTTTCATCGGCGACATAGCCAGACAACTCAATAAGTTCCATACGATCCAACAGAGGTCGCGGGATCGTGTCAGTTACGTTGGCCGTGCAAACAAATAGAACTTTTGACAAATCCACTGGCACGTCCATATAGTGATCAAGGAAGGATGAGTTCTGTTCGGGGTCAAGCAACTCTAGAAGAGCAGAAGAAGGGTCACCTTGATGACCGCGTCCGATCTTGTCGACTTCATCAATGAGGATAAGGGGATTCTCCGTCTGACATTTCTTCAGAGCTTGGATAATCCTTCCTGGTAACGCACCAACATACGTCCTTCTGTGTCCTTTGATTTCCGCAACATCCGTCAATCCGCCCACGGAGAATCGGTAGTATTGCCGGTTGAGAGCCCTGGCAATAGACTTTCCTATACTCGTCTTACCCACACCTGGGGGTCCAACCAGACATAAGATCTTGCCTTCCACTGAGCCACGGAGTTTACCAACTGCGATGAACTCCAAGATCCGATCTTTGACATCTTTCAGGCCGTAGTGATCCTCGTCCAAGACGGCCATCGCATTTTTGATACCAAAATTCTCCACGCTCTTTTGACCCCAAGGAATTTGAGTAATCCAGTCAAGATAGTTGCGAGTAACGTTGAACTCTGATGCAGCAGGTTCTAGGTGCGCAAGTTTGTTTAACTCCTCATCAAATACCTTTTTCACGGCCTCTGGCATTGCCAGTTTCTCTGCTTTTTCCTTAAACTTCTCAACGAGCTTATCCTTTCCGTCGGATTCTATACCCAGTTCTCTCTTGATGCCTTTCATCTGCTCCATTAACCAGTACTCTCGCTGTCGCTTCTGAATTTTGGCCTCCACATCCTTCGAGATCTTTGACTGGAGCTGAGCATTAATTAACTCCTTCTTCAGAACGACCAATGCTTTGGGAAGTCTATCTTCTATGTTCATTGCTTCCAAAACCTCTTGAACCTCCTGAGAATCACCAGCGGACACTGCGGCTGCAAAATCAGCCAGTTTGCCCGGTTCATCGCCGAGGTTTCCGGGGAAGTGGTCCGTTGCAAAAGCAGATATCTGGTCTCGGAAGAGCGGGTTGAACTGAACGATTTCCTTGCAGACATTAACAATCTCGCTAGTCACAGCGCGAATGACTGGGCTCTTCTTATCGAATGGCTCTTCTGTAAGGTTCTCAACGTTGGCAAGGGTAACTGCGTGCTTGCGTAAGAATGATGTTGGCTCGTAGTGGTATATCTCCTTCGGTTGAGCTTCGACCGCACCCTCTTCAAAGCTTGCAACGACGTCTCCCTTCTTTTCACCGGCATCCTTCGAGATTGGCTGATCAATGGTACCGTTCCGGGCTGGATCACTTGGCGCTAGCAATGTGCTGATCTTGATCCTTCGATGGGGGTAGAGAACAGCTGTCAGACCACCTTCTCCATCCGACTTCAACGGATATGTAGATGTGATCTGAGCGAAGACACCAACATCGTACACATCGTCAATATTCTCAATGATATCACCATCCGCATCATCATTTTTAAACAAGAAAGCTCCCACATAAGGTTGCCCACGCTTCATCATCTCTTGTATAGCTGCCGCAACATTCGGGTCTTTCACAGTGATCGCCTTGTAGAAGCCAGGGAATAACGGACGCCTGGCAATCGGAATAGCCATAACTTGTGGGTATACATCGGGAATGAAGGGTTTCTGGAGTGACCTTTCTCCCTTCTTGCCTCTCCTTCCACCATCATCACTGTTCCCACCGCTGGGCTTCGATTCTGATCCTCCCCCTCCGGAGACAGGTATTGGCGCAGGTGAGCTTGAATCAGCTTTGCTATCTCGACTTCTAGATTGTTGAGATTCGGAAGACGATCCCTTTTTTGTGACTTCCGCTTGCTCATCCTTTTCCTTTTCAGTATTGCTCTTATCCCGCCGTCGACTTGGTGTATCAGTCATCTGCGTTGAGGTGTGCTTGTCTGTCGCATCGCCAGACTTCCGTCGGGATTCTACCTGCTTCGTCGTGTCCTTTCCCTCTGTTGAGCCATCGTCGTCCTCTGCATTTTCCGGCGCGTCCTCTGAAGGTGGCGCCTTTTCTTTGCGCGAGATGCGACTCGATGTGAACGTTCGAGAAGCGATGGTCGATGTAAGAAATATCTGTGTGCGAGTTACTGGAAATCGAGTGCTTGCATAATGCCGCGTTGAAAGGGAGGCTATCCTAGGATTCACATAGTGCGGCACACGATGGAGTGCAGCTCTCCATGGAATGACCTGGCCTCGAAGCATGCTATGTGTTATGTGAACATCAAAGGGCACGTGCCGGCCCGGTGCAAAGATAGACCTGTTCAATAAAACGAAATTGATAATATAGAAAGGCGAGCAAGGGTTGACAGAGGTGAAAGGGGAGAAAGAGGAAGAACAGAAGCTCTTTCACGGCTGTATGGGATCAATGGTTGATAATCAATCTCGTCGATTTCTCCGAATGTCGGGGAACCTCTGAGATCATCTCTCGGAATTTTAGTTATTCCGCTTTCCGGGGCTTTGTCTCCGTGAAACTTTTTTAGAAGCTTCTATCGAGGTCCAAGGAACATCTGTATAATCTGCTCTACATTTACGCTACGGTGCATCAATTTATTCGTTGCGATTGGATGAAACACAGATAAAAGATGGCCGCAACACCTGCGGGACTGCCCAAGGCCGTCGCTCTTCCTACGAGAATCCTTATTAGAACGTCACGGCCGACCGCCGGCAACTGTTCGAGTCTCTATCATCAGGCCAACAGCCGTTCATTCTATGACCACCGATCTTCCTCTCCACCAAACCGGTCTTACAATGCACTTCCATCGAGAAAAGATCCTCTGCGCTTCAGCGTTAGGGTAAGTCATTGCTTGGATCTTTCTAGCTAGGAGCTCCATTTGCTCACGTTCGGTGTAGGAATTCCACGCTTCATCCGCACAACAAGCAATGAAAGATCCTTACAAGGTCCTTGGTGTCGACAAGAATGCCTCCGCAGCCGATATCAAGAGAGCCTATTACGGAATGGCTAAGAAATTCCATCCTGATACGAACAAGGAGCCAGGTGCCAAGGACAAATTTGCGGAAGCACAATCTGCTTACGAATTACTATCCGATGCGAAAAAGAGAGAAACATACGATCGATATGGGTCGGCGGCATTTGATCCCAATGGCGGATTCGATCCCAATGCTGCAGCGGGTGGAAATCCGTTTGCCGGTGCTGGAGGTTTCCATGGCTTTGGCAGTGGTGGGTTTGGCGCCGGAGGATTTGGCGGTGGATTCTCTGCCGACATCAATTTTGAAGATCTTTTCGGTGCATTTACAGGAGGTGCTGGACGTGCGGGGAGACGACGCGCATCACCACACGAATCTATATTAGTGGGCGAAGATATCGAAGTCCAAACAAACATATCTTTCATGGAAGCAGCGAAGGGAACCGGCAAGGATATTTTCATTACGCCGTTGGTTGAATGTAAGACTTGTACGGGAACTGGTCTCAAGAAGGGTGCCAAACGAACGCAATGCAAGTCATGCAATGGATCCGGCACTCGAGTTCATTTCATGCAGGGCGGATTCCAGCTGGCGAGCACTTGCGATACTTGCAATGGGTCTGGAATGGTTACCCCACGTGGCTCAGACTGTAGCACATGCAGCGGGCAAGGAGTCGTCAGGGATCGACGGACTGTCCATGTTGATATCCCTGGAGGAGTAGAGGATGGTATGAGAATCCGAGTTGCTGCAGAAGGTGACTCTCCTCCAACAGGCGGCGCGAACGCCGGTACCCGAACGCAGCGCGGTGATCTATACGTTTCAATCCGTGTTGCGCCAGACCACCGGTTCAGTCGTTCTGGTTCTGATATTCTCTACACTGCATCCTTACCATTGACTACTGCTTTACTTGGAGGAGAGGTGACGGTGCCGACGCTTGATGGTGAAGTAAAGGTTAAGGTCGCTACTGGTACAGGTACTGGTGATCGCATCACACTTTCAGGAATGGGCATGCGCAAGCTTGGTGGTCGAAGCCGTGGGTTCAGCTCAACTGGCGACCTCCGGGTGGAGTTCAAGGTCCAGATGCCAAAGTACCTCACTGCAAATCAACGGACGATTCTTGAAGTGTTGGCTGATGAGATGGGCGATAAAACTGCTAAGCGTACTATGAACGTTGGCAAGGACATGTAAGTCGGATTTTTAGTACGCTAGTAGTTTGTTTACTCACATATAGCTACAGCAACAACCCTCCCAGTTCTGGCTCTGGTGGATTACCGGAAGATTCGCACAAGAACGAAGGCTTCCTCAAATCGGCATGGCACCGTCTCACCAACCAACACAAATCCTCCGAGTCCAAGTCCCAGGACGCCGATGCATCGAAGAAAGAGAAATCTGAGTCCGATGACCACAATGAGTCCAAGAAAGCTTCAGGCTAGTGAAGCTGGCTTGTCTGATCACTATCTTTGTACATGTTTACTCTAGCATTTTGTTTTCCTTCAACCTGCACAGATTAGATCCATAGCGTTGGCGAGTTGGTGTTGTCATTTATCGGTGGTCATTTATTCTGATTGATTTCGAGTTGCGAGAGGTACTCCCATGTATTATAGCTAGAACCAAGTATATGTGAAGAAATAATCACAACCCTCCATTCTTGATTATCAATCTCAACTCGCACTGACATGACGTAGCCATACGTATATTGTAACCATTATGCTTATGCTGCCCAGTGCTCAGGCAGCTTTTCATATGCTTCAGCCAATAGGACTATCGCAAGACTCAGGTATTTCGTCAGTCTTCTGGTAAGGCAATGCAAAGTCTCTGGGAATCATCCTAGTCTCAAAATGAGAATCACCGTCTCCCAAGCACACCAATCAGCGCAGCAAGGGCTGATCCAGGGGCGTGACAGCGGCTCTCGACGTGCAGGACGAGATCCAACCAGAGTGCCCAATCGAGACTATCGCAAACAGGCGCCTAACTGTGTTTGTCAAGAAGTCGGAATTGCCTGGGCTTCGTCTGTATTCTCCGCCATTTTATATTCCCCTCGTTCATGGAGTGTCAGTCACCGTGCATGTCTTCTTTTTTGATCATCTCGCATGTCGTTGTGGTTGTGAAGAACATAGAACAGTCAGCAGCATAAGCTACCCCACACCCGATCTGTCCGTCCCGCCTGCCTGAACCAACTGACGTATCGTCACAAGTCAACAGCATAACCTAAACAAAACTGCTCGACAACCCAACCAGTGGTCTATCCTATCTAATTTTCGTCTGGTAGGAGCTTCTGCTCCTATCTATCGCCATCATGAATCAGTCTCCCATGCTCTCGTGTCCGCTCAAGCAGACCAACGAGATTGACTGGGTCCAGCCACTCAAGGATTATATCCGGAGCGCCTACGGTGACGACCCAGACCGATACCAGGAAGAATGCGCCACGCTAAATCGATTGCGCCAGGATATGAGAGGAGCTGGAAAGGATAGCGCATCGGGGAGAGACTTGCTATATCGATACTATGGACAGCTAGAGCTGCTGGATCTTCGGTTCCCGGTGGATGAGAATCATATCAAAATCTCGTTTACTTGGTAAGCACAACTCTGACGGCAGCTCACGGATTACGGGCTAACCATTCGTCTATTTGGTAGGTATGATGCTTTTACACAAAAGCCAACGTCCCAGTATTCTTTGGCATTCGAAAAAGCGTCTATATTATTTAACATCTCCGCCGTCCTTTCCTGCCACGCTGCGAATCAGAATCGAGCCGATGACAGCGGATTGAAGACGGCGTTCCACTCCTTCCAAGCGTCGGCTGGCATGTTCACGTATATCAATGAGAACTTTCTTCACGCACCTTCAACGGACTTGAGTCGATCTACGGTCAAGGCTCTTATCAACATCATGCTGGCGCAGGCACAGGAGGTATTTTTGGAGAAGCAAATTGCAGACGCCAAGAAGCCGGCTTCTCTTGCCAAAGTCGCCAGTCAGTCCGCGTGGCTATACTCTCAGGCCGCCGAGACGGTGCAGGAATATGTCGGAAAGGGATTTTTCGAAAAAGTATGGTCGATTGTCATACAGGCCAAGGCATCACATATGGCTTCGATTGCGAGTTTCCATCAAGCCCATGCTGATTCAGAGAGCGGATCATACGGAGTTGCTGTTGCGAGATTACGTCTAGCGGAGAAATTATCTGCAGCAGCGGTAACGTGGGCCAAGTCATTCCCTTCGTCCGTGCCTGCGAATTCCAACTTGCTCTCGGAAGACGGGGCTAGTTTGATGGAGGTGATAAAGAGACATCAAGCTGTTGTTCAGGAGGAGGTTGCTACATTGATACGAGATAATGATTTTATTTACCATCAACCGGTACCTAATGAAGCAGGCTTGTCGGCTATTGCGAAACTGGCCGTGGCCAAGGCTATCCCCGTGAGTGAGCTGTATCAAGGACAAGATATCCAGCGAATTATTGGTCCGGATATTTTTCAGAAGCTAGTACCAATGTCTGTCACCGAGTCTGCCAGTTTATACGATGAAGAAAAAGCCAAATTAATTCGAGCAGAAACGGAGAGGGTTGAGACGGCCAACGGAGAGATGGTAGCCGGTTTAGACTATTTGAAACTGCCCGGCAGCTTAAATATACTGAAGGGAGGCATAGACCAGGAAGTCACAGTTGATGAGGAATTCCGCAGGTGGTGCGAAGAGATGGCAGATCATCCGGGGTTCCACAAAACACTGGACGAATTACAAGACAGCAAAGCTAGTATTATCGATTCACTAAGTCAATGCACGAGGCAGCTGGACATGGAGGAAAGTGTATGCGAGAAGATGCGATCAAAATATGGAGCGGACTGGACTCAACAACCTAGTTCTCGTCTTACAGCGACACTTCGCGGGGAGATTAGGAGTTTACGAGACACGATTAACGAGGCCGGGGCAAGTGATACCCAGTTGAATGCGACATTGAAACAATATGAAGTGGATTTCGATGAAATGCGGTCAGCGGGGGAGACGGGCGAAGCCGATGTTTTGTATCAGCGAGCGATGATTAAAGCGGGCGCAAAACAAAAAATGTCTCGAAACGGACAGGCGAGTCCATACTCACCTGGTGGTGAGGGGTCCTTGCTCGATGATGTAGATGATGAAGGCAAATTATCGGTTGCGGAGCAGATTGCAAAGGTGGAGGAATTACTGAAGAAGTTGAATCTCGTCAAACGTGAGCGTGCGCAGGTTTTGAAGGATTTGAAAGAGAAGGTTGGTAGCAATTTATGCACTGACAATAAACCTGACCCTATGCGGTAATACTGATTGTGTGGCAGGTCCATGAAGATGATATATCGAATGTACTCATCCTCAACAAGAAGTCTCTGGGAAATGGACAGGAACAGCAGTTATTCCAAGCAGAATTGGAAAAGTTTAGACCATATCAGAACCGGATTATCAAATCAAATCACACACAGGGGTCATTGATGAAAGAACTTACAAGGACGTACGGTGATCTTTTGCAGGATAAACGAGTTCGATCTGAGCAGTCCAAGTACGAGACCATAACTCGACAGCGAAATACGGTCATGGCACGATACAAGAAAATCTACACTGCATTCCGCGATTTGGTCTCTGGAGTCTCGCAAGCAACCAAGTTTTATGGAGAAATGCAAGATACTGTAGAGAACCTGCGGAAAAACGTCGACACATTCGTCAACAACCGTCGCTCAGAAGGAGCACAGTTACTCAGCCAGATCGAGCAGGACAGGAACAACAATGCTTCAGGACAAGAGGATCGAGAACGAGAGAAACTGAGACAATTGATGGAGCGATTATCGACCGAACCAACACCTGCTCCAAGGAACACATCACCAACCAAACAATCCCGACCCCAACCTCCGGTTAAGGTCAGTAGCAGCAGCGGCACAAATTCATCGTCATCACCACACTATCCCCAAGCAACACCTGTGGCACCTCCACCATCCCAGTCACCAGCGCCAAATCCATATGGTCCATACGCCCCAAATACAATGGCGGGGTACTACGGAGCAACACCGATATCAGCCTTTCAGCAGGGAGCTGCTACACCTCTTTCAAGTAGTTACAACCCAATGGCATATCCATACCAGACACCAGTCTCCCCACCTCCCAACCAATCCACTTTATACTATCACCAACAACACCCACACCCGGGAACATCAACAACACCAGTACCTTTACCCGGCGTATATCCAGGATACCCATCAGCGGGTGGTCCTGCTCCCCCTCCACCGTCACATACACCTCAATTCATTCCGCCTGGTTATATACCCCCTCCACCACCACCACGACCAGCAGAAACTCAATACCCTCCTTCGACGGGGGGAGCATATCCTTCTGGTCCAGGAGGGTATGCGCAAAGTCGACCTCCTTATGTTTCACATCAACCACAACAACATCAACATAAAGGATCGCAGTCACAAACATCACCTAATAATGATCCGTGGGCGGGGTTGAACTCTTGGAAATGATCTTCTTCTCAACTTTTTTTAATCAAGAGCATGCCCTTTCTTTCCCTTCAGTCAAGTTGCGTCTGGTTTTCTTAGAATAGTTTGAATATCTATTTTAGTCCTGTCATCTGAGAATCCTACTTCGTAACTTCCTTTATGTATATATCTGATCCGTCGAAAAGGAACTACGCCATTTCCAAGGTTCAACGCATAGATGACCGTATCGAAAAACTAGTATTAACAATGTATTGACTTAGAAATGCGCCTGACAAAACAATAGATAGTCAAAATCCCAAAGTTGAGGAGGATGGGCTCTTTACAAGCGATATCTAGCACAACGTGGAGCTCCAGATAAGTATGGTAGCTACCGTAAAATATAGGTAAGTGTCGGTTTAACTACGGTCCGTATCACGAAGCATAGACGGTAGCAAGGCTAGTCCGACAAGCCTGTCAAGGGTGAAGCTGTATATATATGATATTCGATATTATAAAGCCTAACTCAGAGAAAGTAGGGGGCCCCGGGGTGTCATGGTAGCTATATACGAGGTTGCCGTACGGGCGCTAGGGATAACGTTATCCCGCTCCCGTACGTACGTGCTTGCTTCTGCACCGGGGTGCAGAAGCGCCGAATCATGAGATTGATATTCCGACACTGGCAACTCTCTAAAGGAATGGAAAAGAAGGAATATCAATGAATGACATACAATCTGGTGTGGTAAAGGAAAAATCAAAAGAATGAAGCAAAAGTAACGGGTGCGGACCGGGGTAAGGAATGACAATCTATGGAGCCGGTGTAGTAACAGGTGTTGCAAATCGTACGTTCTTTGACTCAGAGTTGCGCTTCGTTAACGGCCTTTCTACCCATCCGTCAACGTCGATACGTAGCTTGTTCGTATCAATAAGTTCTTGTAGAGCGCGGCAGGGCTTGCTCTTTGTCATGGCGTCCGCAGGATTGCTGTTACCGTTGATCCATCTCACTTCCGTGATCTCTTGACGTTCGTACGATTGACGGAGGCACATGAGATCGATCATAAGGCGTTTTTCACGTGTCGTACCCAGCTTGACGAGGCATTCGTAAAGGCTCTTCGAATCAGTGCAAAGGACTAGTGGGAGCGGCTCTAAAAGATGCAGCAGTTGGGTGAGAGTTGATTTGATTGCTGCAGCCGCATCGAATCCATTGGCCATACCGTACATCTCCGAAGCAAGTACGCTTCGGGTAATCCTCTTACACTTTGTAGAGGACCAGTGGAGGATATTCGCGTTATTTTGGGCGTCAGCGAGTACGATAATATAGCCAATTTGTGAAGACGAGTCCTTATTGTTGGCGAACGAAGCATCAACGAATGCGTACAATTGTGCGGTCCGTAGATCAATCTTGACGAATCGTAGTCCGCGGTTGGGGTTGTCAGCCTGCCATTTGAGTCGTTTGTTGAGCGCTTTTATATCCTCTTCATCCGGTTGTGTGGCTTGTGCTGCGAAAGAGAGATCAAACGAAGCTTCAGTTGGGATACAGAAGCAATATATGCACCAAGAGCTCGTTGAGCAACGTCCTGCTCATACGGAGATGCATTCTTACGAATCTTGCCACGGGAGTTGACTGTATCCGAAGGGTGATCTTGTACGAGTCGGATATTCTTGCAGGTGCGTTCTTGGGTAAGAGTAACACCCTGGGCATCTTCTGTAATTACCGCACCATTGAATCGTAGCGGTTTGCTGGTTATAAGCTGTTCACGTGGCTTGCAAAGGATATTTGCACG